AAACAGGGCCTCATCACCACACATCAAATCAAATTCAAAGTAGGCGTCAGACCCCAAAGAAAGAGAGAGATACCGATACAAACGCACGCGCACACATTGTGTTGAACCGGCCGGGCGGAGGTGAGAACCCGCAGCTTTGGGGCTGGTTGAATGAGAACCGTCCAGATCAGGTATGGCGGGCAGCGGAACCTCCCCAAAGGTCCAAAACGGTTGGGCTGGATCCAGTGGGACGTGACAATACTGTACCTAACACCCGAGAGTTGATCGTCATACCGAAGGATGGGATTCTTTTCCATGGACTTGGCCTTACTACTTGCCTAGCGGCAAGCCGATGAGCAAAACGAGATCAACCGATCTTTCCCAAAAAGTATGATAGAGACAACGACTGTTGTGTACTAGTCACCTATCTACAAGATGCACAACCATATAGAGCAAGACTTGATACCCTCTTCGCCTCTATATGATTTAATTGATTAGTTTGATAGTATACGGTGCTTACCTCTATCTATAGATCTTTCGGCTTTGCTCACTCTCACTTGAATAGTATGTGTCTTTTCTTGAAACGAATGATTGCCCTTCCCCTCCCCTCGCTGCATGACTCCGGTATAGGTCCGTACTTCAGTCAGGATACTTCAAACACCCGATTATTCAAAAAGATAAAGAAAAAATGGTCTTAACTATTGAGTTTTGGAAGAGGGGGGAAGGCCTTTCCCCATTTGCCTCTCGTTCCAATCAGGGTCGAGTCATTTCTATTCCATGTACTTGGTATACGACAGCACTTATCTGCTCCGTTGCTCTTTTCATTCTCTTACCCTTACCTTTTCCACTCCGGGCCTATGGAGTCCCCTCTCGAGTCCTTTCCAATGTGATGGGAGTAAGGAATCAATCATTTAGGACTACTCGATAGAACCAACGAGAACGTCTTGTCTACCTATCTACCCTACGGAGTACTACCTATGTATGACTCTGTACTTGTAGGACCACCTCATCAATGCCCAGTAGTTGGAGGTATCCACACGCTGAATGAGTACCCAATGACAATCTTGAATGTGTATTTCCAGGTATGAAAATTACCACTTAGACTCCCATCACCTCAACTGTGCACCCATCTTGAGGAGGGAATTGTTTTATAATTAATTGATTTTATTTTCTGTTATTTTCGGGACAACAGGATCCATCCACTGTATTGGACGCATACAACCAACCATAGTTGTAAAAGGTGACGGATACTGCTGGCTGGCCTACGACCAGTAAGTAGTCTTCCGCCCCAACAACACTCACCAAAAGCTCACCAGCAATAATTTGGTTCCCATCCATCCACAACTTCACCTTCTCTCACCTCAGTTTCCCTTATTATCCTTCCTTTCTTTGGCTCATTCTATTTCTACCACATCGGCAAAATCTCCCCACTGCCTGTGGTCCCAACTGGGGTGAGTTTCTCTGATACCGCACGGTTTTTTTATTTTATTTTCTTTCATTTGATTTTTTTTTTTTTTTGGCTGTTGTTTTCCTGGGGCCTTTACTTGAGTAGTACGTACAGTGTTTAGCATTATCTCTGCTTCTACGTTCCTTTTATTCCTCTTCCTGACATAAAGTGGTCATGCCCTTGGCGAGAGAAGGCACTGGAAACCATGACTTGTTAATAAAATTTCTAGATCAACTCACGCTGACAATTTCCGTTTAATTAGGCTTAAGCTTATTATTATCTCTTTAATTACTTTTTCCTCACCCTATATCTTCGTCTTGAGTCAGTTTCATTTTGACAGCTACTGCAAGTCTAGCCCGACTGTTGACGAATTGACGCTTGAGGAACTGGTTTATTTGCATAATCGTATCAGAGATCGATCCTCCATCCTCACCCTCTTCCCCGCTGTTAATATATTATACCCTCTTCAAGATGCGTCCCGAAATCGAACAGGAGCTCGCCCACACCTTGCTGGTAGAACTACTGGCCTACCAGTTCGCATCTCCAGTGAGATGGATTGAGACGCAAGATGTTATCCTGGCAGAGAAACGAACGGAAAGGATTGTTGAGATAGGTCCTGCAGATACTCTAGGTGGAATGGCACGACGAACGCTCGCTTCGAAGTATGAGGCATATGACGCTGCCACATCCGTTCAACGCCAAATACTCTGCTATAACAAGGATGCGAAGGAGATCTACTATGATGTGGACCCTGTGGAGGAAGAGCCTGAGGCCCCTCCTGCAAACAGCACATCTGCTCCAGCTGCTCCGGTGGCAGCTACTGCGGCCCCTGCCGCAGCAGCCCCTCCTCCCAGCGCTGGTCCCGCCGCAGCAGTTGAGGATGCTCCAGTAACAGCAGTGGATGTGCTCCGGACACTCGTCGCACAGAAGCTGAAGAAGGGTTTGTCTGATGTACCTCTAAGCAAAGCTATAAAGGACTTGGTTGGTGGTACGTATTTGCGAGTTTGTCCCGAGCTTCATGATATCTTGAACTGACGTTACCTACCCTGTAGGTAAATCCACCTTACAAAATGAAATCCTTGGGGATTTGGGCAAGGAATTTGGTTCCACACCAGAGAAGCCTGAGGACACCCCTCTTGATGAGCTGGGTGCTTCCATGCAGGCGACATTCAATGGGCAACTGGGCAAGCAATCCTCCTCTCTAATTGCTCGCTTGGTCTCATCCAAGATGCCCGGAGGTTTCAACATCACCGCCGTCCGCAAATACCTTGAAACACGATGGGGCCTGGGATCCGGCAGGCAAGACGGTGTTCTTCTTCTCGCCCTTACAATGGAACCCGCATCTCGTATTGGATCGGAGGCGGACGCTAAGGCATACCTCGATGATGTGACCAACAAATACGCCGCTAGCGCAGGAATCAGCCTCTCTGCCCCAGCAGCCGGTGGCGACAGTGGTGCGGGAGCCGGCGGCATGCTCATGGACCCAGCAGCAATTGATGCTCTGACCAAGGATCAGCGGGCCTTGTTCAAGCAGCAACTTGAGATTATCGCAAGATACCTAAAGATGGATCTGCGCGCAGGCCAAAAAGCTTTCATCACCTCCCAGGAGACCCAGAGGGCTTTGCAGGCCCAGATAGATCTTTGGCAAGCCGAGCACGGTGATTTCTACGCTTCTGGCATTGAGCCATCCTTTGATCCTCTTAAGGCCCGTGTGTATGACTCTTCCTGGAATTGGGCCCGTCAGGACGCTTTAAGCATGTACTATGATATTATCTTTGGCAGACTGAGGGTCGTTGATCGTGAAATCGTGAGCCAGTGTATCCGCATCATGAATCGGTCGAACCCGCTTCTTCTTGATTTCATGCAGTATCATATCGACAACTGTCCTACTGATCGTGGCGAGACATACCAGCTGGCGAAGGAGCTTGGCGAGCAGCTCATTGAAAATTGCAAGGAAGTTCTCGGGGTTGCCCCAGTCTACAAGGATGTGGCGATCCCCACTGGTCCCCAGACAACTGTTGACGCCCGAGGAAATATTGGGTACAAGGAGGTTCCCCGAGCCAGCGCTCGCAAGCTGGAGCACTACGTGAAACAAATGGCGGAAGGCGGTCCCATCTCCGAGTACAGTAACCGCGCTAAGGTGCAAAATGATCTTCGCAGTGTCTACAAACTGATCCGCAGGCAGCATCGTCTGTCTAAATCTTCCCAGTTACAATTCAATGCGCTTTATAAAGAAGTCATTCGTGCCCTCAGCATGAACGAGAACCAAATTATGCCGCAAGAGAACGGTAATGGGAAGCGTTCGAACCGGTCCGGTCAAAAGCACAACGGCAGCCCTCGAGCTGGCAAGGTTGAAACCATTCCATTTCTACATCTCAAGAAGAAGACTGAACATGGGTGGGAGTATAATAAGAAGCTCACTGGTACCTATCTTGATGTGTTGGAGTCAGCCGCACGGTCAGGTCTTACATTCCAGGGCAAGAATGTTCTCATGACTGGTGCCGGTGCTGGTTCTATTGGTGCTGAAGTCTTACAAGGCCTGATTAGCGGTGGTGCCAAGGTGGTTGTGACCACAAGCCGTTACTCACGTGAAGTCACTGAGTACTATCAAGCCATGTATGCCCGCTACGGTGCCCGTGGCTCACAGCTGGTCGTGGTCCCTTTCAACCAAGGTAGCAAACAAGATGTAGAAGCCCTTGTCAACTACATATATGATACGAAGAAAGGGCTTGGTTGGGACCTAGACTCTGTTATCCCGTTCGCTGCCATCCCAGAGAATGGTCGGGAGATTGATTCTATCGATTCCAAGTCGGAGCTAGCTCACCGCATCATGTTGACCAACCTCTTGCGGCTCCTAGGCTGTATCAAATCTCAAAAGCAGAGCAATGGCTTCGAAACACGACCGGCCCAGGTAATCCTTCCCCTATCGCCAAACCACGGCACATTCGGGAATGACGGCTTGTACTCCGAGTCCAAGCTAGCTCTGGAGACGCTCTTCAACCGTTGGTACTCGGAAAGTTGGAGTAACTATCTTACCATCTGCGGTGCAGTCATTGGCTGGACTCGCGGTACAGGTTTGATGGCCGGAAACAACATGGTCGCGGAAGGAGTTGAGAAACTTGGTGTCCGCACTTTCTCTCAGCAAGAAATGGCCTTCAACTTACTGGGTCTCATGGCTCCTGCAATTGTCAATTTGTGTCAGCTCGACCCTGTTTGGGCGGATTTGAATGGTGGACTTCAATTTATTCCTGACCTGAAAGGCCTCATGACAAAGCTCCGTACCGACATCATGGAAACAAGCGATATTCGCCAAGCGGTGATCAAAGAAACTGCCATCGAAAACAAGGTTGTTAATGGAGAAGACAGTGAAGCGCTGTACAAGCGTGTTGTTGCTGAGCCTCGAGCCAATATTAAGTTCGAGTTTCCCAAACTCCCCAGCTGGGACGAGGAAATACAACCCCTTAATGAAACTCTCAAAGGCATGGTCAACTTGGACAAAGTTGTCGTTGTCACTGGTTTCGCAGAAGTCGGGCCTTGGGGTAACTCGCGAACCCGCTGGGAAATGGAGGCTCATGGAAAATTCTCTCTTGAGGGATGTGTGGAAATGGCATGGATCATGGGGCTTATCAAACACCACAACGGTCCGCTGAAAGGAAAGTCATACTCGGGCTGGGTTGATGCAAAGACCGGGGAACCGGTAGATGACAAAGACGTCAAGCCGAAGTATGAGAAATATATTCTTGAGCACTCTGGAATCCGCCTCATCGAGCCTGAGCTCTTCAAGGGCTACGACCCAAAGAAGAAGCAGCTGCTTCAGGAAATTGTCATTGAGGAGGATTTGGATCCATTCGAGGCCTCTAAAGAAACCGCCGAAGAGTTTAAGCGGGAGCATGGTGACAAGGTTGAGATTTTCGAAGTTCCTGAATCTGGAGAGTACACCGTCCGTCTCAAGAAGGGTGCCAACCTCTTGATTCCCAAGGCTCTCCAGTTTGACCGCCTTGTTGCAGGCCAGGTGCCAACAGGCTGGGACGCTAAGCGATATGGTATTCCCGACGACATCATTGAGCAGGTTGACCCAGTGACCTTGTTTGTTCTTGTCTGCACTGCTGAAGCGATGCTCTCGGCGGGTATCACCGATCCTTACGAGTTCTACAAGTATGTCCATTTATCCGAGGTTGGTAATTGCATTGGCTCTGGAATTGGAGGAACCCATGCCTTGCGAGGAATGTACAAGGATCGGTACCTAGACAAGCCACTTCAGAAGGATATCTTGCAGGAGTCGTTCATCAATACTATGAGTGCATGGGTCAACATGCTATTACTCTCCTCTACTGGACCTATCAAGACGCCCGTTGGTGCTTGTGCAACGGCTGTGGAGTCCGTTGACATCGGATACGAGACTATTGTCGAAGGAAAGGCCCGTGTCTGTTTTGTTGGTGGTTTCGATGACTTCCAGGAAGAGGGCTCATATGAGTTCGCCAACATGAAGGCTACCAGTAATGCTGAAGATGAGTTTGCCCACGGGCGTACACCGCAGGAGATGTCACGTCCTACGACGACTACTCGTGCTGGCTTCATGGAATCACAAGGTTGTGGTATGCAACTCATCATGAGCGCTCAGCTCGCGCTGGACATGGGGGTGCCAATCCACGGTGTTATTGCTTTGACAACTACGGCTACCGACAAGATCGGCCGCTCAGTTCCTGCACCCGGACAGGGTGTCCTTACTACTGCGCGGGAGAATCCTGGCAAATTCCCATCGCCCTTGTTGGACATCAAGTACCGCCGCCGGCAGTTAGATTTGCGCAAGAAGCAGATCAAGGAGTGGCAGGAATCTGAGTTATTGTATCTTCAGGAGGAGGTTGAGGCCATGAAATCTCAAGGCTCTGAGTCGTTCAACATGCCTGAATACATGCACGAACGAGCCCAACACATTGAGCGCGAGGCCGTGCGCCAGGAGAAGGACGCACAGTTCAGTCTTGGCAACAATTTCTGGAAGCAAGACTCGCGCATTGCTCCTCTACGTGGCGCTCTTGCCACCTGGGGCCTCACCGTGGATGACATCGGCGTCGCTTCTTTCCATGGTACTTCCACCGTCGCAAACGATAAGAATGAATCGGATGTCATTTGCCAGCAGATGAAGCATTTGGGCCGTAAGAAGGGAAACGCAGTCCTGGGTATTTTCCAGAAATATTTGACTGGACACCCCAAGGGTGCCGCCGGTGCTTGGATGTTCAACGGCTGCCTGCAGGTTTTGGATAGTGGGTTAGTTCCCGGCAATAGGAACGCCGATAATGTGGACAAGGTGCTCGAAAAGTTCGACTATATTGTCTACCCCAGCCGCAGCATTCAAACGGATGGTGTAAAGGCATTCTCAGTTACCTCATTCGGTTTCGGTCAGAAGGGCGCGCAAGTTATTGGCATTCACCCCAAGTATCTGTACGCCGCTCTTGACCGCGCCCAGTTCGAGGCCTATAAGGCCAAGGTTGAGGCCAGACAAAAGAAGGCCTATCGCTTCTTCCACAACGGCCTGATCAACAATAGCATATTTGTTGCTAAGAACAAGGCGCCATATGAAGATGAGCTTCAAAGCAAAGTCTTCCTCAACCCTGATTATCGGGTTACCATTGACAAGAAGTCTTCTGAGCTTAAGTTCCCTGCAGCTCCCCCCAAAGTCGCAGATAAGGGAGTTGAAAGCACGAGGCAGGTAGTTGAGTCGCTGGCGAAAGCTCACGCCGTTGAAAACTCCAAGGTGGGAGTGGATGTGGAAAACCTGGAATCTCTCAATATTGAAAATGAGACGTTCATCAACCGGAATTTCACTACTGAAGAGCAGCAATACTGTCGCAAGGCAGCCTCTCCCCAAGCATCATTCGCCGGACGCTGGAGTGCGAAGGAGGCTGTTTTCAAATCCCTTGGTGTTTGCAGCAAAGGCGCCGGTGCTCCGTTAAAGGACATCGAAATCACTAACGACGCAACAGGGGCTCCTGTTGTTAATGTGAGTTTGCCCCTGTCTTTGGTTTTTGACGTAACTCATGCAACTAACATCTTTCATAGCTTCATGGTGCTGCAGCTGAGGCGGCCAAACAGGCCGGTGTGAAACAAGTCAATGTCAGCATCAGCCACAGTGATTCTCAGGCAGTAGCTGTAGCCGTTTCCACATTCTAATGGTTTGATGAGCAATCTGGGTTAGAGTATACGTATCTAAGTATAGATAATTTCTTCTTTTCATTGTTTCTTAATTCCCTAGCATAGGTCACCACGTTCTTTTCTAGGATTGTATATCTTCTGGTTGTAAGCCCTGTCAGGGACGGTGAACTCTGTTGAGGCTCTGCTTACTCCTCACGTCTTTTCTTTAAAACCAACTATTGCAATCGACTCAGCCTACGTACGTTGCTCTCCAGCTTAACCCCCCATTCTTCTCCTGTCTCATGTAAATTATATATATATCTAAGGTAGCTTAATCGAGTAACTCCGATACGCATTGCGACAAGTTGTTCTATTCAATATAAATTCGCTACTAAACAAGCCACACCGTCGAATACGAGACAATATGGATTCTCAGCCTTGTCTGCGCCCAGACGCTCGATTTAATGGACCCCAGTTAGCGCGAGGGTTGAGTTGATATCTGACGAGTCGTTTTTTGACCACTTCTCTACCTAGAGACTCGTCGAAAACAACATCCAGCGTGCTGGTATTAGATTTGTTTGTAAGTGTTCCATGGACTTGGTTGGAACTCTGCGGCTCCTTTTGCATATTAGCAGGTCGAGAATCTGACTCGCTTTGGTTCAACGCCTGCCAGAAGCCGGAACGGTACAGCGCGGCTTCGACTTTTGTCACTACGTCGGAGATATCCTTCCCGTTTTCGGCAGCAGACACGATCTCTTGCTTCAGCAAATTTAGATTTTTCTCGCCCTCCTTCAGCTTCTGAATGTTTTCCCGGCTTTTCGCCATGATAGCAGCACCGGCAGTGCTAGGCTTAAGAGCATTTTCTTTGATAGGAGATTTTTGCCTCACCCATTCTCTCATGATCTCCCAAATCACGTCCCAAGGTGCATCTGTGCGGATACTGTTCGGTTTGGTGTGACTACGGGTACATTGGTAACCCAGGTGTCGCACAGCTCCACGAAAAGCATCGGAAGAGATGGTGGATGTATGAAGGACTTTTGACAGAGCACTCAAACTGAAATAGAATGGGTACGGCTCTCGAAGTGCCGGGTCCATCCGCGGGATTATGGCTGGATCTTCGTTTAGTTCAGCATCCTTGATTTTGGAAAGAGTAGTTTCTGAACTGGCACCCTGTATAGGGTCGTTGGGAATCAGGTCCTCTTCAAGTGCTGTAGTTAACATGCCTTCGATTCTGTCTACCGTTTGATATATGCTTCTATCCACCTCAGGAAGCATAGCAAGAATCCTTCGGATGAAGTGAGGGTTATGTAGCGGCCCGGCCCACATTGGGCCGCCTATGTGAGTCTTCATCCCACAGTGCGCACAGTTCGTATTTGCCATGGGTCCCTGGGCGAATCCGTGATGGTAGAAAGGGTTCCCGTTTTTATCAAGTCGTGGCTTCGTCTGGGTCAAAGGCTGTGTTGACCAAGCTCCGCAGCCTGAATCACAGTTGTAAACAACCATTGTATTACCCGACGCAAACTTAACGTCTGCTGGAGACCGATGAACGCGGACAAAGACTCGGGCGTAAAAATCGATTGACAGAGATAGAAGTGGCTCTATGGCCAGCCCGTACTTGGCAGCTGACCCCGCGAGTGCGTGAAGGATTAGGCGTAGCCCACCTTCATGGGAGTGTGTACCTTTCGTTGGTACGCCACCGTACAATGCATATGATTTTTCCGGGTATCCGTTGGATGCCCAAACCCCGGCATCGGTGCAGGTCACGCAAAGCAAACCCCCATCCTTGACAGCCTGCACAGCAGATTCCATAAACGGTGCAGCCGACCCATAAGGATCCAGATCAATAACATCAAACTTCCCAGTGTGCAGTCCACTAGTCTGAGTGTTGGCCGGGTTAAGAGTGCTGTACATGTAAGTCCGCGCATCGCCGGTGTTAGGTTGAATGAGCTTCCCAAGTCTGTTGTATTCGATGTTCAACTTCATTGATTTGATGGCAGACGGCGAAAGATCATTCGCAACAATGCAAGTAGCAAATGGAATCTCTGATGCATATCGTAGTGCACGCAAACCAGTAGCAGACAGAGCATCTAGAATTGTAAATGCTGGCGTGGTATTTTCTCCAGTGTGCGACTCTGAGGCTAGATGATCACTTCTTCCTGTCTGATTGTCAAAATTGCTTCCTCTACCGTTTGGTTCCTCTTCATCACCATCCTCCCTCTTCCGTTTCTTGCCTTTTGATTTCCCATCCGCTGCACCTCTTTTCTGCCTCCTTTCGGCTCTCTGCTTTTTTGAAGCCAGCACATGTTCCCCATAGGCTTTGATTGCAAGTACACTCAGGTCGCGATTGAATTGCTGGATAGGATTGTAGAATACGGACTGAGCCTCGTCCTCTGCCTTGAGATCTCTTCTTGTTCCTGTGGAGGCTGCAGCTTGGGAAGGTGGGTTCAGGATGAACGCATTCCCTTCTTTCACCGCGTGGTATTCCTTGCCGTCATACTGAATGAGTTGATTTAGAATACTAGACTTTGGTTCTGTTTCCATGATTGAAGATCGTGAGAAGCAATATCGTATAGAAAGTGGGATGCCGGGGGCAAGCTGGGGGTTTTCAAGTCTTCGGAATGTCAGGGCATTGGTCCGTATAGATTCGAAAAAGGCCAAACGAAGTGTCGAGATACGGTAAGGACCCAAGAGACTCAGGCTCATCGGCTCCGGTATAGACAACCCAGTTCGTAAGGCAGCAGAAGTGTTTAGCTTTGAACTGTTGGTTATAAGTTTGGTTCGCCGCACCCGAAAAAAAAAGAAAAAGAAAAAAAGAACAGAGGATCGGACATAACGCACGGACCATTATTTTAAGGTCCAATACATTCTCACGTACGGGAGTATATAAATAAAATAATTGCAGAGCGCATCGCGCTCTGCAACCAACAATATGTCCATCTTCTTTGGGAAAGGAAATTGTTGTCTCTTAACTGAGCTACCAAGCAAGTTTCACTGTTGAGTATTGTACTGCATATGCATGAGCTGCAACCGAAGAGCTTGTTTCCCTCTTTATATATAAAGGTGTGCGTGCCTGCATAAAGTCCGAAAATTTCTCCAACCATATACCCATTTCATAGCCAGGGCCCGAAAATAGGTACTTGTTTATAAATTTCATTCCAGCCACTGGCCTCCCATCCCGAACCCTGGCCTCCACGACCAATTATACCCAGAGCGCCCGCCAGCCAGACAGTTGTTCCTAGCGCGGCAACTCCATTGACTATCCACCACATTTTTCTCTTTCTCTTGACCTGCTCTTCGCTTTCCGTGTGCCCTAAGTAACTTTCCATTGAGCATTTCTTATAGCCTCGTTCCTTCTGAGCAGTGGTGACCCGCCAGCCCATCCAAGCACCCCATCCTCCAACGATATGCCACATCCCAACGGCGGCGAGGGTCACGTAGTATACATTCCAAAAGACAGGGTTTCGTGCGATTCCATGAGCAACATAGCCCAAACCCACTCCCGAACTCCCACCATCGGCGATCAATGGCGTGATACGGTTTACGAGGACGTGAGCGCCAAGGAACGGGACGAAGCAGTACCCTAGACGTGCTTGCAGGCTCATCCGCGGCCAGAAATTCAGGGAATATCTCTGGACCCTAGTCTCCGCCCCATACAGTCGTGCACGGCGAGAAGAACGAAGATTGCGGAGAGTAATGCCGGAAGCGATATGAATGAGGATGGGAACGGTCAGGATCACATGTTCAAGCCCTGGAGACTGGTAGATAGGTCTCGTAAGAAGCAGATAGGTTTCACTATCTGGAACCGACCGAGTCGCCAGAGGGAAAAGAGAGGTGTTGGCGAAATGCAGCGCGAAGAATAAAGTGGGGGGGTACGTTGAGTATCTCTGAAGTGCGGATACTGGAGTCACCCCGACTGTTAGCTCAATGTAACCCAAAATAGTTTAACAGGACATACACCATGAATCCCAGTTGTGTCCACGGAGACCTAGGTTGAATCGGGGCTGTCTGGCTTCTGATATATTTCCAACTTTAGATGGACAAACTTGTGATTGAGGGATGTATTGGCCACTTTCAAGGTCGGAGAATCCCTCATGCACTGGTGAGGGGTCCAGCTCCTGCATAGAAATTACCGAGTGCGTATCGATATCGTTTTGTTTTGGCGAGATGCTTTCTTTGGAGGTCATGGTAATAGATTGAATCCCGTCAACCTTTTACGGGTGTCAAGGCGGATTAGGCTTCTTCGTCGTCTTCTTCTTCTTCTTCCTCTATTCTTTTGCCTCTGATTTTTTTGCACCTATATAATCATCGCAATGGTGGTATCATCAATATCGCTAAACATGGAATGAGGTATAGGTGATATTCTTTTAGTACTCTTTTCATCACTTCATCTATTCCTTGGAATGCTTCCCCCAATGCAACCATTATGATTGGTTGAGAGGTCACCCATGTGGAAGCTTAGCCTATAGAGGAAGGTCCTACAGGTACCCGTGACCCATAAGCTACCTACGTACTAAAGTACTCGAACTAGCTGCGGGCCTGGGTTCATCTTTGAGCAACCTTAGGTACAACATTAAAAGACCGCAAGACATGATTTATCTTCTCACTCTTTCTCCATTTTGAATTGACTGAGATATTCGTTCAAATACACATTGCTCCTCAACGTACCAAAATCTCGTTTTCATTTCCAAACTGCTGTGCTCTATAGCAAGATGGCACCTGTATGTCTATCGTGTTACGGCACCGAGTCCCCGTTAAGCTATATAATGGAAGATTCTGGCGTTGATGAGCTGATGTCTAATAAAACTAGCGTGGCTTTACCAATCCTGCTCCCAAAGTATGACCCAATTCCGCCAACGGACTGCGGAAGCTGGTCTTCTTGACTAATTCACGAGCTTCGTTACAGACAGAGTCTGCACGCTCTGCTTTGAGCTCCTTTACCTGTACACTCTGCAACAAATCGTATTCGCGGCATCCCGAGTATGAAGCACATATCTCTTCTTACGACCATCAGCATCGCAAACGCCTTCAAGATCTCAAACAACTCTCCCGGGACCCAAACGCTGCGGAGAAGGCTAGGCGAGCGGAAAAGAGGGCTGACGCAGAGGCTGGCCTAAGAGTCATTGATACCAAACCTGGCACAGCAGTGGGAACTGGGGGCGGGGGTGGTGGAGGTTTCAAGAAAGGGGGATTTAAGAGCTCCTTTACGGCTGTCAAAGGTCCTGTTGCTCCGACAGCACCAACGAAGAAGAACGTACTCGGGGATGATGACGAAGATGAAATGCCAGAAACAACAGATCGGAGCCAACGTGCTCAGGCTACACAAGACTCAAGTGCTCAGCCTGACTATGCAGAAAGTGACACGGATGCTGAATACGCGAGTGATACAATGGGTAGTGACTACTATGATCCCCTTAAGCCGACGGGCTGCTTCTCTGGTTGTGCCAGTACTAGACATATACCCATAGAGGCTGCTGTGGTCAAGGGGTAGGGTCAGTCACAACGAAGATTATGGGAAAGGGTTGGCGTTCTTGTTCGGAATAGGGATTATTGGCCTTTTTTTTTTTTTTGTTTATTTTCATTTTTAGGACTTGCAAGGACCGTAGGATGATCGTCTGTAGGTGCCAGCCATACTACCTAGTACGACTACCTCGGATGAAACTCGAAGTACACTCCTTCGTAAAAGGCTTTCAGAAGCTCCTAATAGGAGCCGGATTGAACTCCAGGGGCACCACGATGCCCTCGTCCGAGAGAATGTACGTCCGGAAGAGTACAGACTTATTGTATGGTAAGCCTTGAAGATGCAATAAAGGTTGTTCTTTAGTATAGTCGTACAGATTTCCAACAAGGGAATTTAGCGGTAAGCCCCGCGAAAACAAAATATAAAAATGTATGCAACGGCAAAAGGGTACTAGACACAGGGTGATTACTCGGCTTTATCTCCTCCACTTCTCATCTCAACCCAATTTACAAGCGTAGAAGCTTGGTGGCCTGGCCAAGGATGGTGTCCACCTGGGGAAAGCTCATCTGCTCAAGGCCGGCGGCGTAAGGAGTAGGCACCTCAGCACCGGTGACACGAACGGCGGGGGCAGTCAGGTAGTCAAAGCCGTACTCCATGGCTAACGCCAGGATTTCTGAGGAGACGCCAAACATAGGGAATCCAGACTCGACGCACATGATGCGGCCGGTCTTCTTGAGCGACTGAATAATTGTCTCGACATCAAGGGGCTTAACGGAGCGGAGGTTGATCACCTCGGCGTCAACGCCGTATTTCTGCTTCAGCTCAGCGGCAGCGTCCAGAGATAGTCCGACGCAGCGAGAAAGAGAAACAATAGTCAAATCCTTTCCAGGACGTTCAATCTTAGCCTTGCCAATAGGCAAGACAAAGTCATCCTTCTGAGCGGCCTCGCTCATGGGGAAGGCCTGACCATATAACAACCTACGCATTGTTAGTTTAGAATATCCTATGTCATCATACTTGCTTCGGTCACACATACTCGTTCTCCAGAACAACGACAGGGTTGGGGTCACGAATAGCAGCCTTCAACAGACCCTTGGCGTCCTCAGAGCTCCATGGGGAAACAACCTTGAGTCCGGGAATGCTACCGTACCAGGCCGAGTAGTCCTGTGAGTGCTGAGCGGCAACACCGGCAGCGAATCCATTGGGGCCACGGAAAGTGACGTTGCAGGGCTGAATACCACCAGACATGTAGTGAGTCTTAGCGGCAGAGTTGATGATTTGGTCAATAGCCTGCATGGCGAAGTTGAAGGTCATGAACTCGCACTAGATTTTGAAGTTACTTGTCAGCGGACAGAATTTCTCCGGTAGTCGACAGTTGAGTATCTCGTCGATATGCACTTACAACGGGGTGTAAGCCAGCAAGAGCAGCGCCAACCGCCAGACCGCAAAAGCCTGCTTCTGTGATAGGCGTGTCAATGACTCTCTTGGGGCCGAAACGGTCCAAAAGACCTCTTGTCACTTTGTAACTATGAGGGACAAAAGTCAGTGATGGACGCAGGACTCGATAGTGTTTCTTTCCAGGGATAGCCATACGCTCCGTTATACTGTGCGACCTCCTCTCCCAGGATGAACGTTTTCGGGTTCGTCTCCAGTTCCTCGGCGAGAGCTTCGTTCAATGCATCACGAACAGTGACTTCCTTAACACCAGTTTCCGTAGCATAGCCCCGGGAGCGCAGGATGAAGGGAGCGCATGCCGATTGGGGGAAGGCCGGACGGCGAGGAGCAGAGAGACGCGATGAAAGCAGACGAGCTGCAGGGCGGAAAAGTCGGGGAGCAGCCATGGCCGGGCTGAAGGACATTTATATCAGCAGAAGAAAGGAGAGGGTGTTCACAAGGCCTCCGCGGTGAACGGATCAACAAGTGAAGTCAGAAGGAAGGAGAGAAGATAGATACCGGAGCGAAGGGTTCGCAATTCCGTTGTTTCGGGACTTGGTCGTCAACCTATTGGGGATTTTAGTTTTTGGTGAGCATTTCGAGAGACTGTTGGGTTGGGGATGACTAAGCAGCGGGCGGTCCTCACCGGCGGCTCCTTCCGTGAGAGTGATAACAGATGCGATAACGCTGGACTCCGTACTCCGTTCCTCGTGTGCTACGACGGAGACTCTAGTCCTTCCTGCCGTCCACTTAATCATCCATCATTATTGTTATGATAATAAGAAGGATGATCTTCGATCGGTCCTATTCGCATATTCTCTCCTTCTTCGCCCTCATCGCTCCCATACTGGCTCGTCAGCCGTCCGCTCCGGAACCCATCGCGGCCCCTTTGCGTGAGCTGAAATGGGGACAACTCAATTTTCTCCATACTACGGATACTCATGGCTGGCTAGCCGGCCATCTCCAGGAGTATGCACATTGAGCTGGACATGAATCCCTCTGCGGATGCCAAATGATACTGATTGAACCCAATATAGGCCCTCTTACTCCGCAGACTGGGGTGATTATGTCTCCTTCGCCACCCGGATGCGAGAGAAAGCGGAGGCACAAGGACAGGACTTACTCGTCATTGATACGGGTGACAGGGTAGAAGGCAATGGTCTCTATGACTCGTCGGAACCGAAGGGTGTCTATATCTCGGAAATTCTGCGGCAACAGCATATCGACCTGTTGTCAGCCGGGAATCATGAACTGTACAAACAAAACACCTCGGAGGCTGAACTCTTCACTACAGTCCGTAATTTCCGCGGGAACTACCTAGCATCTAACATTGATATAATACATCCTATGACCAAAGAGACTGTGCCATTGGCTCCTCGGTTCAAGAAATTCACGACCGAGAAGCAAGGTATCCGTATCATTGCTTTTGGCTTTCTTTTCGATTTCACAAAGAACTACAATAACACCATCGTCCATTCAGTGGAAAAGACTATTAAAGAAGATTGGTTTCAGGAAGCTATTAGGGACAAGGAAGTTGACCTCTTCTTGGTGGTGGGGCACGTTCCTGTTCATTCCAAGGAATACGATGCTGTCTTCAAGGAGATCCGGATGATCCGTTGGGACACACCTATTCAGTTCTTTGGTGGTCATTATCATATCCGTGACTTTGCCAGATATGACTCTAAAGCGTTTGGGTTAGCAAGCGGTCGGTTTATGGAGACAATCGGCTTCATGTCAATCGATGGCCTAACCACTAGCAAACAGCTCGTAAAGCCTGCTTTGACAACCCCAAGCTTCCATCGAAGATATATAGATAATAACCTTTATTCCTTCTACCACCACACTGGCCTTGACGAGGAAACTTTCCCTACGAAGGTGGGTCGAAATGTGTCTCGGCTTATCCAGCAGTCTAGGAGCACTCTTAGGCTCGATAAGGTACACGGCTGTGCCCCTCGGGATTTCTGGATGTCGCGCGTCAAGTATCCAAGTGAGAATAGCATTTACACTTGGCTTGAGCAGCAGGTGCTGCCCAACTCATTGCACGACAAATCTCGCGCTGGCAAGCCGGCTCTAGCCATAGTCAACACTGGCGCCATTCGCTTTGACATATTCAAAGGCCCTTTTACCCAAGACTCGGTATTCATAGTGTCTCCTTTCACCAGCGGTTTTCGTTATCTTAAGGACATTCCTTACGAGAAGGCCACTTTTATAGTCGAGATCTTAAACAAAATGCCACAGATTCTGACCGATGCTGACAACCGATCCAGCATCACTTGGGGACTTGCGCCCCCAGAACAGTCAGCTTATTCCTCTGATATAATATTTGACGATAGCCTCGCTCTGAGCTCTACGAATTACCTCAGAGATCAGGCGCCGCTGCTGAGCAACGATCATTTCGAGCCCAGCATTATCCCTGGGTATATTACTACAGACGATGAGGGCGCCGATGGCGATGACACAATTCATTCGCCCATCTCGTTCTACCGTGTTCCCAATTGCATCCAGGCTCTAATCTCTCCAAAAGAGTCGGCGGCCCCGGAAACAGTGGATCTCGTATATATTGATTTCATAGAATCCGACGTGGCTCTAGCAGCCAAATTTGCGGGGCTGGCTATAGACATCACTCAGGACAGTAATGTGTATATGCCGGCTACGACACTATCGAATTTGATCTTGGATTGGGTCAAGGACAACTGGAGTTGTAAGGAAGTGTGAAGTATTACGGAAAACAGGCCCTCTCTACTGTCGTTACTTTATTACATCTTAGTTCAGACGTTCTGCACAATTGTGGGTAGACATATGCATTACTTGGCACATAACCATTACAAAGATTCAATCTCCGCCTTCGTACTTGAGCAGGCCCTTTCCACTGCGATAACCACTCAAGGTTTCCTGCACGCCAGAGGTGAGTGCCGCACCGTCTGTGTCCCAGGTCCACTTTATTTCCTCCACGGGGATGTCTTTGAATTTGCCCGCCCGGGTCAGCTGTAGCACATCGTTGATGGTGTTCTCCTTGAGTTGAGGATGCTTATCCCCCCATTTGCTCACCCAAAATCCATCAAAGACGAGGTTCTTAAAGATCAATAATCCGGAAGGTAAGGAAACTGGCTGCTTTGACATCGCGCCGTAGGTGACCAGGTGGGAGCCTGGAGCGAGGGTCTTCGCCAATGCAGTGGCGTTCTTACCACCCACACAGTTCAGAGCAAGTCGGATCGGCTCCCTTCCGTTGCGAGTGAGGCCGCTCACCACGTTCTTGAAATCGCCTGAAAGTAACTCCGCTTCCGTGACTACAGCAGTGGCACCGAGTTCATGAAGCTCAGCCTTCAGGAGTTCTGTTTCCTCTGGCGTCTTCCTCTCCCGGACGACATTGATTGTCTTAATACCCCATTCTCGTGCGAGTTGAATGGCAGCACGACCAACACCACTGTTTGCTCCGTTCTGAATTAGCCATTCCTCTCCACTCCGCATCCAGTCCCATTCACAGAAGTCCTTGATCATGCGGTAGGCCGTGACTGGGTTGACGCTGACCGTGCTAATCTGGAGCGGTGATAGACCTTCTTTATTCTCAATTTTGATCAGCTGCGACTCATCCATCTGAGCGTGTGTGCGCCAGGTGCCCTGTCCTGTCTGCTTCATGACGACCCAATCACCCTTGCTGAGGTTCTTGACATTAGAGCCAGTCGCAATAACTTCAAAGGCGCCCTCATTTCCACCCACTGCACATGGGTCTTGGGTACCAAGGGTTGTCTGGAATGGAGGTTTGCTCGGATACACCCCCTGAATCTGGTTCACGTCGGCCGGGTTTAGAGGCGCCGCAAGAAGACGAAGAGTAACCTGAGACCCATGCGGAGGGGAGATGGAATGCTTGTGGAGGCTAGAGATGAACTGGTTAGGCAAGCTTCATTGTACTCACGTTGCAAGTAGTTTGTGTGAGCCTCCGGCATCACTTACCGCAAAACGTCTTTGGGTTCACCATATCGTGAATATACGAGTGCTTTAGATTGTGTGTAGCCATAGACTGAAATGTATCTTTTACTCCCAGTCCATGAGCGAGGCAATGCTCCTATACACGGGCGGGCATTAGCCGGAACAGAAGCGGCCCCGTAGGCTTTCCAGAAAAGGGACCCATGGCTGCGAGAGATGGATCGCACTACACCATGCGAGAACATGGTATCAGTCGATTGCGGTCTGCCGGGTACTGAGAGGGTGAGAAGGTAATGGGTGTGAGGTACTAAGGTAGAAGAAAATGAACGAAAGGTCGGGTAAGTTAAATGACGTCGTTCCTTTGACTCGGCCCGACGGACGCTAAACGCGAACTGGCGTTGGACTTTTTTCCCCGTTTACTTCTTGTAAACAGTCGAGCCTCGGCTTCTATTCCTAACAGAAATTCACTCTAAATGTCCCTTCTGCGGGAGGCTGAAAGATGCATTGCTAACCAGAAGTCTCATGTCGCTCTCAATGCCTTCATAACTGCACTACAGCCTTCGGGACCGTGGCGGGAACAGGTGAAAGACGCAGACCTCCGAACGGAGCAAGGTGAGTTGTTGAATCGCTACACATCCTTGGCCATTATTGGTATTGACGAATGTTCTTTCCCTATCGCCCTCAGGAACACCCAGATCCAAGGTGGATGGTCGGTTGATTGCTATCAAAGATAACATATGTACGCGTGACCTTCCGACAACATGCGCTTCGGGAACCCTTGAGGAGTTCGTGAGTCCGTTTAACTCCACCGTCGTGGAGCAATTAGAAGATGCAGGCGCTGTAGTTGCCGGAAAGACAAATCTTGATGAATTTGGCATGGGTTCTCATTCGGTCTATTCGCGATTTGGGCCGGTGAGGAGTTTCTGGCAGGGTCGCGATGCTGAACCCCTCTCAGCCGGTGGCAGTTCGGGAGGGAGTGCAGTTGCAGTAGCCACAGGCCAATGTTATGCGTATGTTCTCTTCTCGGTATCTCCGTCAAATAGGTTCACTGAACAATACAACCAACAGCGCGCTGGGTACAGACACTGGAGGGTCTGTTCGCCTTCCGGCGGCATACACCGGGACAATTGGGTTCAAACCATCTTATGGCTTGATCTCGCGATGGGGTGTAGTCGCATATGCCAACTCACTGGACACGGTTGGGATCCTAGGGGGAAGCATAGCCAGCGTTCGCGATGTCTTCAGTACGTTTCCCTATCTTCCCCATTCTATGTCTTGCTCTGCGCACGGATTTCTAATGCGTCTCCAGATGTTGTGAACCAGCACGATCCACGCGACCCTACAAATATCTCTCCATTATCTCGCTCGCGAATACGTTCATATCTCCAGTCACCCTCTTACGCATCCCGACTAACATCCACACCCCTCAGGGTTGGGGTTCCCATAGAATACAACATTTCCGAACTTCACCCTACTATCCGATGCGCTTGGTCCCGCACTCTAGCTTATTTGCAACAGCAAGGTCACAGCATTCATGCAATCTCCCTGCCGACGACGAAACTAGCATTATCAGCATACTACGTGCTAGCTCCTGCCGAAGCTTCTTCAAACTTGGCCAAGTATGACGGCGTCAGGTACGGAACTCGTCGCGGGGGTCTAGACAGTGATGAGCAGCCGCAAAGCACTTTATACGTCAGTACAAGGGGACATGGATTCGGCCCTGAAGCCAAGAGGCGTATCGTCCTCGGGGCGTTCAGCTTGAGTGCCCATGCTATGGACAATTATTTTATTCAGGCTCAGCGTGTTCGGCGCCTCGTCCAACGTGATTTCGATTGCGTATTTCAAATGAAGCAACCGTTGGCATTTTCCGGGACGGAGCTAAAACGGGCACCGGAACACACTGGCGTAGATATTCTCATTTGCCCGACTGCCCCATCGCCTCCCCCGCGTATATCCGACCTGATAGATTCGGACAATGGCCCCTCGCCTTTGGACGCATACATGAACGATGTCTTTACCGTGCCTGCTAGTCTGGCTGGTCTCCCGGCCATGTCTGTCCCGGTCACTGTGAGTGGCGAGAAACAAGACTCCAATAACGCGGGTTTGGCAGGCATTCAAATTGTCGGTCAGTACGGAGATGACCAACTCGTGTTGAAGGTGGGAGAGTTACTCGAGAACCAAAAATATAAGTCTCGTTGCTATGCGTAGATAATTCGAACTAATAATATGGTGTATATCCATTCTTCATTCAGTTGTGCTAGAAATCACGCTTTGACTTGTGTCTTGGGTATATGTAGGGCTATATGAGATGTAGCAGGAACATGGAAGCTTTATTCAAAGTTTGGTGCCTTGTTTGCGGCAACTTATCAAACCAACACATTCCAAATAATATACATGGGTCCAAATTTCCGGAAATGCAAATTATACCCTATTCAAAGAGGTGGAGGGGTGAAGCAGGTGCGCTGCCAAATGCACATATGCCAGTCGCCCTCATACGGACCAATAAAGCAAGTTAAATGAACAATGCTTGATTCAAGACATCTCAATATCATGGCCCACAGTGGTATTTTCAGGCCCAGCAGCGGGTTCTGTATTCGGTGTACCTACTACACCAACACTGGCCGCATCTTCAACGGTAGAGTGTCCAGTACCAACATCAGGGGAGCCTTCGTTGCCGACACTATTTTCCACAGTGGAAGGGCCCGTTCCAGGACCTGCAGAGATGGCGGATTCATACGCAGCCCCCACACCTCCCTTAAGGACCTCTGAGCCTCCTACGGCCCCAGTACCAGTGCCATCCATCTGGGCATTGCCGACGACGTCACCGTCCACCCCACCCCAAACGAGCATCGCCTCAACCTCATCAACGATGTCAGCAACAACATCTTCGACTATCTGCTCGTTGAAGCGCTCCCCAATCCCCCGAATCAACTCGCCGTTCTCTGCTTGAGGAGGTCCAATCCACCAGGGACCTTCGAAGCGGCATTCAACTGCACCCCCCCCGTAACAACTGACAGCCGGGTAATATCCGATCATTCCGTCATCCGCGTTCTCACGCTCGCCAAGTCCTAAGTTATTGGTCCCATTTGCAAGTCGGCTGGCCGGTGGAAGGAAAGCATACAACTCCTTGAATGCAGTGCCCATTTTCACGCCATTCTTAAATATTGTGATACTCGAACCAGGCAGTGTACGCAAAGATGCATCCTCGGTGTTCATCGGTGACGGTGGTCCGAACGTAGGCGTTTCTTTAAGATTGAAGGCGTAATCACGTAACTGTTTTGTGGGGAAAACATTCGATTGTTGCCAGCAGAAGTCAGATTTGTAGTGGAAAGGGATCCGGTCACGGATAACGTTTGTAGCTACGGGGAGCTCTATCGTAGCGTTGCCATTGGTAGCAGGGTCGTAAGTTCCTTCGACGATTTTCTTGTGGAGCGAAAGTGGCGGAAGAGTGATAAGCATACCAATGACATCTCCTTCGCGGATCGACTCGCCTTTGGGGAAAAAGTATTCGCAGCGCATCCGGTTGACCACCTCGCCATTCACATCACGGATCCCATAACCATAACAGTCTACTCCGACGTTGACATCCAAATCTGCCTCCCTTCGGGCAAAACCGAGACGGACATGGCCTCTTGATGGTATGCAAGAGTTTCCGTTGGCAGGTGCTGTCTGCGGGTCACTCAATACACCGCTGATGATGCGCGCCTCGTAGTAAAAGGTCCCTTCGCGCGCACATACATTAGCGCGCGCGGTGTGCCACGGTCCGGTGGTAGTAACGGCAAGTGCGTCTTCATTAAAGAGTATCGCTGCCGGTGAATCCTCAAAGCTGAAGCGAGCATTATAAGGACGAACATCGGTCTGACGGTATTTTATATGTGGGAAGCTAGTATCGGCTATGGCGTAGCTATAGCGGAACCCATTTTTATTTGTAAGCTTGTCAACGACTTCGTAGAAGCTCCAACTCTGGCCAATTACCTCTGATGTTTTCCGACTCACTAAATTTAGCTGGCGAGGCTGGGGAGGTAGTAAATCGGATGGCCTCGGCTCAGCAAGCAGCAAAGGTCTGAGAATATTGAGGTCCGAACTGGGGAGAGCGGTATTTTGAACAGCAGTTGCTCTCTTTTTGGCGGGCACGATTTCTTGATCCAATCCCTTAGCCTCGCGCTTTTTACGACTGTCACGTTTGTTGCGCTTGGTCCTTGGACCGTCAGCTTGCACTGACGCATTGCTAGCGGGCGCAGGTGATGATCTTGTATTCGTATCTGATAAAGGTCCATTGAAAAACGGTATTCCACTGGGAGGCAAAATTGGCGAATTTATATTCGACGAAGGTGCAGAAGACCCAGCCGGCGGCATAGATGCCATGGCTGAAGTTGTTTCGCAGATGAGCTGTCCAAACAGCCAAGTCAATTATGAAAGGATGGTTCAATGGCCCTGGCTCCTATGGCGTAAGATCATTAGTTTGCTGTTTTCTTATTGTGATGTTACAAGCGTGAAGGGTGAGGAGCAGACAGATTCCAAGCGATCGCAATAGGGGAAGTTGGCTTGGCAAAGATCCACAAAGTAGACGATTTCCCTTCGTTAAAGGGAGACAAGTATCGAGAATAAAGACGCCGGTATTCAAGAACAGAATCCAGAAGATCTAGACAAACTAGAGAGTCTGCGATAAAGGAATAGTCGGGTCAGGCATAAGCACAGTACATTTGAGAAGAATATTTTACAGACAGGACTGAAAGTCTATTAATGCACAAAGGGTGGCAATGATGAATTGATAGAGTCCAAGCCCTTGCCGACTCACCAATCTGCGTTTTGCAACCACGAGGGTCAATCGATGGGTTTATTATGCCTTCCAACCAAGTTTACTGGATGAAAGTTCTTATATGATAAGATATCTGGGATCCTGGGAGTAGGTAGGAGATCAACAAGAATTCGTTATTAGCAAAGCTGGTTATGATGTGACATTCACTTCCCACAAAGAACAATCAATGGTCGTCGTCCCTGTGCATCTAGTAAACATGAATGAATGATACCTGGAGCAGAAACAGTCCTGGTCTCGGTAGTCGAGGGCGGTCAGCAGAGTTATCTTGGGCAGAAACACAATGTTGGTGGATTCCCTTAGATGGAGGGGCACTGGGCGGTGAGAAAACATTGGCCATTCATCGTGCTCTGATTGAAAGCGGTGAGTATCCCAACACCCACTTTGAATACTAGTCAAAGAAAAAAAAACTGCTTTGCAAAAAAGTCAAGATCACATGATCTACAAATTTACACACATTTTCAAGCCCATGTCGAAGCTCAATTATACGATCATTTAGACGGCCAGGCTCTTATCATTGTTTGTTATGGTATAGAATTCTTCAGCTACAAATCATACTTTCACAACGATCTTTGGAAGCCATTCACAATGCCCAAAGCTACATCATCTCGCTCGGCCGCTGTTGGTCGTCGACACAATCCTCTGGCTGAAGATATCGTGACAACAGGCCATTTACGGACCCATTCCAGCAAAAATAGTAAACGCAAGTCGCGATCCGATGAAGACCAAGATGATGGTGAACGTTTCATCGATGCAAAAATGTCGCGCAAAATCCTGCAGATTGGGCAGGAACTAGCGGACGAGGATGCTGCTGAGCAAAGGGCTGCTTTGGGCATTACAGCGGTGAAAGATAATACGGCATTTGATTTCGAATCTCGATTTGATGACGATGAAGGTCTTTCCGACGACGAAAAGTTTCAGGATGACCAATGGGGCGATGAGGAAGAAATTGAGGAAGTGGTCTGTTATTGAATTAACCCTGACGCCCCATTCTATGGCTAATGTCTCATGTAGGAGGTCGATCCAAATGACCTTGACATGTTCCATAAATTCGTTCCCGGTGGCGACGAAGATCCTATATTCAATCCTAGTGAACCGGGCGCTGGTGGTCAGAGCACAAATTTAGCCGATCTCATCCTTGAGAAGATTGCTGAACATGAAGCAAAGCAAAACGGAGATAGCGGTCCCTTCATTCAGGGCGGGGGGCTACCAGAAGATGCAGTTCAGATACCGGCCAAGGCAGTGGAAGTATATGAGAAGTAAGCATGAAAACCATGTCTCCCATATGATCTAAATATTAATAGGAGCCTAGAGTCGGTATGATACTCTCCCGCTACAAATCCGGGCCACTTCCCAAGCCTTTCAAAATTCTTCCTTCTGTTCCCAATTGGCCGACGCTCCTTTCCATCACTCGACCGGAGTCATGGACCGCCAACGCTGTTTATGCTGGAACGAGGATCTTCATCTCATCGAAACCCGCAGTTGCCCAGGAGTTCATCTCAACAGTACTCCTAGATCGGGTTCGAGAAGAAATCCACGAGACTAAGAAACTTAATGTGCATACGTACAACTCGTTGAGGAAGGCACTATACAAACCCGCCTGCTTCTTCAAGGGGTTACTGTTCCCTCTTGTCTCTAGTGGCACTTGCACGTTACGCGAAGCACATATTGTCTCCTCGGTCATTGCCCGTGTATCCATCCCGGTGTTGCATTCTGCGGCCGCTTTGTTGCGCATGTGTGATCTTGCTGCGGAGCAGTCTTTGACGTCACTAGAAAGTACCGGCGCGGTGAACATGTTCATTAGGGTGTTCTTGGAGAAGAAGTACGCGCTTCCTTACAAAGTCATTGATGCGCTAGTCTTCCACTTCCTACGATTCCGGGCGAGCGACAACGATGAGGACTCAATGATGACGAATGGACGTTCACGGGACACCAACAAAGCGTATAAACTTCCCGTTCTTTGGCACCAGTCGCTCTTGGTCTTCGCACAGCGTTACCGCAATGACATCACTGAGGATCAACGAGAGGCGCTTCTAGACTTACTCCTGGTGCGCGGCCATAAAGATATTGGCCCCGAAGTCAGGCGGGAGCTGTTGGCTGGCCGAGGTCGAGGTGTTGTCGTGCCTGATCCCGAGAAACAAGGTGCCCTCGATGCTGGAGATGATACAATGGACGTTACCATGTAGGTGGGTATACATGGATAAATCTTTAGTCACCTCCCCCCTTTCCCATCTGACTTCTACGGTTTTGATCTTGAGTCGCGATCCGGATCGGCGTTATCATGGCATGATGTCTTTCTTTCCCTCTTCTTTCGGTTTTTGTATATATTCCCATGGTATCAAGTGAATTTTTGTTTTCTTGCCGATGATATTCGGGACAAAAGTGGACAGTGGGACAAAACGAATACAAGTAAATTGGCACTAAACGGTGTAGGTGATTGGCTATCCTCTGTAGATCACGTCGCTGAAACGTTCTGGAATAACGAGGGGGCAGGGGTTTATTTTTATTTTATTACGCTTGTCTCTTAGTTCATGCTCCCCACCCGTCAAAGCATGACAGGGTTAGACCAGTATGTAAAAAGACATGACTGTCACAGAAAGAGAAAGCGAAACAACAAGAAACCTCCCTGTGGACCCCTTGCAATAAGGACATGGGGATACATACATACCTTTCGCCTAGCATACCACACCATCGATTCGGTATGCCTTCCTCGACGACATTATTTAGCCCTTTTCGAGCGATGCATGCACTCAGACCTACGGCGAGTCATATTGCGTGGCTCAGTACGGATTAGCAAGGTAGAAATGAGGACTGATTAGTTGAGTGCGTGGCTGAAAAACGGGAACAAAAGAAAGGCGAGGGGATTCTGGTGCATTCCATTTTCATTGTTACAGGGCGAATGAAACCCTTCAATGGATGACCATTGAAACCAGTGGAGCCATGTTCTTCCCATTGAAAGCTGAAGGAGGATATCCACATTCTAGGCCCAAATATGTAGGCAGGTACAACTCCTCCAAGAAAAGGAAAAAGAGAAAGATACTGTTCTTGCTTGACCCCGCAAGGCGGAGTGTTTGAACTTTGGACAGATGCACCGGAAATTTTTTGTAAAAAAAAAAAAAGAAAAACGATCCGATTAGTCGTACCTACAATCTGTACGGACGACGGAGGATATACTCCGTAGTATCATCAACCCGACGGGAATCCGATGGATACTGGGGGCCTGCTAGCAGATCACTCGTATTCCAACTTTAGAAGTTCAGGCGCTCCAGGCAGCGGCATCAAGTGAAGTCTCACCCTCTACCCCACATCATAGAGGGAGCCTATTGGGTATTCTCTATCAGACACGGAGGCCGAGACCTCCAAAAGGGGCGAAAAAAGGGACTCCACCCCTGTGGGAGGTGGTAACTAGTTGTTGCAAGTAAAGAACAAAAGAGGCTGATGGCTGTGGGACTGGACGATGACTGGTCGTTTCAGCACGTCAATAATACGGAGTACATCCGCAGTACCGGTTCGATGGAATGCGTGAAGGGAAATCGCCCCGTGCCCCGTAGTATCCATGTAATGATACCGTCAGGTAGGCTGACGACCATGACTCCGCCCCCTTGCTGCAGGGGCGCGGCGGATGAGACCACGTTGGCCTTTTAAAGAGTCAACCGTTCCCCCAAGTCCACCTCGAGAGAAGACACTCTGGCCTTCACACAACCTTTACCCTCTTTTGGTTTTGAACACCTGTCCTTTTTCAACAATCCCACTTGCGGTTTCTGAAACTCTACCCTAATTGAATCGGGGCCTAGCCTCTGCTCACTCAACCGTTATGACACCGTGGCTTCTACCCTTGTGATCTGGGCCCGTGGACGTGATCATATTACATCTTCCGAGCAAGACGTACACTCTGGAGGGGGTTTTGTTTTTTTATTTTTATTCTCAACCTCTGGGAGAGCCAATACATTACACGTTCTCTAGAGTTACGACCACCTTATGATCACTATGTCTTGTGATATGGAGAACACCATGTCTTCAGTAGAGTCATTGCCCTCCACACCGGCATCGGAGGTACCGGTGTTGACGGTCTCCCCGGCCGACACATCCTTGGATAACGCAGATGTGAAGACGCAGGAAGTCAAACCAGAAGAGAAGAAGCCCGCAAAGAAGCGGAAGTCGTGGGGCCAGGAACTACCAGTGCCCAAGACAAACTTGCCTCCGAGGTATGTCGCTTTAGTTAAAACAGATGCCCTAGGATAATAGCTGACATGGCAAAGGAAACGTGCCAAAACAGAGGACGAGAAGGAGCAGCGTCGCATTGAGCGCGTCCTTCGAAATCGTGCGGCAGCTCAGACGTCCAGGGAGCGCAAAAGGCTGGAAATGGAGAAGCTGGAGAATGAAAAAATCCAGATGGAACAACAGAATCAGTTCCTGCTTCAGCGGTTATCTCAGATGGAAGCGGAGAACAATCGCTTAAGCCAACAGCTTGCTCAATTGGCTGCTGAGGTCCGTGGTTCTCGTGCCAACACTCCAATGCCAGGCTCTCCAGCGACAGCATCTCCCACCCTTACACCTACATTGTTCAAACAAGAGCGTGACGAACTTCCTCTCGAACGCATCCCGTTTCCCACTCCCTCTCTTAGCGATTACTCCCCTACCTTGAAGCCTTCCACTCTGGCTGAGTCCTCCGACGTGGCACAACATCCTGCAGCGGTGTTGTGTGACCTGCAGTGTCCGTCGCTGGACTCGAAGGAGATGGAAGCGCCCTCCCACTTTTCGACCTCGGCTCAGACCTTAAATATCACCCTACAGATGACGTTGCAGCTCCTCTTTCTGACGATGACTTCAACCGCTTATTCCACGGTGATTCATCCGTTGAACCAGATTCTTCTGTCTTTGAAGACGGGCTTGCCTTTGATGTTCTCGAGGGAGGAGATCTATCAGCATTTCCATTTGATTCTTTGGTTAATTTCGACTCCGAACCCGTCGCCCTCGAAGGCATCGAGATGGCCCACGGGCTTCCGGATGAGACTTCTTGCAAGACTTCTAGCGTGCAACCCAGCTTTGGCGCGTCCACTACGCGATGCGACGGGCAGGGCATTGCAGCTGGCTGTTAGCGAAAGGTTCTCTCAGGGAAGCATGTCGGTCACCGATACCCAGGGGGTTCGGTGGAGCTGGGAGTCGCTCCTAACCTTATCATGGGCGATAGACCGACTTGAGAGCCCGGGACGACGCAGACGAATTTTACATGGTTTGAAGACATCGCAGATTGAGCGGCGCAATAATCTAGGGAAGCGTCAGATGAATATCCGGAGTTTATGGAGTTCAAATAAGACGGAGACGTTGACGTCTCCGCTTACGGGCAAGGATTGCTGAGGGCCTATTATCTGTATAATAATTTTGAATGATTTCAAATAAAGAGACCGCTAGCGACTGAGCGGGTTCAGTCTTAATTTTTCGTTTCTCCTGTATTTTTCCTACATATACGCTTTGACAGTCGCAACGCAGCCACTCCAAGAAGGGATGATTCTCTTTATAAGCGACGACAAATGCTGTCCCACGATCGTTGGAAACTCAAGGATAGGCGTAGGGATATTGGTCATGTTAGTTTGTAACCATTTCATGCGGAAATTCGGATGACGTTGCCACGCAAAGGGCCCCTCTCTTCTAGGTTCCGATATTGAAACTGAGCCCATGTTGCCTCCCGCTTTCCCTTTAGGTTCCCCTCTTCGTCTTTCTTGCATCTCTCTCTCAGTGTTTTGACTTGCTGCTACTTCTTTTCATCTCTTTTTTATTTCCCCACAACCAATCATTGCAGGCTGCCATAGTATATATAGCCTTCGAAGTCCAGAGACCGACAATATGGTTCGGAAGGATCCCATCTTCGAAGCTCGTACTAATGTGAAGGTAGGTGGATTTTCAGTCTCCTTCATCTCCCCTTTTTTTTTTTTTTTCCCCGTCACCCCTCCTTTTTCCTGCCTGTTGGCTATATATTTCATTGCTTTCGCTTTTGTTTATATAGTTGGCTAACCCAACTTCCTTGGTTAACAGTTACACTCCAACCGGCTTAAGAAAGAGGCCGCTCGCGCCGAATCGACTTTCAAATCTGAGAAGGCAAAAGCAGACAAGGCCATGAAAAATCGCGAGTTCCAGATCGCCCGCATCCACGCTGCCTCTGCAGTACGCGAGAAACGAAGACAGGTAACCCTCAAGGAGGAAGCAGCCCGCGCAGATGTTATCATCAACGAGCTCAAGGCAGCACAAAGTACTCGTGATACGTCTCGCACTTTAGCCCTAGCATCTCGGGGCTTAGATGCTGCGTCTAAGAGCGTGAATCTTGAGGCGTTAGTCTCCCATGCGAACAACTTTCTAGCACGTTCCGAGGATTTCAAAATCGCTAGTAGTGCAATTGAGGATGTTGCACAGGGCGTCTCCATGCGAGAATACGGTGCTGAGGGTGAAGCCGACGTTGACCGCCTTATGGAGCAGCTTGCGGATGATGCGGGCGTGGACCTACGCATGGCTCTGGATGCAGACGCCGCCCCCAAAGAGGACGTCAAGAATCAGAAAGAAGCTGAGGCAGACCTCGAGGATGGCTTGGGCGCCAGGCTACGAGCTTTAAGGGCTGCGAGCTGATCCTTCAACTCCCTCTTCATGTCCGTCTCTCTTGTCAGCAATTTCCGTTGCTGCTTGGTTGGTCGGATGCGACCGCCATTTGTTAGCTTTGCTACTATCGTGCGGACTTTAACGAAGTTATGCCCACCTGTTCACCTTTGTTACCAGGGCGCTTGTTTTTCCAGGACTTCCCCTCCCCTCTTCTGTCTATCATGTATTGGTCTCTTATGGGTGAAGGCTTAGCGTAGGTTCAAGTTTGGACTTCAATGTATACTCGGAGTACCTGGTGTCTTCTTTTCCTCTTCCTTTCTTTTTATTTTTTTTTTTTATTTTTTTATTTTTATTTTTTTTTTTTTTTTTTTTTTTTTTTTTTTTTTTTTTTTTTTTTTTTTGTCCTTTGCTTTCTTCCTTCTGAGTGAAGGCAACAGCCAGACTTACGATTCTGTTATCTTGATCGCATAGAACTGCCCGAGATTTGTAGTGCTGTCCATAGCTTTCGAGGCCCAGATAAGGTCTTAGAGCTCGATTTCGTCTCTCATTGTGAGAGGAAACTATATATTTCGACTACCTTTTAGTATAAAATTTGTAAGGCCAGATAGTAAGTCAAGCATAGGTAGAGTTATCCACAACTATTCTATTGCTACAATCAAATATTTCAATTTAAACCCAAAGGCACCGCCTCCAGGCTATTATTTCTGTATGCTTTCCACTAACTAGTACAAAGGAATACGAGAAGACCACAGGAGAATGAAAACTTGTTTATTTTGTCTTATATAACAATATACGATCATGCTTCTTGTAAGAACAGCCGGGCTAGCTCAATCGGTAGAGCGTGAGACTCTTAGTCTTCACGGTATCTCAAGGTTGCGGGTTCGACCCCCGCGTTCGGCTTCAATTTTTTTCAAATTTTTTTTTTTTTCTGTTTATTCTGCCTCTTAACTGTTTTTTGGATGTAGTAAATTTAGTTCTCTGTCCCTAACCCCACCCAGAGCGCACTATCTACCCTCTAACCTCCGCAGTCCGCCATCACTCTTTAGTACCAATACTGCGTACATCCGGCCTGCCTAGGCACCCCACCTAACGTGAACACGTCCGGCTACTTGCCGGGGAATCCATCCCGTCATATAAAGTAGCCCTAACCTTCTGAAGACGCTCCGTTGATCTGCCATTCGATAGTTATCACCACATCCATATATCACGGGCCAATGAAATACCTTTTTCATGCACCATAGTAACCATACCTAACCACATCCAACGCTTGGAGACACTTGAAGTCTCTTCGCACGGACAAGGGTGAATGCTTGTTATCCTGTGCAGAGGATGGATGACGCAGCAACGACACTGAGTCTCAATAAGACATCCCATGCCAGACAGGCGGCATGTCTCAACTGCAGAAAGAGCAAGGTCCGATGTAACCGCACGCCAGGGGATGCAGGCTGTGATAGGTGCAGGCAGGCCGCTGCGGAATGTATCGTGCCCAGCCACCATGTTGGCCGGCAGAAAGGAGTCAAAAAGTACAGACCTGTATGCTGTTGTACTATGGACCCGGCTGATACTTATTTCAATTTTTAGCAAACGTAAAGGCCTTGAGAAGGCGTTACATCAAATAGAACAGGCTCTCAAGCGACCTAAGCCTGATGCGCCCGAATCTGATGCTGCACAGAAAATCATATCCAATCTCCACGATTTACTGAACAAGACACAAGGTAACCAGTTGTACCCCGAGGCCGATGAACTATCAGAGGACACAGACCGGGCACGCAACCCCCATTCTCCCCACGGGGTTGATACAGGTGACAGTTTGTCACTGGACGATGCTGAGAATCCACTGCAACTACTGGCGCGCGCGTCTGACCTTCAGCTACCACCGGCTGAAGTGCGTAGTTTCCAGAGATGGCGTCCCCTGGAGCCACTACAGCCAACAGCACTACCACAAAATAATAACGCAGAAGACGATTCCTCTACGGCTAGACTGTTTTTTGTCCCCGTCAAGGCGCATTTGGACCTTGGTTCAGACATGGACCCCGTCGAGCTAGGCCTCGTCACCCTCGATGAAGCCGAGTCTCTTTTTGCCTTGTATGGTTACATATCTGCCCTTGTATTCATCAACACAACCTGGGCTCATGCATCTTTCTAGTTTCTATCAAGACCTTGCTCATACTCGATGGGGTCTTGACCCCGTCGTCCATACTGCGTCTTTTGTACGTTCACAGTCGGCTTTCCTTTTCACATCAATAATGGCTGCGGCTGCTCTGTTCTTACCGTCAGCGGCCGCGCTATCGAAGAGACTGTCCAGACACTGTAAATCGTTGGCTCAGATGGTCATAGCCAAACGTTTCAGATCGGTCGAGATAGTCTTGGCTTTCATGGTGAATGTTCCTTGGATGGCCCATGGTAATTACTTGGGTGACGACGACACCTGCTCCTACATTGCCATGGCTCTGGCCATTGCACTAGATTTGTATCTAAATAAGATTGTTTTACCGTCTACTAGCTTTGACAACGGCGTTATAAGACGGCTTGCCAAGGCCGACTGTATTGATGCAAAGAGAGCATTGCACATGGATGGCTTCGATAATGTCGATCCAAACTCGGAATGGGGCCAGAGGCTACTGCGACGACGCGAAAGGACCTGGATTGCTTTGTTCGTTTTAGAACGAGGGTAAGTAGTCCTGCTCTGAGTTTTGTATACCAATCCGCCCCTCTATAACTAATGTACCCCTACAGCGTATGTTTAGCTCGTGGAAGGAGCTACACTGTTCCCCAGACTTCTCTCATCGTAAGTTGTGACCGATGGCATGTCTCGAACTTTGCAGACGCGCGTGATGGGCCCATGAATTCGATGGCAGCCCTCCGAAGAAACCTGGTATGTTATTCTGCTACGTTTTGGTTGGTCGATCTTGCGCCTTAATAAATACTATATTAGGATGATCTATTCAAGAAGGTCAAGTCCAGTTGCGATAACTACCAGGTCACCGATGCTGGCTCAGAAGCTGCTCAATCGTATACACAATCCTAGCCACGTGTTGATCAAATGGGTTGCTAACGAAGGTTTCAGGATTAAGACCATGATAGAAAGTTTCTATGATCGCTGGTATGAAACATGGGGGCCGGCGATTGGGGAAGGTCAATGTAAGTTTGCTGGTCGTTGTTGAACCAGGCAGTCTTGTGCTTGGAGGAGAGCTGATTCAGGGCAAAGCGTATTCCCTTCCACCGTACGTGGAAATTCTAGTTACCCACACGCGATTATCAACGTATGGTGGTGTGATTAATCACCCCACGGCGCCACTTGAGGTAAAGCGTTTCTTCCGAGCGGCCGGCCTTTCCTCAGCGCTGAATGTAATGAGGGCAGCCATCCAAGGAGAATCACGATTAAAATCGATGCCGAACAACACGGTCATTATGATTTCATTTGCCGCATGCTCTGCCCTCAGCCTCAGTGTGGCGCCAACTGATACCAGATCCAGCCTGGCCCCAAGTGTACGGACTTTGATTGAGGAAACTGCAGGCGTGCTGGAGCGTATTGGGGCGACCCCTAGTCATAGGAACGGTGCGTCTGTGCTTTACGGACGGTATCTAAGAGAGCTAGTTCGACGAGGCTCCGAGAATCAGAACGAGCCACGGATGCCAGCCGAGGCGACCCTGAGATCACCATCAGCCTTTGATGGGTACGGCACTGTGCCCCCAGTGTCGCAACCGTCATTTTCACCTTTGCTTTGGTCAGAGCCGCTGCAGTTCTCTGCTATGTCTGATGGACAGATCATCGATGCTGTGAACCGAGCGGGCATCACCTTCGGGACGGGCGTGCCGGATGTTCCACTGGACGATATAATGAGTTGGGACTGGTTGGACATTGGAAATGTAACTGACTTCGGCTTCTAACAACACTGAGGGGAAAAAGGAGCCGATCCCCCATCCCGTCGGTGTCCAGAAGTAGCTCCGAGTGCCGATCCGTTTCCTCACAAAACAAAGCTCTTGCACCCCATTCCCTTCCATTGCCCTGTCTTGTTTTCCTTTCTTTTTCCCCTTTCTAAGTTCTATTCTCTAAAGGCCTTGAGTGAAAGATTATTGGCATTCTACCGAAGACGATGACAATGACGACATTACGGGTTTCAGTGTTGCCATTGTCGCGGAGAGCGCTCCCAGTCGCTCGGCCATGGTTCCAATCAAAGACATACTACAGATCCAGTGTGCCACTGTTGCGTCGGACGGACATTAAGAAATCTGCTCAGTACTCAACAGCTACGGCGGAGCAACCGGTGCGAATGCCGGAAATCGACCGTGCTGCATCGAAACTTTTCAGAAATGCGGATGATGCTGTAGCAGACCTTAGAAGCGGATCTACCATCCTTAGCTCAGGGTTTGGACTTTGTGGTGTTGCAGGTGATTATACATGGTTTGTGTCTGGAAACAAAGTCTAGGGCTGATATGTTCCTACCATAGAAACTATTATATCTGCTATTCATCGCCGGGGGCCCGAGCACTTACATTCCCTGACCGCGGTTTCGAACAATGCTGGTGCCCCAGGGAGAGGAGGCCTTTCTACGCTGACCCAAGCTGGTCAGGTAAATCGATTGATATTGTCTTACCTCGGAAACAACAAAGCTTTGGAGAAGAAATACTTGACGGGGGATATTGCTATCGAGCTGTGCCCCCAAGGAACGTTGGCGGAGCGGCTACGTGCGGGCGGCGCAGGAATACCTGCGTTTTTTACTCCTACAGGAGCTCGTAAGTGTCTTTTTTCCTTTTTCTCTTCCCGTTTGACTATTTGCGTTTGCCTGTTCACCCCATGGTTGAATATGACCAAGTTTTGATAAGTGCCCACCAAATTTAGACACATTCCTTCAGGAGGGACAGATCCCCGTCCGTCTAGACAAATCCGGCAAAGTTCTGGAGCATGGCAAGCCTCGCGAGACGAGGATTTTCAATGGGAAGACTTATTTAATGGAAAGTGCCCTCACTGGTGACGTTGCTATCCTTCGAGCATGGAAGGCAGACGAGGCTGGAAACTGTGTTTTCCGGTGCGTATGATCTCGATCTAGCATACCCATGCGATACTGATATTAAATGTTTCTAGTTACACTACCAAGGCATTTAGTCCGCTCGTGGCAAAAGCAGCTACTCTTACAATTGTCGAGGCCGAGAACATTGTCCCTGTGGGCTCTATAGACCCCGACGATGTGGACTTGCCGGGAATATTTGTGGATAGGATTGTTCCCGCCACGGTCCCAAAGTCTATTGAAATCAAAAAGCTGCGGTCCACCGACGACGCTGGTGCTGTGCAACTGACCAAGGACGCTGCCATGGTGCAGAGAAACCGAATTGCTAAGCGGGCAGCGAAAGAGCTCAAGCAGGGATACTACGTCAACTTAGGCGTTGGTCAGTGCGAACCAACCCTTCATAGTGTGTCTGCGGCTCATAGTCAGATAGGGATTCCTACACTCGCCCCATCCTTTTTGCCAGAAGGTGTCAAGGTCTGGGTACAGTCCGAGAATGGGCTTCTGGGCATGGTACGTTGGGCTTTGAATGATCCATCCAAACATAAGAATGACAGCTGACTAAAACAAGGGTTCATATCCCACCGAAGACGAAGTTGACCCGTGAGTGTTTCATTTCGATCATCATTCCCTTCTCGTCTAATATCCTCCCCTCAGAGATATCATAAATGCTGGGAAAGAAACCGTTACTCTGGTTCCTGGCGCTGCAACCTTTGACAGTAGCGAATCATTTGGGATGATCCGGGGCGGGCATGTAGATGTTTCCATCTTAGGGGTTTGTGAAACTATTCCTCACTTGTGGACCTTTATAGAGACGAGGTTTGTCTAACTACCCTACAGGCTCTGCAAGTCAGCGCAAAGGGCGACTTAGCGAATTACATGATTCCTGGGAAGGTCTTTAAGGGTATGGGAGGAGCCATGGATCTGATCTCCAACCCTGACCGAACGAAGATCGTGGTAGCTACCAGTCATACGGCCAAGGATGGATCCCCAAAGATTGTGTCAGAGTGCGAGTTGCCTTTGACCGGTGCGAATTGCGTGAGCACAATTATAACGGATTTGGTAAGGAGAGGTAAACAGGACGAGGATTCGAATAGATGGACTGACTTTGGTTACAGTGCGTTTTCCAGGTAGATCGGGACAAGGGAGAACTATTGTTGACGGAGCTTGCTCCCGGTGTCGAGGTCGAGGAAGTCCAGAGCAAGACGGGGGCGAAGTTCACCGTGGCGAAGCAACTGGAGCTTATGGAGTGATATTGTAGACCTGGGGATCTGTGACGCACGAAAAGTGATTGCCCAATTTCACCTTTCTCCTTTGAGGTATGCTCGTAGTTTTAGGTAAATATATAGATATCCATGTTCGAAAGCTGTGACGCGGTGTAAATCAACCGTGATTATATATGTGCAGTACCATAATGGAGACTGAGCTTTACGAGCTCGCTGTATTTAGAGTTTGGAGCCCCGTCTAGGGGCGAAATTGGACCCTGTCCCTTCACTGATCGACTCTACGATATCATCCACGCTCTTCAATATCCAAGTATTGCCTTCGTCACTTGCAAGCCATTTAGCCCCCTCCTCGCTTTCAACGTCGCCCACCCAGGTCCCATCCTCGAGCGCTTTGCGCAGCCCAAATACGTGTGATGTCACTTGCGGGCCAACGCCTGTTTGAGCACGCAGGCATGCAACGGCGACTATTGAAGTTGAAATTCTACCCGCAGTTGCACCAGTACTTCGATTAGCCGGATCTGACAAGAGCGCTCCATAATGACTGTTCATGATATGGATGGGTAGGTCAGGGTGGGAATCGGCTAATTTGCTATATAGCTTTGACTCAAATGGGCGATAAATTGAGTCCCACAAAGCGCGGCCGCGGTGGGCGATCTCATTGATATTCTCCGGCGTTGGGGCTCGGGTAGGAGACCGCGACAGTTTCGCAGTGACTGAATCCGGAAGGCTGGCCTTGAAGGTGTTGAGACAGTTGATGGTGCGAGGGATGCCATTGAAGCTAATACACTTCAGGCCAACCTCCCGCATGAATTCAGCAACGGCTACACCCTCATCGATGGGCTGGGAAGCTGTGGCTAATTGGAAGAGAATGGCAAGGGACTCGGGGGAGTTCATCGTCATCGTGGCGGCTGTCTGAGAGGAAATGAGTATTTTCTGGCGTGGATGTGTCTTCTCCCCCTCTTGGCGGTATGAAAACCGAGAGCGCAGTACTAACCGACAAAGCTAGCCAGGATGGCTGCGAGACATTGTTCGACTGTGCTGTCTGTTGAATCTTCTGGTAAATGGATCGGATGTTGGGTGGAGCTGGAACCGTATTTGGGCGTGCCTTTGGGGCGTTGATCAGTGCTTTCAAACTGTTTGGTAACTTGGGCATGTTGTTCTAATTCACTCAAACTCGGAGAACTTGTGGTTGGAGGAAAGTTGAAGAGGAAAGAGGGCGGGGGATGAACCTATTCATGTTTTGATTCTCGGATTGATGCCTCGGCACTAGAAATGGATACCGATGAGACTTGGTCCCGAGTGGCGCCGATACCCGTCCAATCGAATGTACGGTACCATACATACATACATACATACTCCGTGCATATTATGTACACAGTACATGCATTATTTTACAGTATGCATGGTACAAATACCTACCCCACGCTAAGCTTTCTTCTTGGTCTGGGGAAAAGCAAAGGAAATGCGGGGAAAGAAGCCCGTATTCGTTTGTTTACTTCTCCTTTTTCCTTTCCTTCGATGCCAAAAATGGCCACCAGGGAGAATCGGTTGTCAAAAGTGGCCTCCGAGAATGACGGTCCACATCTGTCGCATTCCTTTTATATATCTCTCTGTATCTCATACATTTGTCTCATCCTGACTCGCGCTCGAAGAACTTTGATGGTAATCTTACGCCCGTATCACCATGGAGTCCATCAAGCAAAGCACAGAGTTGGTTGAAGATGCGAAGCCCACACGACTTACGGGAGAAAATGCTGGCGACATGGCCCAGAAGAGGTTGATCCGGAGTATTCTTTTCAAATTGGATACAAGGTAGCATACATAGAGCCCGGCACCCTAAACCACAGAATTGCTGAGAAATTGTCTCGACAGGATTCTCCCAATCTTAGCCCTGCTTTTCCTATGTTCTTTCTTGGATCGTACAAATGTCGGCAATGCGAAGATCCTCGGCCTCGAGAGCGGCCTCAATATCACTGGTCATCAATATGATATAGGCTTGTCAATTTTCTATCTGACCTACATATGCAGGTATGTGAAGAGCCAACATCATCGCATGTATATCTATGCGCCACAATTCGTTTGGGCTAACCGGAGCTCTGCTGACGCCAGCGAACTCCCGAGTAACCTCATCCTGAAGAAGGCGTCACCGAAAATTTGGCTACCGTTTCTCACTATGGTTTGGGGTATCATCACTATGTGCCTTGGCTTTGTTCGCAATTTTGCGGGGTTTGTGGCTGTCCGTGCTATTCTGGGCATTGCGGAGGGAGGATTACTTCCTGGGATGGTAGGCATGCGCTTCCTTGCCCTTCATTATACAAGGCTGATACCATTAGGTACTGTATCTATCATTCTTCTACAGACGAGGGGACCTAGCCTTGCGCATTGGATTGTTTTACACCGCTGCGTCGTTGTCTGGTGCTTTTGGAGGTATAATTTTCTATGAACTTGATCTCCTCCCTATATTTTCCATGGAACTCACATATGATGATCAATACTAGGGCTTTTAGCTCGTGGATTAGCTGAAATTGGCCCTCGGGGCGGACTGGAGGGCTGGCGTTGGATTCTGATTATTGAGGGGCTACTGGTAGGCACTGTTATACATGAGAAAGATGGCACTGGCTCACTTTAACATTAAACAGACATTCTTATGCGGCTGCCTCAGTTATGTTGGCCTTCCAAATAGCTTAGAAACAGCGACGTTTCTGACCCCCGAAGAACGATCCTTTGCACAGGAAAGGATTATGCTTGATAATCCATCCGCACCTCAGACGTACGTTTTCCTCTCTGCTCCGTATGACTTGCAGGGTTTGTGCCGGACATGCTACGAATGCGCCCCTCCCCCCTCCCCCCAAAATTATTGATTGATTGATTTCTTTTTTTTTGTTTCCCCCTGTCCAAGCAGTTATGCTGACAGGAAAGAAGCTACTCTGGAGATGAATTGGAGACCCTGAGATGGTCTGAAGTGCGAAGGGGACTGCTAGAACCCCAGATGTGGTTTTCTGCAGCGGCGTATTTTGCCATATTGTCCGGATTATACTCGTTCGGGCTGTTTGTATGTTGGGTTGTTCTACAAACTTTTCCCGGAGATAACTGATCGGCGGCCTGGTCTTATCTAGCTACCTACTATTATTGACGAAAGCGGCTTTACAACTGACCCAAATGCCGTGCAGTTGTGGACGGTGATTCCATATGCTGTCGCAGCCGTCTTGACAGGTAGGTCAAGCAAACCATAGACCACGATCATTATGGGGTTAACGGGCAACAGTATTTGTGGCTTTTATCTCGGATCGCTTGAAGCTGCGAGGTCTTATTATGCTTTTCACTCTGCCTATTGCCATTGCTGGGTACGCAGCTATTGCCAATATCCAGTCTGCCCAAGTCAAGTATGGAATGACATTCCTTATGGCCACTGGCATGTATAGTAGCGTCCCATGTATTCTGGTGTGGAATACAAATAACTCAGCTGGACACTACAAACGTGCGACAACGTCAGCGATGCAGCTGACGATCGCCAACTGCGGTGGCTTTGTTGCTAGTAAGTTGGCCTAGTTGTGGGCCTCCCAGAAAGCTATGCACTAACGAGCGACTAGCGTTCAACTATCCTGACAAGGACAAACCCCAGTATCACCGTGGTCACACTATCATTCTAGGCCTCCTTGTTTTTGCATGGTTCATGTAAGTACATGCATGCTATGCTTGATCGAGATGACCATTGACGACTAACCTTTCATCGTAGGGTACTTCTCAACATTTTCTATTGTGCCAAGGTCAACAGGGACAAGAAGAAGGGTAAATACGCACAGTACATGGGTTATAATGATGACAGAAACCCTGCGTTTAAGTTGATGTTGTGATGTGAGGAACATCGGATGAACTCCGATAATTTGTACCATTCTTAAACACATACATATAAAATTATGTACTAAACTGTAAACGACAAGCTCCGCCGCACCGGACAAATTTCTGTGGTATGATTTCGCACCAATTAATGTAGCTCTTGTAGTAAAAAGATTGATCTAGTTGACTGGAGCCATTCCCACAGCCTGATAGAACTGACCCGCCTACCGGGGAAATGTACGTACGTAGTATTTATAACTCGGCCCAGCTGCCCCCCTCTGGTGGCAGTGTCCCAAACACTCCTTGCGCGCGTTTTACTTGAATCAAGGGATGTTGTTGAATATGAAGTCAATCATCTGCCGGGCCCTAGTACTTGCAGCATGCGCGACGACTGCCTGGGGTAGCTTGTGCTCTGAAATGTGGTCCGAAGAGACATGCCAGCTCTTTTCAGAATCGATGGACTATTTAGACCGAATATATGACCCGACAGCCGCGTATGTCTTCAGTCCTAGTGCGGCCACAGCTCTGCGGCACGACACAAGGGCGTCCGTCTGGTACGCAGTGGGCTTGTTGGCTCGGAACCAGAATGATGATGTGGCGCAGGCGATGGCAATCATCCAGAATGTGATCGAAGCGCAGTTCAAGGACCCTACGGATCAATGGTGGGTCTGTGGTTGAACGTAAAGTGTCGACTGCCTGCTCACCTAGACAGGTATGGGGATTACCCTGTGTACCCCGAGGAACCCACCGTGGGTACTGCGGCGTATCAGTCGAGCCTCTATGACACTTGGGATCCCAACTGGAGAGGCTTTATTGGGACGGCCTTTATCATCGCCTTGGAGGAGTTTCCCCATCTGGTCAGCCCCGATGTGACACAACTGATGCTCGAATCCCTTTACAATAGCACCATTGGAGATAGCTACCGAGTGGGAGGAGTCGACGGTGACAATCTGTATCCCTCATATACCAATCCGGTAAGAGACGACTTGGCTTCATGTGGTGCAAAGATTTAGCTTGTCTAATAACCATTGATGAAGGCATTGATGAGAGCCATCGTGAGTGGTTGGACCGGCAAGAGATACGCAGATGCCAACATGACGCTGGCCGGTGAGAATTATGCGAATGAGATTATTGATCTTTTCGACCGAGCCAACACTCTATCGGAATTCAATAGCGCGACGTATACTGGTGTCTCTTTGATTGCGCTGACGATGTGGACAAAGTACGCTGCAGAAAGTTCGGTGATGAAAGCAAAAGGAAAGGAAATGCTGCAAGCGACCTGGAGAAGTATTGGTGATTTATATCACGCAGAGCTCAAGAATCTTGCAGGTCCATGGGACCGCTCTTATGGATTCGACATGCAGAAATATTTCGGAATCATGTCCGCGCACATCTGGACCCTTGTTGGGAAGGAAACCTCACCTGTGATTGACAAGGTATCAGATGCTTACTATTTCCCGGCCTTCTCGAGGCTAACCGACTAGGTTTACATGATGTCTCATAACGCTGACTTTGCCATTTCTCCGCTTGTGGCTATCCTCTCAAGCTTTCATAACTCCTTGGTCCCGGCCACAGCAGTAGATGCTCTAAGGACCTTCCCTGGGGAGCACATGGTCACCACTTCAGCACAGTCAATCCCCTACGACTATTCCACCCGGAACATCAGTGTGTGGTTAGGCGAAAGGATAAGTGTAGGAGCAGAAAGTTTCAATGAGACTGTGATAGGCGGGCCGGCTATGAATCCGTCTACATTCAACTCGGCGGTGGTCCAGTGGGATACTGGAGCTGGAATTGGTTGGATTACAGTATGCGCCCCCTTCCCTACTCGAGGAGGCACCAAAGGACTCCTACCTAACATCTTATAGTTATATGCAACAGAGAAGGCTATCGACGCAGTCGTGGGTCCGGGTTATCTTAACCTAACCTATCCCCAGGGAACTCCAGACTCCCAGTTCCAATTCTTAGTCTCTCCGTTTACCCAGAAGAAGGACGTCGCAGGCTGGGAAGATCTTGTAGGATTAGATGTCAGAGTGTCTGGCACTTTTGACTCGAAGCTGAGGGTATCATACAGTGCAAGCGATGCTACCATCAAGTATGTTGCCTGACAACTTGGACTTGACCCACGGAGGCTAACATACCCCCAGTGATTTCATGTACTGGAATCTCACGTACTCGATGCCAGTGAATAGTACTGCAATTCCAAATATATTGTTGGAGGTGAATTTGGCGTGACTGGTTACTTACAATCAGGAAACAAACTATGACGGCTGATTCAGAAGGTCACCTTCATTGAGAGATTGTAATTGGGGTCTGTTGGGAGAACTTTTCTAGCAAAACATTAGTAACCTAGATACAGTCATCTTTCTGGGCTTGCTGCGATAATGCTGGCCTGAATGTGAAGGACAAAAATCAATACAATGCACTTTCCCAACTATACCTCCGTCTTCTGCTGCCTTTTACTGCGGACATAAGCTGTCGCACTCATCAAAATGCATAGTCGCATCGACACACCCACCAATGCGAGGCCTTCAGCTCAAGTGCGACTCAAGCACTTTCGCTATCTGGAGCAGATCTTGGGCGACGGACTGGCTCCGTCCCGGCAAAACTGAGTAGCATGCCGATATCGTAGACGGCCTTCAAAATACCCGCAAGGGTAAAGGAAAGACCAAACAGACCATGATTCGAGAGCACCCCAGTGATAAGTGGCCCTAGACTCTGACTGCCTGTCTTGACCACATTAACGGCACCCATGATGGCGGTGCGCTTGTCCGAGGGAAGCGCCGCAGCGAGGAAAGCCGAGCGCGGTGCCACATCCATGTTCTGGGTACAGGCCCGGAGCACCAAGAAGGTCAGGGCTAGAGGTAATATGTTCGGAACCGGAATAAGAGCCAGACAGATGGCTGAAGGGAGATGGGTGAAGACCATCGTCTGTACCTCATGATTAGCTTTGGTACCTTCCACATAATATTCCTGTACTATGTCCCTACCTTGACATTGCCAATGCGCTTGGCAATGGAAGAGGCGACCAACATCGACGCAGCGGAGATAATGCTTGTAGTAAAGAAGATGGAACCGAGCTCACCCTCCGGCAGGGAGAATTTGCGTTTGAAGAAATATGTCATCCACGACCTGTAGCCGTTAGTATGGCTTTCTGCAGCAATTATAAAGCACTGGCACGGCGATCCTATGAAGTACGTACAAAGTTGCCAAGCCCGATGCGAATGAGTCGAGAGCAAATAGAATGAAGAGTCTGACGACCAATGCCACGAGATCCCTGTCACCCAGGAAAGAAAAGAAGCTTGTCTTCTTTGGAGGCTGTTCGCCGCGGGTCCTCTCGCCCAGGAGAGGCTGGGTCTCACCGTTCTCGCCTTGCTGATCTTGTCGCTCAGCAGGTTTTTGTTTCTCTGCCTCCACGTGGTGACTCAAGGCAGCAGCGAGAATGCATTTGAGAGCACCAATAGCTGCGTACGCAAAAAAGATTACCTGACAAGCAGCAATGAATTGCCACCCCCTTTTAACCTGTAAGAGATTGATGGCCCACCCGCAGGCCATCATGCCCAGGGCCGTGCCTGCGGTGCCGATCAGAGAATACCAGGCGAATATATCGCTCAGGGATTCGTGAGGCGTAAGATGAGCCAGGGTGGACTCTTCAACGGCTCGGAAGGGCCCAATTTCATTTCCACTGTTGGCCAGGTAAGCGAATCTATATATAAAGCACTCGAACGAATTCTCAAGGCTTACCTTGGGCTGATCACCCCGAGAACTGCTGCTGCCAGAAGAATCCAGAAATTGTCGAATACAGCGAAAATGACACCACTGCCTACCATCAAAGCTGAGCCTAGCAGCAGAACAGCTTTGCGGCCCATCGCATCTGCGAAAAGGGTCAGGAAGAAGCTAATGACCACATCGCCGACCAGAGTTAATGTCATGAAGAGACCAATTTGGGCATCGGATATGTTTAACGAGGATAGGTACGAGGCTAAGATGAGCGTGGAGCCACCATAAGCAAACAACCGAACAAATCGCTGGGCGCAAAGCAATTTCACATCTAGCGAGGATTTCCAGAGGGAGAGCAGTCCCAATTCATGGAGGATTTTTGTGGGTAGTCGAACCCGATTTTGGGACGAATCTCTGGACATGGTGGAGGAGATTTGACGATGATGCTCTCTCTCTCTCACACACTCTTTCACGCACGTACGTAAAAGACGGTAAAATCCCGACAAACTAGGCTGCCTAGAAGGAAGGCAGTTATATCGGCCTAGTGAAATGAAGGCCCGTTCGGTAGTTTAGTAAGTTCTTGGCATGATAGGAATAAATAGAGCGCTTAATGAATGGGCATAACGATCATGACTAATCTCTTGCTTCTATGCACAACAGAGCAGTAGCTATAGTACGTGTGGAATACGTATTCTTTGAGTCTTTTCAGTAGAGTCATGCATGACTAGGCAATGACCCCCAGATTTGTCTGGGAGAATGTCATAAAAAAACATAGAAAAAATAACAATCCGGGGAAGGATTAATGACTAACTACGATGACTGCGCTTCTGGTGCCCTAACCCAGACCACGTTATACCATAACAAATGCATTCTAGAAGACCAAGAAAAGGAAAAAAAAAATAAAAAACAAAGGGGGTTTGTGTTACTCGGCAGCCTTGGCTAATGGAGGAATTATGACAAGAAGCAAAAACATCCTGAGCGCGACCCTTGGAAACTGTTCCTCGTCAAATCATGACCCTAAGTGACGAAATCCAAGGTAATTTATCCTCGCTACAAGACTTTAATCTCTCTTGTCTCCCAGAGCCTCAACTCTTCTACCCATTTCTACCTTATCTTATTCGCGTTCTTTACACCCGCCCCTTACTTCAACTAATACTGGCGTCCGCACTGTACAAAATGATGGCGTCGAAGACCACCGTGAGTCTCTCGGCTCTCTATCTTATGTTCGGTAGCTTCTGCCTGGGTAAGACGGCCGATATGTCGGCTTTCAATAACCCCAGTCATGGGCCGCCAGCCGCAGATTTTGCTGCAGCAGACTCGCTGCCGGTCTCAGTCCTTCAGGCAGCAGCTGCAGCAGCTAGCATAGTTCCGAAGGACGCAACATACCCCTTTAGCCTGGGTAGCTCGGAAAAGTCTACCATACACAGCGACTGGGTATCCTTTAAAGAGGTGTGTTGAATCGAAGAGCCTCGCCCCAGTAGACTCACTGTTGACCTCCTGAACTCTAGGGTGCTGCTTTGTCCTGGGTGGCTGATATGGATGTGGATTGCGATGGAGTTAACCATAAATGCGAGGTAATTGGCAAGCCGTCTGTGACACATTTACATCCTCTGATATGCTTCTTTCAGGGAAACCAAGATGGCCAGCCCCAGACAAATTGGGGGGCTCTGTCTGCATATGCAGTGCCTTACATCGTGATCCCCGATAGGTTCCTAGCTGCAAATAAGGATATTCTGCCAGGAAATAATATTGCGGCTGTGATTTGGTATGTTCCCCCTCCTTTGTACCAATACCCATCTAACCGGCGATTCTCAGTAATGGAAAGATGTACTATGGGATCCTCGGCGACTCTAATGGGGATGACCCCCAAATTACTGGTGAAGCGTCATGGCTGATGGCGAAGACATGCTTCCCCAACGATAATCTCCAGGGAAACAATGCCCATTCGTCTAAAGATGTTACTTGTAAGTGTTCTTGCCGGCTAAACCTCCCAAAGAAGGAGCTGCTCATGAACTGTAAAGATATTCTTTTCACTGGCGAACGTGCTGTTCTCCCTGATAACGTCATGGACAAGACGTATATCACAGATTTCGACACCCTGAGAACTATGGGCGACAAGCTTGCCAGGGCTCTTGCCTCGAACTTGGGCACGCCAAATTCAACCGAATCCGAATCCGAATCCGCATCTGCAGCTGCAAGCTTATGGGCTGGACGGGAAGGTGCGTATCATTCTAAAAAGGAACTTTGAGGAGCACTGTCTAACTCCTGCCAGGCCCAGTGATGATGGTTGCTGTGTTATTTTGCACGGCAGTGGTCATGTTGGCTTTGTGATACATGGCAATGGTGACGAGAAATAATCATGAAGGTGAGCTCTAACATCCTCTTTCCCCCCTTTTCTGGTCATTTCCTAACCCTCTCCAGGTGAAGCGATTTTGAATATATCTTGTTGGAATGCGATGGCTGCTTGGTATAGGGATACTTCTGATTGTGACTTTTTATCTTGGGATTTCAGTCTCGGACATGTTGTAGGGTGAAAGCAACTTGGAGGATTTGTTATATGCTGGGATTCATTAAACCGTTGTTTTTGCATGAAGGCACAGATTGTGTCTCTGTTACCATATGTATACCCGGAAGTTCATGGTGATACTGTACTGGTGTGGACACTTGGGAAAATCTACCAACGATATCTTATCAGATTTAAATCCAGGAAAGTGGATCCTCGTATTTTTCGATCCCCCGCTTTTTTGATGCTTGAAAATAGGCAAGTCATTCCGTAGCCCCGACTCCAACCGGTCTCGCATGCTCAACAACTCTGGGATATCTTTCCCAATGATCACAATTCTAGGCGACGGATCGAGGTAACCTGCCTGCGCCCTGTCTGCCCATTTTACCATGTCAACAACCCGACCTAGGTCTCTAGGAGGCTGTGCCACATGCCGTAGCCGTCATGTGAAATGTGACGAAACTCGTCCCTCGTGCTTAGTGTGTCGAAATTTGGGCCTGACCTGTGAAAAGTACGAGGTTAGGCTCGTGTTTGATGCAATTGACACGCAAGGTTCACGATGCCGTCGACCTTTGTTCACCGAAGACATGCGGCAGAGGATGAGTGAACAGCTGGTAGACAGTGTGAATCCAGGCGACGCAGCCACTTTGTTGCTTCAGATTGATGATCGTTGTGAAGAACAGGAGCAGCATCCTGATGGCCATTTCCATACCTGCCTTGGGCCATTTGGTGCCTTTCGCACACCTCAGTCAGAGCTTAAGCCTACGGACGCGCTGGCATGTCCTCCCATGACGTCCCCTCCATTTCAGCAGGTTCCTATCGCGGATGACTTTAATACGGCGTTTGAGGATACCTTGATCCATGACCCTCTGATGGAATGTCTTTTTGGGGGACTAGATGTAAATCCCGCAGGCGACTTCCAAATGGAAAGCTTCTTCAACACCACTGGGATAGAAAACCACGAACGTTCATCACAGCAGCCTGGGACTGAGGGCTCAGAAATGTTGATGGGACTGCCATCATTGTCCCAAAATATCCAGTACACACCGACTGTTCCCAATCTGGCTCCTCCGGATGCGCCTTTTCTATTATCAGTATATAAACACCAGGTGATCAGATTATTCTCCCCGGTGCAATCCAGAAAGTCTCCCTGGCAGATTCTGCATGTGCCGAGTGCCATGGGAACGTTCGCTCAATTGACCATGGGGGAGCAACCAGGTAATGCACAGTTGTGTATCTTTTATGCAATTCTAGCTACTGGTGCTTACATGCAGCGCGCAATTTCAACATCGCAAGGCCATCGTGAATACTGGCAAAAGCAATCAGAGTCATATGCTGTTTCCGCGCAGAACTATCTCAAGATGGCGCTTCGAGATATGTCAATTACCCTGAAAAGGAGTAAATACAAAGACATCCTCATCGCTTTGATGTGTATGAACACCGTCTTCGTAAGTGACCAAATATCTCATCGGTATCTCTTCTGATATAGAAGTAAATAGATGGAAATCCTTGTGGGCCAAGACTAACCAACTGCTTGGAAATAAACAGGCATATCAGGGCAATGAAGATCGCATTAGGAGATGTCTGCTGGATTGCGAAAATTGGATTCGCTTTCGCGGTATCCCCAAGACACGTAAATCACGGAAAGTGCGACTGTTACACCACTGCTATGTGTATCTCCGCATCTTCTACGAGAGCACATCAGTGTCGCACGTAAGAGGCTCTAGTGTACAACAAGAAATGGATGCGTCGCCCGATACCGTTACGTCCGTGGCTTCTAGTCGCTCTTTTCGCCTTCGACAATGGGAAGGCCGACTCGATCAGAGAATGAATGAACTGAAAGAACAGCATCTGGGCGAGAATGACATTCACCTTGAGATTCCCGGTCGATGGGATTCTACAATGTACCCTCATGCGTTTGCTATGCCAGAGACTCTTTTATTCTTATTGTCTCAAGTGACGCGCCTCGGGAATGAGCGAGACATGTCCGATCTAGACGGTGGGTCAAGTATCCTGGACTTTAGACAGTTTTCTTCGCGAGCGCGTAGTCTCGAACGGTATATATGCACATGGAGACCTCCTTCCACCCCTTTCCACGGCGAAGACGATGAAGACGACTTGAATAATAATAATGGTGACTTCCAGACCAACTCTACACTGAGCAATCATATGGTTCTTGCTCTGCACAAAGCATTGCTGATCTTCTTCTACCGGCGAATATACGACGTGGATCCAACGATACTGCAAGATAAGGTCTGGCAGATTCAAGACTCTCTGTCGCGATGTGATTGCGGCGATATCCCTACCGCCCCTCTGCTATGGGCTGCATTTGTCGCAGCATGTGAAGCGCTTGACCCGGCCCTACGAGACTGGTTCACAAATTGGTTTAATAGGTCGTTCAAGGCAAGTGGGTTACAGAACTTCAAGTTCGCCCTGAATATAGCCACGCAAGTGTGGGAAAAGCAAGGGCAATCCTTGAGTAGTGATAATAGTACTAGCTGGGCGCAGGTTATGCGGGACAGCGGCTTGAGTATGTTTTATGTTTGAGAGATTGGAGAAAAAAAGGAAAGAAAGAGAGACATATAATCAGGATGCTCGTTTTCTGGAAAGCATCAGCCGTTTCAGGAGGAGAATCGCCAGACTACTCTATTTGCCTAGGGGCAGAGCCCCAATGTAAGCCCATTCCAGAGCATTGTCATACTCACCTCTGAATATGGCTAACTACATCAAGCCAACGGAAGAGATTCCAGCCCAGAGGGAAGCTGTCCGAAACAGCAGCAGCATAGAAAGGTTACATGGAAGGGGCTGTCCGAGTGGTGAAACAGGAGCCTCGGACGTACTCGGTGGCCTCAGCAAGCCCTGGACAAGCCACTTATGGCGGAAGAAACGATGAATATAGCGTCGAAGGTCCTGAAGAAATGATTTAAATTATCTGCTTCAAGAGGAAGCTGGACACACCACATAGACGTATATACCATTGAAGCGATAAACAACGTAGTTTTCGCATGCGAGACCACCACAACTTTGATATGATCCTGCTACGAGTTTGTGAACGGCTACTCACGATCTGCGACTATTCTGACTGATTTGTGAAAGGAGTAAGCTAGCGACTGTGGCATAGTTGTATCACCTAACGTCATCTCAGGATGTGATGGGATGACTCCTACAATAAACTCAACAGGGGATCAAAGTTGGCTAGGTCCATCTCACACTTAGATTGAAGAATTACCACGCGCCTCTATTATATACTATAGAGGTCTGTAATGCATCTGTAATGGATGCCCAAGCGAGCGTCCAGGACGCCCCAAAGTCTTTAGCGGTTCCATGTAATCCTGCTGATGGAAGTGAATGATGTGCTAATGAATGTACCACGGTGATTTACCAGGTGGTGATACAGTGACACCAGACATGTGAGAAGGAACGAAAACATCATATCCCTAATATTGTCAGCCCGGGAGCACTCAGACACCTTTTGTTTAGACTTGTCGATTGACGCAAGAATAGCATGGCAGGCGAAGTTCAGCTACCCCAGACGCTTCCGGCACGCCGCAAAAACGCAATACCGGATACATGCGACACCGTGAGCAGCAACAAGGACTCTACTGAGAATGTGAAATCGGAGTGCGAAGACACCCCTCAAGTACTCGCTCGCTCCGGCTCTGATGGTGAACAAACCTATCCAGATATGAGTGACATGAGTGAGACAGAGGGCTGCTGGGACTATTCGGAGGAGTTTTGTACAGAATCGGACGAGCCACGTCCCATTTGGGAATGTACGTATCTTGAATGCTATCTCGTACTGGCCGCGACGACTGATATACTCCGTAGCTGAACGTCGCGGTGACTGGGCTGACGATGATGAAAATTGGATTGTCGATGAATTAGCAATATGGAAAGTACAGCAGAAAGAAGAGAACGGATGCCCTTCACGGCAGGGAGCTGAAGAGCAACAGCCATTGCAGCAAAGGGAGGCTAAGAGCGATGTTAACAAAAGTGTATCAAATTGAGGTTTGCCATAGACCTCGCTGCTAGCTTTCCTAGTTCCTTGCTTTGAGGCCTCATCACAGCAAAATTGATAGTCACCCGGAAGTATCTCCTATAGTCTTTTGTTTACAGTGATATAATTAGCCGCCAAGGGCGATTATGCTGGCGTTAGCCCGGGATTTAGAATTCCATCCCAGCCATGTTGGCAATCGCGTAGCGCTCTATTATAAGTACAATAGCTTGACTCCATATATTCTCATATCTATCTATACAAGTGGATGATGTTTTATACATTTGAATCTAACTCATGAACCCTCTAGGTAAGATCAGAAACAACATATGTTTCAACTTCGACAACGTGAGATGGATGTTCTTCTTTCTTGGGGGCCATCTCGTCAAGCTTGGCGTCTATGAATCTGGAACACCATCTCCGACCTGTTTTCCAGTGGGATATTCACCAAAACAAGCCTCCTGGTACTTGGCATTCTCCTTCAGAGTCGGGACGCCGCTCAAGAACCCATCGACCGCACAGAAACCATTTTGAGAATCCTCACATCCGACAAGTCCATCCAGAGGGAGCGGGGCATTGTTAAGCGTAAAGCGGATGTATCTCTTTGTGTCGCGCACGGAGTCTAGGCGCGGGTTGACATAGAGGATTGGATCCAAAGAGTCAAAAGAAACATTGCTGGGGCACGTCCAGACCTCCGACATGAATCGGGCACCGAACGGAGTCAGGTCATTGAGGGCAAATGTCCGGTTGGAGGGTGCGTGGTCTACATTGATTGGAAGACCATGAGGACCGTACTTGAAGTGCTCAAGACCGAGAGCGGAAATAACCGAGAGAAGGATATCATCGTGGGACATATCCATGTAGAACGGCTGGTTCATGGGGAACTGGGCGGTGTTGTCATCGTAGGTAGAGTTGATGCTGGTGTCGCTAGAGTGGATCAGTTTGCCTTCGAGCCTGGCTGCGAGCTCCAAGACGTAGCCGATGCCTTGGGCACGGCCAGTGGGGGAGCCGAATGCAAAGTTGCCGTAGTACTGGATGTCGACATTATACGCAAAGTCCTTCCACTCTTGCTCGGTGAACAGGGAGCAGAAGAACGAGCCCCCGAGACTTGTGTTTTCATAGACACAAAGGTTTTGCATTGCGAGCACATCGTAGGCCGTCAGATTGAAGTCTCTGGGAAGGTAACTGGCCAATCTGGAGAGAGCATTCTTGGTGTATCGAGGAATGAACACCTGGGCAGACTCATCACTGGTTCGGAGCAAGTCAGCTAGCCTGTCCAGAATTGCGCTCTACGGAGACAGCAGATTGTGAGAGTTACTCACCCGGCAGTCTTGTCACCTGGACAAGAAACATAAGAAGCCAGAGTATTATTGAAATAATCGGTTTCCTCTGGAATAACAACCAGATCATACTGGTCATAAGAGCTATTGGCACCACTGTTGCCAAAGAAACCACCTATTCCCGCTCGTTAGATGATGAAATGGCTTCGATCTTGGGGATGGTTGAAAATCTTACTGAGCCACCAGCGGGCACTTTCCAGAATACGCCCCTGATCAGTGGTACGGAATACAGGCTTCGGTCGTGCTGTACCGTTGGGATAAACGTTCAGGGACTCGTTCCAGGCTGCCACATTATCACGATCAGCGCGGTACAACAGCCTGCCGTACTTGATCCAAAAGTCGGCTCCGGATGCATCTTCCGTGGCAGCACCGTTTTCCATCAACGTATTTTCTCCAACCACATACTCCCAGTCGTTTAAGAACTTCAGAGGGCCTTTAGCCACGGTCTTTCCTGGCTTGGCCTTGGTATAATTGACCAATTTGGAGGCAAAATCTGCCATGCCTCTCCCATCTAAGAGATTGCTGGTAGGAAACCGCTCGGCGTGGCGATGGAGCACATGGACTTGTGACAACTCACAGCCCTGCGGCGTACCCTTGGGAACTCCGAAGCCATCGGCATCCTTGTAGGGACTCAAATTGGCCCAGCTTTTGGTCATATCAAAGCCCGAGGCATAAGTAGCACCTGTCGGTGCAGATGCAGGGCCCGACGAACTGGATGAAGCATGGGGTGCAGCAGAACCCACGCTCGCCAGAGCCGTCAGGTATACACCAAAGGCAAGGTTCTTCATGGCGAGTATATTATAAAGGATCGCCCATCCGAAAAAGGTTGTGAGAAAGGGTGATAGTGGCTATTGCCAAACAACTTGGAAAAGAGCATCTTTTATAACCTTTTTCTCACATTACATGTGATGGCTGCTTTGGTCGGGATCTTCTTTCGTATAGGCCCGCCAACGGCCCAAAGGCACCTTTGCCGATCGATAGATGCCCCGAATATCCCGCATTTTGGTCTCCACCGGTATAACTGTGACTAATATGAATGGGGTGCCGGGTGGACCGAGGGCGAAGCTTCGTGAGGATACTCTCTGTATGCCATCACGAGAAAGCCACCGATGCCAGAATTTCCACCTCCTTGTCTGTGCCGACAATGAATGCGACGCGGCCGGTCTGCTTGGAATGCGGCAGGCACCTACGTTCTCCGAAACGAAAGAATCGGATTCTTGTCTCCGGCTTGTGTCTGGAGAGAGACTGCCAAGGAGTCTCCACATGGGGTAAACGCCATCGGAATTTTGTTCTCCATTCTCCACACTTCTCGTAAGGCAAAAGTAAGTAGGGTTACATCCAAAAGGAATGGGGGAAGAAAAAGCAGGGCGCAAACCAAGGCGCTGTCTGCGTCATTGAACCTGAATTGCTCAAGCTTTGCAACCAATTCCAATGGCTTGACTCTATTCCGCACGGAAAAATCGTTAACATTACTAAATCGCCACTGTAGAGGGAAACATTGCCGAGAAATCTCTTCACAGTTTTTTTTTTTTTAAAGTAGAATTCGCTGCTGGGTCACGTTCTCTTATCTTTCCTCGGCCAACCGGTGGATGGATGAAGTGATGCCAATAGATCATTTGGATGCACTTCATTTCGACTGGCCGGAGCTGACATTTCGCTGACCTCTTTCAAGTCCAGTCGATTTGGCTCTTGTATAGCTTCTATAACTTAAGCCATCACGATTTGGGTTCAATCGGACGACAAATGGGAATCGGGGTTTCATGATAGGCATGATGGCGATTTGTAATAGCGACGGTTTTCGATAGGTAGTACCGTTCTATACAAAAGGTGTAATCCCGCTCGTTAGTTAACCTTAAGGAACGTAGAAGGCTCTGCATAATGGGTATCTTTCAAGCGGCCTGTTAGCGGCTATTACACTAATCTACCCACCTTGCTATTCATGTTCTTCGTATGGAAAAACCAAAGAGTCGGCCCTTCCACACTATAGGGGCTAAATGTCGTATTCAACTTATTGCGATGATCCTCTTAGTTCCTGGGACGAAGAGGCTGCTTGTGAAGCTAGAGAGAACACCTTTATTGACAGGCCGCATGCTAGAGATGTTGAGTCCTAAGCCTTACCCAAGGCGCAGCATGTTTATAGTTCCTTGACAATGGGAACCAAAACTTTGTTTCTTCTTTTCTTCTCCAATGTGAAAATTCAGAGGCAACTCCATGATGTCTGCTTGCCTTCTCTGGCCGACCAATCTGGGCACGATCTTTTACGCACTCAAGGAGCTGTTCTTATGTTTTTGACTGGTTATTGAAAGTATATCAAGTTTTGCGCATCGCAAGCCGCTATGATATGCAGATCGACCCGTCAGATTGTGGGGACTTTCAGATGTGCCATCATATCTGGTCGCGTCGAAGCTAGTTAAATAGGGAAGCTGTAAATTCATTGACTAATTTCATGGTATAAACGCGCCCGAGTAATCTCTCCGTATGTTCATATTGCCTAAAAGATCGCCATGGGATTGAGCTTGCCGGTGCTTTCGAGAGTATCAAGAAAGATATGAGATCACTTTGGTATGATGCGTCTGTATTCTATATAGAAAGTAAAATCGTATAGTGCCTGGTCATTTCTGATCCATATTACATCATTCAGAGGGATATACTTAAACTTATGAAGCAATACTTCATTCGTACTTGATGGATTCCGAATCTGCGTTAATTGGTTCAGCTGGTAGGGTTTTAGTAACGAGGGCGAACCTTGGAACAAGGATAGACACATACCATCAAGGAGTAGAATGTTTTGTCAGCTTTGCATCCACTTCAGCCTTGTGGTATTGCAATTCCATCTCCACGGTCCGTGTGATAACTATAGGCCTCGGGGAATCCGACTCGTTCTGAATAAGCTCGATGTCATCATCGAAATAGCGGCTTCTACCATGTTGCCTCGTATTGCGTGTCCCACTAGTTGGAACCCCAGAGGGTTCAGACCCCGTGAAACAGCCTCCAGGGCAATGTCGGTGCAGGAAGGGACGCAGCGAGGGAAGGCAGTCGCAGATAATGACAAGAATAGTTTCCGCATTCCTATCAACACGTTAGAGACGAACCCCTACATTGACCACCAGAGGAAAGCATTACGCCCATAGAATTGGAACTGCCATATGATAAGGATGGTCCCCTTCATAAAGCAAATTATCGACAGTGATTGCGCGAAAGATACTGGTAATAATGGTGCTGCTATAGTCAGCTTTATGCTTCTGTCGAGTTTCGTAGCATGGACCACGAAGTACTCACATGCCACCCAAGAAGAACATCAGAGAAATTCCTAGCTTCTGCCATACCCGCATGTTCAATTTCCAGATCAAAGGTATTGGGGCGATGATCATCAAGAAATCTGTAACAACGTTCAACACGGAACTTGCCAACATGATACTGAGACGGTCCACACAGTGCCCTTCAGTAATTGTCGAGTCCCATGCCTTAGCAACCGGCTGGCAGCCGAACAAATAGAGGAAAACCAATATGGGTGTGGGTATGGTGATGAGGGTCGCGATTCCGTATATGCAACATCTCCATAGCTTCACATGGGGACTCAGGCGATAGTATAGCATGATCAGGCTCAGCTTTGCGACACAGACTAGTGGGATAAACGTCACAACGATTGCTAAAATTACCTTGACCGTGTTAGTGTAGGAAGTCCTGTATCTCCTAGGGGTGGAGTGAATTCTCACCACAGTGAACCTGACCAACTCGCTCTCCGAGAGAGTAGCTTCGTGCTTCCCAAGCCCACCACTACTAAACCCGTCTAGCCTATCATATTAGCCGACATTCCCGAGAGCCATCGTTACAGTTGTAGATAGCTGAAAAGACTTACACAGGGTTAAACCCTGCATGGCAACTGATAACATCTATACTTGCCGTTAGCTGATAGCTTGCTTTGTAGTGCCTTAACTGTCTGTAAAATACTCACCCATGCAATAATCGTGAAGACTAAAAGCTGTCAACATATTACCGTCGATTATTAGCGGCTGGTTCTGGGCTCACCATTATGAATGCCAAATTGTCGGGTGATGAATACACTCGTATAGGTATGCACAACGGATGACAAGGTGCCCGAAATAAGCCCGAAAATCACCAAGGCTTGATTGATCGATTCGAACGCTTCATGGGAGAGACTATCCCGGGCTTGGAGTCGGGTCCATCCCTCCAGTGCAACCGTCCAAGCCATATATTGCAGTGGTGCATCAATCCTTTCGCCCGTAACCTGGTCCCAGTGAGAACTCTGAGTATTTGGCACTCAAATCTCACCAAGTTCACCCAGAGGAATTTACATGCAGGATGATGAGCGTTTACAGAAGTGAAGAAATTTCGGATTGGAATATACCTCATGGGATTGGAGTAATAGGCCATTCCAGGAAAGGAATTTGGCGCTAAAGCACTTCCCTTCTCCAACACCAAATCCTGTAGATCGGTAAGAACCGCTATCACCTTAAGCTATTGTTCAACTTTCAGGTCCTTCAAGCTTAATTAATGCTCGCTGGGCCACGTGGGGGTGTTGTTTTCATGACGGCACACATGTTGAATTGGCCGAGATTTCCCCGGGTGCGGGTTGGATATCCAGCGCAGCGTATGTTAGATATCGATCTAAATAGTAGATGCTGATAGTCTGTGAACGGTCGATCGCACTACTGTCAGGAGCCGATTCCTGTCATGCTGATCTTAATTTTCTACAATCAACCTTGGGCAGAGAGAGAGACAAAAAAAAAAAAAAAAAAAAAAAAAAAAAAAAAAAAAAAAAAAAAAAGGCGTGAACTACTCCGTACAAGGATTTGATCACGAAATTTTAGTATCATATGCATCTTCACAGGAATCCTTCGTGGATCCATATGCGACACATTACTAACGATATGCGTGGGTGTTTCAAGTTAGAACATGTATACAGTACTAGGGACATCCTTCATGACAACCCAGTCTCTCGAAGAAACAGGTGTCTACCTTAGTATTCTCTTGAAGATCTCGCTTCACCTTATCATCCGGGGTTACTATTGGGCCCCAAATGCAGTCAAAGGACGAATTTTTGAGACTGTCACTATACAACACCAAGGAACATTACTACAGCCCGTCCGACAAATAGATCGAGTCTGATCTACGAGACATGTTGATTGATTTCGGTCGCTCTGAAACCCGCTGATCATGTCAGGTTGTGGTTAGATGTGTCTAACTTAGGGTGGGGATGTGGTTGATAGCGGACGGACCACGGCCGTCTCCTCCGGCTACTAGATAGGAAAAGGGGATCCATTCTGCTAGGTCCATTCCGAGATTGACTTCCCTGGCTTGCGTGCCCAAATCAGCTTGGCTGCCAATTTAGTTGACCACCTCAGAGGACTTTGGTATCCATCATTCTCTGAGCGTTGTACGATAAATTAGACGGGGGATTATACGCATTCCCGAAGCCTACGGCAGGAGTCCCTGCTGAAAAGAAATCAATTCAAGGGAAGGATGTCTGACACCTGTGTTGACGGACGAGTCATTATCATGTATTCAGGATTGGACGGTGGGTATGTCATCGGGGTACCGGCACCTACTTGCCACCCTATGGGGCAGAGGCACAGTGTGTGAAACGCAGACGCAGGAGATAGTCCTGAGAGCGGAGAGCTGGATCGATCACAGATGGTTCTGGGGTAAAACAAATATAAGACCTGGGCAACAGGTCGGTATAAAGACGACCGCAAATCATCATCATGGTATACCGTTATGCCTGCCAGCTGCAACAAGGTTAAGTTGAAGGCTGTAACAGTGACTCGAAGCATGCCAAACACAGACAGCAGAGTAAACTCTAAAGACAGGTTTTTATCTCTTTTTTTTTTTTTTTTTTTGAGGGGGTAACTGAGCTTGAGCACTCTATATGTGGCGATGAATTTCTGTGACTGCATACGTATAAGACCCGTAGATCAAGTAAACTTTGGTCAAAATGGCTCCACCTCGAGCTTCTATCAAAGTTTATCGAGTCAGTCACTAGTAAGCTGAATAACAGCGATAGCACAAAGATAGCTGGAGTCTGGACATCCCCTACTCTGTACGGAGTATATGTCACTCGAACACGCCCGCCACCTTTATGGCTAATGCAGATGCTAATTTTTACATGCTTTTCAACCAATCGTATTTTCAACAGACTGGAAAAGGGTTTGAGACCCCTGAATGACAGGACAAACTGATCTCTAGAATACCGGCTGTCTGGGAGAGTTTGAAGGAACCTGCTTGGACAGTCGATCTTCACGGCGGAATCGGTAAGCTTAGCCAAGTGGGTCAGCTTACGGCCTTGTTCCGTGATGCCAAGACGGTTGGCTGGTGACGCTTACTAGTAGATAGTGTCTACTAATCATAAATACTTTGTACAAGGTAGACTCGGTACATCCAACACTTTCGTAGTGCTCCCGTCCTGGACGTCCCGCCGCTAGGGTTATTGAACGGGAGCCCTTGAATTTCTGTTTTTACTTTAGTGGATTTGCTCCGTTATCGCGGTTCATGCGCCAAAAGGAAATAGAATAAAAAAAGAGGGAAAAGGACGGGCGGGCACATGTTTCAGTTACAAGAAAAAATTTCCGCAGGATTCGCCTTTGATGATCTGTCCTAAATCCCAATATATTCGGCAAGCCACTGCTCCACCGTTAACTGTTAATCGTAGTGGTGGTAAACTTCGATAAACATTCCTCTTTTTTTTTTTTTTTTTTTTTTTTTTTTTTTTTTTTTTTTTTTTTTTTTTTTTTTTTTACCTTGGCATTACCAGGTTTCCTGCGGCTTGCTTACCCGGTAGAGTCCCTAGATCTAGTTATTTTTCACAGCATTGGCTTTCACAAGGCAAGATGTTCTTGTGCGTAAGCGATGGAGTCGGGCCCTGATATCCAGCGAAAGTTTGGGTATAACCATGAGTATTTTTGATGCCCAGGCCGAATGTCGGCGTATTCGCGACGATACCGAGTTCAGTCGAGATCCGAGTTTTTGATCCGGTCAGCGATAGATCGTATGGATAGCGGATGCTTCTCAAGCGGGCATGATGGCGCTTGAGATAGGGGTGGAATATCATATGCATGCTGGATTTCTACAAAGGCGATGGTGTGATGCATCCGACTTGCCCACCCCACGATACTTGGGAGAGTATCTAGCACTAATTATCCTCGGCTCCACGTCTCACTAGTAGTCTACCTGGAGATCGACCCTCACTCCCAAGATAGGGTTCCCCTTGCATTGGTGAATCGTCGGAAACTCATATCTCGAACCGTTATTGTTGAACAGGAAGAACACGTCTGCTTTCTTTGAATGTTGCCGATACTGGAAGTACTACTATTTTTTTTTCTTTTTTTTTTAAAAAAAAACAAAAAATAGCTATATCTTCGGGATCTAATACATCTAGTTGCCGTAGGTATCTGAGAAAACTATTCTGGCAGGCCAAGAATTGCGAATATGTGCAAGGCTATCACGCTGCCCATCCATTCCGCTTCTCCAACAGACTAGCTATGCACCCCAACAGATAGCGCAGTCATTGATGTGCAGGGAACTGTGAAATCATCACTCAGCCTTCTTAGAGGCTTTTGTTCTCAGCTTCATGAACAGATACACCAAACCATAAGAACTGAAAATAAAGATCACAAAAATGCCCACGTCTCTCCAGCCAAAGTAGTAGTCATTCAAATTGATGGTCTTCAAATAACCCCCTCCGCTGGTATAGGGGCAGACGCGGCATTCAGAGAGTGCTTCGGGATTGACCAGGTTGGCGTCAGACGCTTCCAGATACGAAGACAGGTAATCCAGACAGGTCATGTTGGAAGGCGGATTGAATATGGCGAACTCCGAGTCAGCACACTTCACGTTGACATCGAAGATGTTGAACACCAGGAGACTCCCAACCAGGTAAGTGAGGGGGTTCAGGTAATACATCCAGTATCTCCAAAAGGGGATAATCTGGTCGTATGGGACCAATATGCCACAGAACGAAACCATGATTCCGACAAGGAGAGGGTTGACCAGCGCCGCAAAAACAGCATTAGGAGAGTACGCTGCGACAAATTGACCGATTCCTGTATATGAGAACTCGTACAGGATGACCACAAATAAAGCGGCCCCAGCCTTTTCCGTTGCTGTTGGGAATCCGACCGTATAATACCAACAGAGAAAGTACAGCACGCCGCAGACACATAGATATGGGAACTCGGACACAATAAGGGCCGTGACAAATGCTTTCCAGGAGTACATTCTGGATTTTTTTTCCCGTGCATCGTATATACTCCGTCTTTCAATGAACAGCGGCTGGAGCTGATTCACCACGCCAGGGGCAACGAACATGAACGTGAAAATAGTGAACATGCGAAGCTGCATGTCATTCACAGTATCCCCGATCTTCCAATATGAAAATCCATTGAACAGGGCCAGGCCAATATGCAGATATATCTTATTATTCACATAGTTCGTATTTCGAAAGAGTGCAATATTCATGCGGCGCAGGACAATCTTAGTTTGGTACCAGAGTGGTGTTGCATACTCGTTGTCATCAGTACTTGAGTTATGCACTGATTCCCTCGAAGCAGAGTCTTGGATAAGCCTGTCGAGTTCAATCATTGACTGCTGATACTCTGGCGACTCTAGCCATACATGGTGCCAGTCGACATTCGAAGCTCGACCTGAGACCACGTCAATCATATGGTCTGCCGGGTTCATTTGGCTAGGACAGGGTGATCCATAGCGTTCGAAGTATTCTTTGAGCGTGCTGGCATTTTCTCCTATGTCTCCAAAGTAGACAGTTTTGCCACCGGGGGCCAACAATAAAAGGGTATCAAATTGGTAGAACAACTGGGCTGACGGCTGATGGATAGTAACCAAGATAGCTTGGCCCTGATTTGCAAGCTTTCTCAGAAATCGCATGGTATTAAAAGCAGACTGTCCATCAAGGCCCGACGTTGGCTCATCTAGAAAGATTAGGATACTAGGCTTAGCGACTAGTTCGACACCTATAGTAACACGCTTCCGTTGCTCAATGTTCAAACCGCCTGCGCTAGGCGTGCCTATAAGAGTATCCGCAATGTCTCCAAGTTCGAGAAGGTCAATGATGACATCAACATATGCGAGCTTTTCCTTTTCAGGCGTGTCGGGAGACTGCCTCAAAAGAGCCGAGAATTCTAATGCTTCTCTAACGGTCGCATAGGGCTCATGAACATCAAGTTGCTCACAATACCCAGCCGAGCGCTGGAACGACACTGATAGAGGCCGGCCGTCCACCATAATTGACCCTTCAATTTTCCCTTCTGTTTTCCTCTGGGCAAGGACATCCAATAATGTTGTCTTGCCTGCCCCCGACGCACCCATTAGTGCACCTAGCATACCAGGCTTTACCCATCCATGAACATTGTCCAATAGCACTCGGGGGCCAGACGGAGTCTTTACAGTATATTTCAGGTTCTTCCAGGTGAAGATGGAGGTATTCTTAGCCAATTGTGTCTCAGCAACCGGTGTTGCTAAGGGCGGCGAACCATCCATTTTTTCCTCACTATGGTGACCATGGCAGCACTTTTGTGGCACTTGGGACTCTTCATCGTCGCGACCCAGCTGCAGATGCTGAGCCAGTCTTTCCCTAGGAATGAGCAGCTGTGCTCCGGATTCGGAAGGGCTTTTCCACATCATGGTGGCACCGATAGTAATCGCTACATAGAAGATCCACCAAGCCCAGAGAATACCGAAGTTCCGCCATAAGTGCGTATAACTGTATGTCAGAGCACCCAGATATTGTTCCCCAGTTAACGAGGCGAATCCTGGGGCTGCACCTCTCACACCAGCGCATGATCGATATGACATACTCACATTCGCGTAGCTTTCGCCATGAGGGATCAAGTTGCCACCGGTGCAGTCGATCTCTCGATCGCGGAACTCGGTACTCATCAAGCCATCGAAAGCATACGCAACAGGGTTAAGCCAATAGAGCCATCCAAACCATGGCCGCATTTGGGTGTGTTGAATTTGAAATCCTGCGTACATGGCCATAATTGTCACCACATATCCGGACACTTTGGAGGCACCATCAAATGTTCGGAAAACCGCACCGACGGCACGGAATAAAGCAGTAGAGCACATCGCACATGCGAAAAGAACCACGAAATACGTGAAGAATGCACCAGCAGACATTTTCAAGCCAACCATGAAGTACAGGATGAGAGACCAGATGCTGATCTGGAAAATTGTGATAGGAATATCCGCAGCTATCTGTCCAATGCAGAACGCAGCCGGCTTGCAATATGCAAAGGCGTTGTGTTTCACTACCATGGGCCTACCAGCAAAAGAACCGACGACCTCAGACATAGCGCTCATACTGTTATAAAGGATGGACCAAAACAGAGCGCCGGACTTCAGAAAAAGCCCAGAAGTGTCGGGTTTCACCTGGTAATACATTGAGCCGGCCACCAAGGCTTGTATCAAAGTCGAGCCTTGCTTCATGGCAAACGTCTTCTTATCACCGAGCAGCACCTGATATTGTCGAATTATGCAAGCACGTACTTGCGCCGCAAAGTGGACAGTGTTTGCGCTTCTTGGATGGTGCTTTTCCAGAGCGACAGACTCTTGAAAATCTTTGGTACGTTGCTGCGACAGTTCGCTAGTAGGATAGTCGTATTCAGAGGTCATCTGACATTTTATACTAGAGTTGCGGTAGGATGTGACAATGCCTTCAGCATTCCGGGGAAATATGGATTCATATCCGGAACGAATTCGACGTTCCAAAGGAACTGTCACACTGGTCAGATAATCTCCAATGTTGGCACCCTCGCTGCATTCGAATCCAAGGGACTCCATGAATTGTTGTGCTTGGTTAGCAGGCCCATAATATATCTGTCTACCCTCATCCAAAACAAGCACTTTGTCGAAAAGGCGGAGAATATCATTTCCTGCCTGATATAGTGTTGCAATAATAGAGCTGCCATATACATCCGCCATCGCACGCATCATCTTTGCCCAGTCCAATGCACTCGCCGCATCTAGACCTCTAGTACTATTGTCCCAACAGGAGACAGACGCGCCAGATGCGAGGCATTCCAGAATTGAGACACGCTTTCGTTCTCCCCCGGAAACGCCACGAACATATTCATTGCCCACTTTCGTTTCTGCCGTGTGAGGTATATGGAGACTCTCCAAGAGAAGCTCTTTCATCTCTGCACGATACGCCTCTGCATTAGCAGCATCCCCAGGGAGGTGAGCAGGTACCTTCAGACGAGTCGCAAAATCCAGAGTTTGTCCCACAGTCAACGTGGGAAAGAAGATCTCTTCTTCTGTATTCATAATGATTTGACCTGCGTAATTCTCCGCAGCCTCCTCATGGCGCATGCTACCATACCACACGTCACCCTCTATTTCTTCGTAGCCTGTCCTTTGATTGGCAAGCATCTTCAACAGTGTTGTACATCCGGATCCAGGGCGGCCGAGAACCAGTAACATCTCCCCAGGTTTAACGCATCCATGACTCTGATGAAGTATTGTTTTCAGCGGCATGCCTTGTCGGCGTTGCTGTAGACGACGAAGGATGTTGAACTGCGAAAAGACATTCTCATTAATTGTGGCTTCGGCGCTTTTTGCTTTCACAGTCAAGTCATTCCAGGTGACTCCGAGTCGTCGAGGTTTGTACCCGGATTGTAAACTTCGCTGCAAAATCTCTTCAAATTTAGAAACCAAAGGACTAATGTCGGCCTCGGTCATAGAAAGCTTGTGCTCCTCGGCAGGCCAACCTGTGGTTGAAGATGTAGCAGTCGAACTTTCCATGGCTAGAAGCGGCCGTATAATATTCCAGAACGCTCAAGATAGGCCGTACATTACTAATAAGAGGATATCTGGAATATACAAGAGTTGAATACTCGATGAACGTGAAAAGAAAGAGAGAGAAGAACAAGGCACCAAAGTAGCCTGTTTAAATGCTCCATTCTGGTTTTGGCGCCTGGCCCACATCCTTACAAATTGTCAGTAAAAGCTAGCCACCCAATTCCGATAAATGGGTCCAATAGGTAAAAGAAATGCTATGGATATCGCACTAAGATGCCTAACGAACAATGTGGGATAGGACATATTGGTTACTCGGATTGTGAGTCGGACTTTCGGACAGTCGCAGTCGGATCCACCAACAGCCAAGCGATTTGGCGAGTGACTAGTGAACGCGCACCGATGCCAGTATACTGGCGCAACATCTGCATGGTTAATATATGCAACTGGGTCTTTCAATGGCATCCTCTGCTATTATATGACCGGTTCTCTTTTGTCTCCTCTTACCTGATGGATGTATGTTACTAGAAGACATTCCAAATGAAGATAAGTTTCTTATAGAACGAAGATGGCTAAACCTATATAGGAAGGCGGTCCATGATGGAACAACCTTCGGAACAAGCCTTTTCTAGGACTAGTCCTGCAAGAAGATAATCCGAATTTCCGATCACGTTTCCCCAGCATAATTAATTTCCGAGTTTCCCGAAATGCCGAAAGCATTGGAGACGGTAAACTGGAATTTCTTTCCCTAGGATATTATATTCTCTTCAGGTAAAGCTATAGAAGTCAGCTGACACCTAATGGCCGAAACGCCCAGGATTTCACCCTTGGCAGCACTCCGCAGACTCCCAGCTGTAAGCATCGCTATATATCTCTGCCACTTTGCTGTACCCACACCATCAATGATATGCTCGCAAGGTGCTACAAATGAATTGATGCACTAACGAATACTTTTGTCCTCTCCGTTGTACTTTAGTGTGACCTATGTCACGCAAGAAAGGTACTTAGCGTCCCCAACCACTACTGGTAGTCGACTGCAATAGCTGTGATCATCAATGTCAATGAGAATATGTATAATGTGTCTGACGCTAACTGTCGGAGATAGGTTAAATGCGACCGGCAGCCACAGTGTCAGGGCTGTACGAGTGCGCAAGTGCCATGTATTCGTGCGAGACCCAAGCAGACTCGCCGCACTAGAGTCTCACGGTACGCGTGGCAATGCAATAGCTACAGAGACTTTTCTGATCCACTGTGTCGTACAGTTCTCGAGGGCTTGGGAACCCTAACCAGAGAAGTAGAAATAGGGGCATTGACGAGCTACCTTGTAGGAGTCCGCCTAATCCGGGGATCAGCCTAGGTGGACAGGATACTTCTCGAGGGCCATCTTCAAGCGCCTCAGAAGGAACCAGACGATTGAGACACAAAACGAATCTGGCCGTTGAAGCCGTCCGCTCTCCTGCGTATGTATATCAAGCAAACGAAGTCAATATAATCCGACGCGAACTAGACTCGAATTCATCCCTTTCCACAAGCCGTAGGCATGTGTTGGAGTCCGCCCTATCTTTGATTAGCGACTTCAGCAATCCCTCACACTCAGTCGAAAGCTCAAGCTATGACCAAGTACCAGATGGTGATACACCAGGTAATGTGGGGCTTTCAGAATTGTTCTTCATGATGATGAATCGTATGCACCCTGCCCTAAGCCTTTTTAGCCCTGCAGCCTAAGTTTATCCAGCTTGTCCCGATTATTCTACGCCATGGAAACTTCACTGGCCCGATCACATATCTCTCGAGAGGTTTGAAACTATGTGTCTGGCGGTTGTGAATAGTCAGGCGACCGGCCAGATAGCATCTCAGTATAAGGTCTGTATATTTGCAAGAGCAGTAACCTACATTAACAGATGGCTGCGTATCTGTACGTCCAGCGACCTGGCACAAGCTCTAGAAGCTTCGAAGAAAAAGTATATAACAGCTGCCCTTCGGTCAATTCGCGAACTTGATATTCTGCACAAACCAAGCCTATTGATGCTTCAGTCTTTGCTTTCGGCAGTGAGTATAACCTATGCGACGAACTCCGGTGCATCAATTTATCTATGGTTACATTTTTGACAATCCAGAATTGGGTGCTAGGTCAACTTGATGCAAACTTTGGGTGATACAACGCAAGCTTGGACCTTCACGGCGTTTGCGTCGAGACTCCTAGTAGCACTAGGTTATCATAGCATGGATTCAAGGATGCTTGAAGAGTGTGACAGGTCTCATGACATCCGTCGTTGTATACGATGGTGCTACTACTTTGATAAGGTTCTGAGCATGCTTCTGGTGCGACCACCATCCTTGCCAGCGCTAAGTGTTGAGCCAACCTCTTTACTTCTGTCAAGACAAGCAGACCCGTTAGACATGAAAGCCAACATCTTGATCAAGCTGGCACATGTGCTGGATGGTGCCCTGTCTGTGCTAACACCAGGTGATGGAATCCCTGACAACCAGGCCCTGGGGGCTATTACCCGCTTAGAAGCCGAATTGCAAGACATATGGGAGGAGCTGTGTGAGGTATGTATCCACCTTCTTCTTCCCACCAGCCATCCTCACACCTTTCAGGCAAGAGCAAACTCGAGCGGCACATTGGAACTGCGCTTGGAATGGGATGCAGTGGACTTTACCTATCATTCTATCATAACAACAGTCTTGCGACTCAATTCGGTTTCCTTACATGATCATCGTGTGCGTGAACGCTGTTTATCTCATGCCCGCAGAGCACTACGATCTATGAATGTGCTTCAAAATCATATCTTGCGAGGTGAACAAGTTTACCATGATTTTGTGTTCTGGTATGGATGTGTCATTCACTCACTGAGAGAGACATATGGGAGATTGGCGGCTAATCTATGCTATATATAGGACTGTGCTTCTCTACCCTCTTACACCTTTTTTTATCATTTTTTGCAATGTCATTGCAACGTCCAATCGCGAGGATTATAATCTCCTAACCCAAATAACAGCGGCCTTATCCCGCATCAAGGAATATAACCCTTCTATACTCCGTTTACACGGGCTATTTTCCCAGTTCACAGCCTTTTGCGATCAGCTTTATGAAACCATCGCTCAGGACGCTTCACAGCAGCATGAGCAAACCACAGAGGCAATCAGAAGCCAGCCCACTGAAGTTACTGTATCTAATGACGTTAACGTATCAGTGTATCCCCAGCTTCATGAGTCAATTACCGCAAGGGCACACCGCAGTGATAGCACTCAACTAGGAAGCTCAGAGCAACAGGTGTTGTATTCGCAAGCACTCGAGGCTGGAGGGCTATCTCACCAAACGTCGTCAATGTGGGATGATGGACTTATGTGGGAGCTTTTCAATATCCAGCCAACGGTTGAATGGTTCGATGCGGGGTACAAAGATAGTGCGACTGGGATATAATATAGTATTATAATGAATCTACGCCAATCTTGCGACGCGTATCAAGCCAGGACTGCATTAATGCCAAGAGCAAACGCAGTAGATGTTTTTAGCAGTGGTTTCCACGAAGAAATTTATCACATATCTATTATCGAGGCACATTTCCAGATACATTTCCAAAGGGAGCACCGTTATATAAGTACTGAATTATCGCGTCCCTGAATTTAGGTTTACAAGGTATAGAAGTGGGCACAGGGAACACACATATGACATACAGAGAGATATACCAAGATAGCTTCATGATATTGTACCTAGCCAATAGTTCTAATACCCATTCTTCTGGTCATCAGCGATCTAGGAGGAGCGTGGAAGAAGCTGTACGCAAGCATAATACATCCATTCATTGTGCATTAATATTGACAACCCGATCACCTACTTCTAGGGACCATATATGATAGCGAATACATCTAGGCAGCATCTACATAACACTTCCACTATGACCATGTGGCCCTCTTTTCCCCAGCGCGATATGCTCACAATCCTCATGGGTTACTGAGATATGTACGCTTTTGACGATTGCGTTACTACTACCTCGCGCTCCTGAGGCCAAGGGTATGGCGGGCCCATCATCGCAGCCAGTGGATGACGTGCTGGGCTCCTTCGTCTGTCGAGACCATCTACCTGACCTCGCTTTCGACTGTCGACTGTTATCGTTATCGCTAATGCCCAGTACCTTCGAAGCATCTTCGGTATATGCGAGCCCCTGCTCATCTTCATAGACTGCCACGAACATCTTTAGCGATGAAACGGTAAGCACGAGAACGCTAACGCCGACATGGATTTGGGCGACTGTCGTCGCGTACGTTCCAGTAAGAGTTGGATCAGTTGACTGGACCTGTTTCTGGATAAAGTAAAGATGGGCGGCAGAGAGAGGAATGAGGCTAAAGAAGTGTATAGTCCGGGTCAGCTGCGAGTATTGGTAGGAAGAGACGTTATACATACATAATGCGGAAGCTGAGAATGGCAAAGACAACAAATTTCTTTAAAGGAGAAATCTGAACCTTATAGATAATTCCCACTGGATAGGCCAGGATGAATGCTTCGAGTACGATATCTAAGGCGCAGACAGCCTTCCAACGTGGCAGCTATAAGTCACAAGTCAGGTTGATGATAATCGGAGTGATTATCACAGCAATATAAAGTAGAACTATGGTTACTAACGAGACCAACGCAGTGATTATCAATATCTTTCCACGGGCTCTTACTGCAACGAGCCCCCATAACGGCCATTGCGAGAACAGTCCACACCGAACAAGCAGCGAGAATGACATTGTTCGCACGCATAGAGCGACGGATGGAGAGGTTCCGATAAAATACTGCCGAGCAAACTTTCGATAGGCCGATGACAAGGACATAGAACAAGTCCGCTACATAAACCGTCTGGATTTCAGTGAGCATCAATACGTAGTTTCATAATATCTTTAAATCGACGCACCTTCAACATGGGTATGAAATCCTTGTCTAAAACCATATCTCGTGTTTTGCCCCATCCATAGTGAACCGAGGCTAGAGTAACCGAGACTTGTACGCATGCAGATATCTGTTGGGAACTGCGTGAGCGACCTATTCTATCTGATGTAGGGCACAGAAATCGGGGGAAAGGGTTTCTTTCCACGACACATACCACTACGGCGAGAAGTACGTAATCCTCATTCAGCATGAACGATCTTTTTGAAGCAGCGAATGCACGGATCGAAAAAGAGGCCAGGGCTAGGAACAAAGCTAGCGAGGTAATCACGACAAGTAAACCGCTGTGATCATAGTGATTGTCCGCTGCCAGGGGAGGAGCAATCCTGGATAGGAGCGGACTAGATCGAGCTGGCATTGTACTCGGCAAGTTGAATAAGATTTATGTAACGACGTTAAGGTCGACGTAGTATCCTGATATATTCTGGTTAAGGTTGGCCCTCCTAGGGCCCAGCTGGAGGACAAGAATGGCATGGAAGTACGAGATTTTATCTGCTGACACGGATAGAATTCGTTTCTTTTTCTATCTTACGGCATAATATGACATACAAGGACTCCGAACTTCCACCGCATATTGTCCCTATCACGTCGACAGCGCACAGACTGTGGTTCACGAGTCGTGCACACGCGTGCGCCCGGTACACTAGTTACCAACCAACTTTTCTTTGCATGATTGGTAGAAGGATATGATCGCCAATATTAGGCCATTTTGGCCCAGAGTGATAAAGTTACGAAGGATTTAATCCGCGGTCGATCATCTCCAACCCCAGCCTTATTCTCGAGCTACTATCGGTATGGGTAGCAAACAAATCGAACATCACTGGTCACCCACGTAGGACAACGTCATTAGGCTAGATTCCAATACGGCTAGTCGTTGATAATAAGTACGAGACTATCTTATTTGCCCTTTTCTCTTTTTATTGGTATTATTAGTGGGCAGCGCCAATATGCCTCGTGTTGTCTTGGCGAGGGCATGTAAGAAACGGCGAAGGAGAGGAGCGGTCTGAACGGAGAATACACTAGAGATATCGCTCTTTGGGATTGTTCTTCTCCACCATTGAATACTTATCCAGATCTATTGGTGGACAAAAGCCGGAGAACCCCTTTCAATGTAGTGGAACTTGCATTGGTTGCGAAAAACCATGGTTCCATCATTGACTCTGGAAGAAAATTAGGGTTTGGTCCGGCCAGCCACGAATTGGCTTACTATATTTACCATGACTCCCTTGCCCTGAATTTTCCTCGCAACCGGAATATAGGAGAAATGCATGCAATTATACCCTCTTCAGTCAGATCCCTCGTATTGTGGTTCAGTATGTCGCACAGGGTAGGCAAGCATGCAGGCTGAGTGGCCGGGATGACCCTACTTTTATCCTTCTGGCTCGAGGTATCTCTAAAACAATGAACAAAAGTGCTTCATCGGACTTGGGCATGTCAGGAGCCGAAGGGGGAAAGGGGTAACTCAACGTGGACACCTCCTTGTTGCAGCACAATCGGTGGTTTTGAGAGAATTGATATTCACCGAGGCATTCTTCCATGAGGTTGGACAGCCCGTGAAGTGTGACGGCAAACATACAAACAAACAGACATACACATACTTCCTTCCGGTGTTACTGCACTCTTACTCCATCTCCTTCTCATTCCTCTTTGCGGTTCGTGTCCCGATATCGCCGACTGTGACAGGTAGCATGCCACAACACCTCAGCCTTCAGTACTTACTTTCTTTCTACTTGACTTGGTTTAGCTACTATTTCCGTCCTCAAGGATGGCAACTGCCACTGAATTTGCCCCTACCACACCAAAGCCGGGGAGCCTTATTTCGGCTACTGCGTCTCAGAATATTGACATGGAAGAAAATACTAAGAATGGCGAAGAAATGGGTACCGGGTTTGACCAGAGCGACATGACGCGCATGGGTAAAATCCAGGAACTCAAGGTATGTTGTCGGCGTTTATCAAATAACCAGATATGATGGATTAAACATTGACGATCAATGCTACTGCAGAGAAATCTTCGCCCTCTGGCTGCTCTGAGCTTTGCATCGGTACTCCAGGCTACCTGGGAATTTCTGCTGATGTGCGGGATTCCTTTCGGGTCTCCCAATGATGAAATTCAGCTGACATAACCGAGCACCAAATAGAGGAAACACTGAAGCGCTCGTGAACGGCGGCAGGGCCGGTTTATTCTGGACTTACATGTGGACCTTTGCTGGATTCGGACTGATTATTCTGACAATGTCAGAAATGGCATCAATGCAAGTGCAACTACAACCTCATTTGGTTGGTATCTGGATCGCGCCTGGACTGACAAATGTGGAAAACGTAGGTCTCCAACCTCTGGTGGCCAGTATCACTGGGTTTCCGAACTTGCATCTCCCCGCTATCAACGCGTTTTGAGCTATATCACTGGCTGGATGTCGGTACTCGCGTGGCAAGCTGGCGCAGCGTCGGGCTCATTTCTGACCGGCACCATCATACAAGGGTTAATTAGTGTGAAAGACCCAAGCTATGAGCCAGAGAATTGGCAGGGCACACTGTTCGTTTTTGCCATGATCCTAGTCATCTACTTTTTCAATGTCTACGCGGCCAGTTGGATGCCCCGTATTCAAAACCTACTGTTGGCATTGCACATCCTTTGCTTTGTGGTAGTCATAACCGTCCTGTTGGCCATGGCCCCACGGCAACCTGCGAGTGTCGTATTCCTGGAATTTAGTAACACTGGCGGGTGGTCCAGCATGGGATTGGCCCTAATGGTTGGTCAGATCTCTGCTATTTACGCCGGGCTCAGCACCGATGCCACGGCGCACATGTCCGAGGAAGTTCGCGATGCTGGTAGATACGTGCCGATCGCTATGGTCTGGGGCTTCTTTACCAATGGCACCATGGCTGTTGTTCTGGTAATTACCTATCTTTTCGCCATGCCATCCCTGGAAGATGCCCTTCAGGATCCAACTGGCTTCCCCTTCATCTATGTTTTCAAGAATGCAGTTGGGACTGCTGGAGTTAACGGTCTCACGGCCATCATCCTCATCCCGGTCATTTTCAGCAATATCCTCTTCAATGCATCAACAGCGCGCCAAACCTACGCCTTCGCTCGTGACAAAGGCTTGCCGTTTGCCAAGTGGATCTGCAAGGTCAATCCGAAGCGGAGGCTTCCCGTGAATGCCATTGGATTATCTTGTGTTATCAGTGGTCTTCTAGCCTTGATCAACATCGGTTCTGACACAGCGTTTCATGCGATCATTTCCCTCAATGTTGCAGCACTAATGTGGACCTATGTCGTGTCAATCGGCTGTTTACTATACCGCAGACTATCCTGTCCAGAAACACTGCCTCCACAGCGCTGGAGCATGGGGAAATATGGAATTTGGGTGAACGCAGCAGCCCTGGTATATGTAGTATTTGCCTTCTTCTTCTCCTTTTGGCCCAGAAGTACTCCCGTCACTCGCACCACTTTCAACTGGAGCGTGGTCATATTTTCGGCCGTTTTCATCATCAGTGTGGTGATGTACAATATCAAGGGACAAAAGGAATATGCGGGACCGGTGATGTCTGTGAAACGCGACGGAATACCGCAGGCCCGGGTCAACCGACATAGCATTCGCCGAGAGATTTAGCTTTTGGAGACAAGTCAACCTACGTCTATTGCTTGCTTATTTCATTGAATTTCTAAATCCTTAGGTCAGCGGCCTACCTCAGAGGCATTCTCCATGTTGCCGGCCAACTATGAATAATGATGCCTCGGTTAATTAAGTATCGCAAATCAAGACCTAAAAGACTGTAATCGAAATGATGACGGTCGATGTTCCTGTGAGGAACAGATGAACTACGTAATTATCCCTCTGAAATACGTAGATATCCATGTTACAGTATCATGTCGCCTTTCTTTCCTTCCTTTTTGAGTCTGTGAAGCTGGCTCAGCTTGATCGATCACTCCACGATGTAGAACATTGGTTACATCATAAATTGCACTAGTTCTAGAGAGCAAAAGAAGAAAAAGGGAATATGGGTAATAATCAGTGATTCCATATGTAGAGAAAAGAGTTAATTGATCTTTCAGGGCATCGAGTGAATTCCAATACGTTATCTACTCAATATCAAGATGATATCTCGAGACAGGCAGTCACATCACCTCATACCTTGGATAACCATGACGAAAAAACTACTCTATGATTGGCATGAGGTAACCGTGGGCTCATCACCGGTGTAGTGATATAGAAGACCCAAATCTTCTACAGAAATTTCGTCATCATTTAGAGATGCAGGAGCCCTTTAAAGAGCCCCCGGTACTCCCTTGCAAACAGATTTCTCAGCTTCCATAGTCATCGTACCAGCCACAATGTCCTTGATATTCGTGGTCATCCTTTGGTATGTGGGACTCAGCTCTGCACTCGCCATTCGCCAATCCTGTCATGTTCAGGATGTAGCCCACACCTTCTACGGATTTCCCGACAATGATCCCCCCGGCTGTGCGATCGCATATGATTGCGGCCGAGGCCTGACGGCTGGGGGAGTTGGAACCTTCAACGACCCCTTAACCTTCGCCTCAGCCCCGGGCGAGTTTCAGATCTGCGAAATCATCTATGACCCCTATCTGCGCAAGTATCTTCGCATGGAGGATTACTGTGACTCCTGTAATCGGAACTGGGCCAACAAGGTCTGGCATATCGATATATGGACAGGGTCCAGTACTGTCAATGGAGGAAATGCTCAGCTCGATTGTGAAAACAAGTTGACTCCGACACCGCAACACAAGCCTATCATTAGAGGACCGGGGCCTAATCTACCCGTGGACAGTAGGCTCTTCTTTGTTACAAATGGTCTTTTGTCGGGGCTTTATATACTGACTGAATATAGGTACACCCCTCTATGTTATGTCCGTTTGCAGCGCTGGAAGCGTATTTCATAGTTATGATGCTCAGAGCTTTTGTTAGATGTCGTCGCATTGGAAGAAGCCCTACCGATGTGAAAACCTTTTGACAACATCTTTACTATACAATCGCTCGAGAAGTTCATGTTTCTTGCTTCCGTGGGTATTGTTGGCATTTTCCTGCCAATACTTCGCTACTCTGTCCGAGCAGATTCCCAATATTACTCGTCTTTGATGGACGGTGGGGACGCCGATTTGAGGAACCCCCTATTTGTAGCAGAAACGACCTCTGTTAATGTTATAGGAAGGGGTAATAGGTCTTAAATAGCACATTCCAGATAAGAAATGAGAAGACAACTCCAACAGAATCTTTCCTTCTATTACCATAAATAATTGCTTCCAACGCGAAGGCAGTAATCTGGTAGCATGTCGAAATTCGAAGCTAGGATGGTCTCATTCTGTAGGAGTCTTATAGTTATCACCTTCTGGAACCATCATACATTCGTATCGCGTTTAGAGTGGTCATGCCATGATCATTATTTCGGCAGGACCTGTGGAATATGACGCTCGGGTGATCACTATTGACCATTGACCCTTTTTTCCTGTGGGGAATGTTAATCACAGACTTCCTCAAGGGATGAACTAAGAAAAGATTTGATGGAAAGATCCACAGTACTCTTTGTTTGCACTTCCGATCTGGTATAGCTGCAGTTCCATCTTTTAGCACGTTTCTTTGATTGATTGAATGCTTCGCCTTCCCGATGGGGCCCCGGGGCAACCCAAACCCTATCTCACAATCCTTCTCAATAAGCAGGCCCGCAATTGAATCCTCAATCGATATACTCCACGAATAACCGTTCGGCCTGATACTGCGATAATGGTCTGCTCATTATTCACGCCATTGATACCCAATAATGGAAAAATGATGGTGGGTTGGTTTATATCACCAACAGCAACCCTATATAAATCCCGCTACCCGTATAACTCCCATTTAACACATCTGAAGTTGTACGATATCGTTTCACAAGAAAAGAAGAGAAAATGAAGATCCACCAGCTAGTCTTCTTCTCCCTCGTTGCGCTTGCTACTTCTGCGCCTGTTCCTGAAGAGGATAAGCGCAGTAGCATTCTAGATGGTATTTGAGCTCTTCTCCCCTGTATGTTCAATTTTCATCAATTCTAACCACCGTGGCCGCAGGCTACGTGTCAGCCGGTGATATGGACATTCCCCACGCCTCCAAACCCGAGCCCACCAAAGAGCAAGACAGGATGTACAACGGAATCTGGATACCTCATACCATAGATTGGAGATTCCCGCCTCGTGCAACCCGGTCTGAAACTGAAACAGACTTGTCATCTGGTGGCGCCGAGGAAACCAAAAACGATAATGAGGACCACTGAGACTGGCTCTGGATTAATAGGAGAGCACTTAGGGGTACTCCTGTGGAGCATACAACGCATCTCTCAAGAGAAGACAGATGCACAATGTCGGCCGGGATGTTATGTGGCTTGTGTGAACATTGTTGCAGGAGGTATACCTCGTCCGAAAGAATGGTGACAATCCTTTCAGGGACGGCTTCTCATTCCAGAAACTGCCCTTCTGTTATTGTGTTATGATGGAAATGAGCTCATAATTTAGGGGAGATCTTAATCTGATATCTTTGTTCCCCTCAAATTGCTCATTTGATGTGTGTAATGGATAGATAATACCATGAGCTATACTTTCTTGTCTTTATTCTCGAACGAAGACCTGACCCACCAAGCTTTTCTTTCTATAGTGGCTTTCGAAACGACTTCCAAACCTTGGCCAATTTGCCTCGAGGGGCAAATATCCATGCATAGTGCTTTCAATAGGGAGTATGTCTTGCAGATCTGTACGACATAGCCCACGAGTAATCTGTATCAACCCAGCTTGAAAAAGCCTCTCATAATCCCCAGGATCAAGCCACTAAGCCAATGGGCGTACATACCTCCTGAGACGACAGACGACAACCAACCACACTGGCGTCTCTCCTTGTGCAACCGTCCCACATAATATCGCAACAAGCGCTGCTACACCTGAGCTATCAAATAACCCAGGTCTAGATCCATCCTCTGTTACTCGATTTCAAGTAACTTTATTCAAAACAACGATGAGACTACTCCGAAGCGCCTAACATGAAAAGGGGGGTGTTTCAGGCAGGACTCTTTATCCTTTACCCCCCATAAGCACTCAATTAAAGTTACGTGTATAAGTACCGGCGAAGTTTTCACCATCTTGACGACCAGCAACAGACGCAATCATCAAGTCCTCCAGTCCTCAAGTATCCCAGCCAAACATCTTCTTTTGCCCCAAGAACCCCAACTCCAAAATGAGATTTCAGCAGCTAGCTCTCCTCGGCTTGGTTGCTCTGGCAGCTTCGGTTCCTCTTTCTGCGAAAGATAGCCGTGCCAAGCTTGCATCAGGTACATTTACTTTTATACACCTCTCTTTGATATCCTTGTTTTAGCCAAAGCTAATCAGGTGTTGATGCAGATGCCTCTCTGTCTCGTAAAAATGAGTACAGCGATGTCTCCGCTCGTGCCACTGTCCCTGGCTTCCAGAGCGAGAGAGCCACTATGGTCCTTCGCGGCGAAGCAGCTGGAAATGGTACCAGACATGGCAAAGGTGGCGAGGGTGGCAAGCAGGGCGGAGAAGGCAAAGACGGCAAAGAAGGCGGAAAAGATGAAGGCGAAGGGGATAACCAAGAGGATGACGAGGGTGATGATGATGAGGGCGACGACGAGGAAGGTGAGGAGGGTGGTGATGGTGAGAAAGGTGGAGAGGGCCACAAGGGTCCACACAGAGGCCAGAACGGTCAGGAAGGCGAACACGGTAAGGAAGGCGAACACGGTAAGGAAGGCGAACACGGTAAGGGAGGAGAACATGGTAAGGGAGGAGAACATGGTCAGGGAGGTGAGCACGGTCAGGGAGGTGAACTCGGTCAGGGAGGTGAGCACGGTAAGGGCGGCGAACATGGCAAGGGAGGTGAACACGGTAAGGGCGGCGAGCAGACCCATCAGGGACATGATGGCCAAGGGGCCAAATAGAAGATGCAACGGGGCTACCACGGCCTCTAAATGAGGTGGACAAAAGTGAGGACTGCATACGGGACAGATCCAATCTGGGCATTGATAGTGTCGGGAACCGTTCGGACAAGCTGCTTTGACCGATGGAGATGGATATCCAGAGGAAGAAGTGAGAAGGCCAATATTCTGCAAAGGCTGGTCCTTGCCTTACTTAATTGCCTGGTTTCACTTGTTGTGTTTTGACAGTTGTATTTATTTCTTGTAGCCAAGTGCTAAATCAACTTTCTCTATATCCAGATATCTTATAGTAGTCTATGTACAGTAACGTTTTATAAGCCCAGGAACCAGTAAAACATGAGAACCTGATTTGACAAAGTTTCAGTGAACAACAATTCCAATAATTAAAGAGAAGCCCTCGTAGTGGCAGACTCTGACTTCGGAGGCCACTTTACACGCCGTTCGGCGCGCACGTACAGATTGTTAGGCCGAATAAGTTGGAACATAGGGTCATATTCGATCGGCCCATCATTCTCCTTCATAAAATTGTAACGGTATACTAGCTTCGGCAAGAATACCTTGACTTCTTGTAGTGCAAAGTTAAAGCCAATGCACATGCGAGGACCAGTAGCAAATGGGATATAGGCAGCCTTGTGTCGGTTCTTTACCTCTTCTGTGTCCCACCGATCAGGGTCAAATCTGGTTGGGTTGCTCCAGACTTCTGGGTTATTGTGAAGGTGATGAAGGGCACCGACTACCACAGATTCCTCAGGTAGCTTATAGCCTCCTGGTAAGATCATGTCAACCTTCGCGGTCCGCGCGGGCTGATAAGATGGGTTATGGCGACGCTGAGTTTCTTTGATCAATTTATCCATGAACGTTAATCGGTCTGTCAAGTCCGCTGTTATCTGGGTATCCTCGGTAATATCGTTATCGATCAGTTCTTGCAGTAAGCGATCCTGAACACCTGGGTACGTAACCAGACTGTATATCAACCAAGACAATAGCGAGCTAGTCGTAGTAAAGCCTGCCCCAGTCGCGACCACCAAGGACTGGATCAGACTTGTTTTAGGCAACTTTTCACCCTTGTTGTCGGTGGCTCGGATGGCGTAGTCTACTTTGATCAGCAACTGCTCAGATGAAGAACGTTGCCATACTCACCGATCATGTTCGAGGCCTTCAGGGCAGCGTCCTGAAGTGGGAGATCGTCGACTCCCCCACGGCTGGCGTTCTGGATCGACTGGTCCACTATGTCGAAAACTCGATAGCGCAAATTTCTCAACCGCTGCGGATCGCCAAATGGCAGTTTCGCATACCAATCACCTCTTGCAGTTACCTTCTTATTCAAAGACAATGACTCTGCAATGAGATGAATGAGTTCATGGGGAGGTGCATCCGGAGATGAGAAGTGATTGAAATCAATGCCGAGTACAAGTTTTCCAACAGCTTGAGATCCAAGTTTAAGCATATATTGGTAGACGTTCCAAGCCTCTCCATTCTCGTCAAAATGATCGAATACTTTGAAAGCATCCTCGACTGTCTGTTGCATTGTAGGGGCATAATGCCGCACAGCCTTGGGGCCCAATGCCGGGGGAAGGAACTTATGTGCCGCTCTCCACTCCGGAGTGTCAGTATCCCCTAGGAACACACCGGCTTGTTGGTTCTTGATCGCGTGGAGTGGGTGTGCTTCGTTGATCTTTTTCGTAAAGAAGTCTGTTTCTGAGAAAATGATAGATGACAGCTGTGGATCGTTGGTTTGGTAGACTGTACGTCCCATGTTCGTTGTCTTGATTATGGGCCCATACTGTTCAAACAACCGTTGATGGTTTCCTAGGTGGTCGGGATAGATTTCGAAGAAATTGCCAACAATTGGAAGCCCCTTAGGGCCAGGGATATCTCGCACGGATTTACCATCAATTGTGATGCTAATGCGATCCTCATTTGCAAGGATTTCCGCAACATCGGATAAGACCGCATCCTGGGACTGGAATCCGATTCCTAGAACGATCAGCTAAAGACCAAATAAGCCACAAAAGACGTTCCCAAGCCCGCATAGTTTCCATTCTTTTCTTCCTCATAGGTTTGCTTGATGAACGTACCATTTGGTTCCACTATAGCAAAGTGTGCAGCAATGAGATGCCTTAGCCCATCGTAGTCCAGTGTAGGTTCCAGTTCAATCTCTCTCGCGGTAGAACTAGGTTCCCCCGAAAGGTAGAAGAGTTTGATAGGCATTTTTGTCCAAACCTAGGCAGACTTCTGACAAGGCTAGTTGGCTGATAGGAAATCAATCGCGACTTCTACTGCCAAGGGTCGAGGTGCTAATTTATAGTACCCTGAAATGGCCAAAGTTTGGTCGGAAGGCCGTCTCAGAGCGAACCCACATTGTCCCATTCCACATTACGTTGGAGTGATAAGAACCGGAACACAGTAATGAAATGCATATTGAGATTTATGCTCCTTGCACGTAAAAATGCCTCGATGTCTTCCTCGGTAAATTTCGATATCGGGTCGGCATCGCAATCTCAGCGCCAAACCTAACGCCAGCGAGAGACAGAGATCGTCACCCTAGACCCACAACTACATATTGAAAGCATTGGATTTCGACATAAAGGGGAAAGCTTTGCAATCGCAATGTCGGTCGCGACTTCCACGTACGGAGTACGTTTCAGAACTCCGCCTTGTCGTGCCGAATACCCATCGGGCCGTTTTTAATTTATGCCAATCTCGGAGGAGAAGATGCCGACTTCAGTGAGACGCTCTAGATGAAGTATTAAAATATGACTGTGGGTATTATACTTATGTTGACTTTTATGTCTCACGCTACTAGCTCAATTCCGTGGCGGTTCCAACGCAATGATAAACCACGAACTCGCCGGTCCAGTGCAAAGATCTAGTTTTACTACTCTTCTATGCTATCGCTAACTATCCTTCCCATACAACACAACGACCAATTGAAATGATGGAGGCAAAGGCCGAAAGTCCTGCGGATGTCCAACTCCCTGAGTACAGTGCCGCAGAGGTCGCATCGCATAACCGCAAAGATGATATCTGGATCATTGTTCATGGCAAAGGTAAAATTCTAACTACCAGATTACACCCAACATAGCTAAGGAAGAATAGTTTTCGATATCACAAACTACCTCCAAGATCATCCTGGAGGCGCAGAGATCCTCATAGACACTGCGGGTACAGATGCCACGGAAGCGTTTGAAGATGTTGGCCATTCTGAGGACTCGGTAGAGATTATGCAGGAGTTCCTAATCGGCACTTTGAAAGATGCCAAAGAATACGTCCCACCCAAGAAGGTCCAACTGGTTGCCCAGAAACCAGAGACCATGCGTCAACCATCTGGGAGCCGCCCGGTGGGGACAATCGCTGGTGTGCTTGGAGCATTGGCATCCATACTGTATGCCTATCAACGGGGTACCTTTGGCCCCCTGGTCCCAAAGAATGAGCTTGGCCAACTGATTCCTCAGTATTTCAACGGAATCAGGTTGCCTCGCGGAGGGTTCACCAATGGATTTCTTACAGCTGCAGCCATCTCTGCGATAGTTGGCACGGCCGTGGCCCGTCAGGCAGCAAAATTCACCAAGATCGACTCGGGCTTCTTGCGCTACCCTCCACATATCAAAGCCCGAAGCGTAATCAAGGCTGACCCGCACTTGGCTAAAGGATTTCTGGATGCCAAAGAATTCAAGAGGTTGCCTTTAGTTGAAAAGGATCAACTATCTCCCAATGTCTATCGATTCGTGTTCGCTTTGCCCAATGCTAAGGGAGTGATCGGGCTTCCTATCGGACAACATGTAGCCATACGCGCAGTTGTTGACGGAGCGACGGTATCTCGATCATATACTCCAGTGTCAAACAACTTGGACCTCGGTCGCTTGGAGCTAGTCGTTAAGTGTTACCCTGAAGGCCTGCTCACTGGTCGGTACCTAGCCAACCTAACGGTGGGAGATGAAGTTGAGTTCCGGGGTCCCAAGGGGGCGATGCGTTACAGCAAGGGGCTCTGTACCAAGCTAGGCATGGTCGCTGGAGGAACAGGTATCACGCCTATGTATCAGCTCATCCGTGCGATCTGTGAGGATGAGCGGGACACGACTGAGATCAGCTTGATTTACGCCAACCGGACAGAGGCAGACATCTTGATGAGGGAGGAACTAGAGGCGTTTGCGCGCAAATATCCCAAGAACTTTAAGCTTTGGTACATGCTGGATAGTGCTCCAGATGGCTGGGCCTATGGAACTGGCTTTGTGAACCAGGAAGTACTTAGCCAACAATTACCGGGACCGTCTGAGGATACTAAAATGCTCCTGTGTGGGCCTCCCGGCATGGTCAACGCGACCAAAAAGACGTTGGCGGCCATGGGATTCCGAAAGGCGGGAGCGATGTCAAAGATGACCGACCAAATTTTCTGTTTCTAGTCACTAATTCCCGTTTTTAACTTTCCATTTACGTTCTCTCTCTTTGCGTGTCTGGGCTTGAGTTTCCCTGGACGGCTTAGATGTATATAGACTGTATTATCAATCAATATATTGCTTGAGAGGAATACCGTATGTTCGCGACGTCCGAACGTCAACGAAGAAGGAAAGGGTAGCCCGAAAATCCTAAACCTCGTTTTGTGGCTTGGATATAAGATACCCACCAGAAGGCGTTCGAGTTGAGATGATTAGCGTATCATGTCCCCTGATTTTTGTCAGACCATGTTATGGTGTAGACCTCGTAGTCCTAGTGAAAAACGTTGGCAGCAAATGACAGAAATGTGCCCAGTGGATACGTTGAGTCTTTACTTAAATAGGGTTAGTCACAGCACGGGATAAACGGCTTGTCACCGGGTTGCCAATGCCCTAGGTGGAGAGCAAATTGAATCATATCAACTCCTTGGAGCTCTATCAACCGACGAAAATTCTTATACAAGGAGGTAGTGGTTAGGTGCTTCTGTAAGGACATAGAATATAAAACCTCTCAAATTTGAGTAGCTCCAGTATAGTACAATACTCACCCGGTTCCTGAGCGTTTCCAAGTTTCAACCAACTACACAGTGCCCTAGTACTAGAGCCTAGAGCCTTGGCCTTCTAGCCTCTACAAATTGCCTGAAAATTACAGGAGACGGTGCTAGAATCGGTCAGGAGCAGACTAGAACATTGAACCAATATTAGCGATCGCTGGTTTCACTATATGTTGATAAAACAATCCCAACCAAATATAACCTTATCCACAGTACTATTGGCACTTTCGGTGTGTGTCCGAACAAGGATTTTTGCCTCGGCTGGTCAAATTATTCGCGCACAAGTTATACTCTGACATGTATGGCTCGATCGAAAGGGGTTGAAAAGCTTGACATTGTTGGGCGCTAGAAAGGTCCAGCAACGAAACAGCCGAGGTACTTTTTCCTCCTTTGGTTAGGCCGACCGGCCATGCTATCCGTTGCTTTGATATCATCCTGCACTGTGTAACTAGTGATACTAAATGCTCATCCACATTCCTGCACGGCAACACAAAAATTCATAACTGCGTATATTGAGTCACTGCATAAAAGGGAGGGAGGGAATGAAAAATCTGTCGAAATAAAGTGGGACTGTGCCATGCCGCTATCTGTATGGTGCATGGTGTGTGTAGTACCATAACATATTTACTCAACGCATTTCGATAAGGAAAAATAGAGAGATACTATGTACGCGAAAGGGTGTTGCTGGGGTTCTTCTTAAGCATGCTTAATGGAAATGCTCTCCAAGAACTTCACTTCTCCCAAAGGCACGCAGGCTTATTAGGAATTAGTGTTTCCCTCTTGCTATTGGCCATACTTGATTCGACTTTAGCGGCTACCAATTTATACCCAACGAGGTTGCTCAAGGTAGTCACTTATTGGAGGCAGCGATAGACATTGTGCTTTCCCCGGCTGCAGGAAGTAGTAGGAAGGCAGGATGAAGAAGACCAGCTCTATGTTTCCATGACTCTCTTCATGCAAGTACTTGATATTATATTATTAAATAGCTTTAGTATGTGGGCATCAATAATGACTCTGTAAATGCAACCTCTTATCCATCCAAGCAACAATCACGCACTAACCCTGTACACGTTACAGCGGCACAATCTCCCTCGTGGTATTAGGAGCTCTAATCGGTGTCATCCTCCAAAATGCAGACCACCCGCTGAGCTTTTACTGGCATTTAGTCCTAGGACCCGTACGCAGCGACAACCTGCTTATGGATCCCAGTAGAGACAATCCACTCTCCTTTCCCGACTCTGCGAACCCAGTCTACTACCCAGGCCTACACGCTCATCCGCAGAGCCCAATATCCATGGCTATCCTCGGGAACACCCCACAGCTATTTCACTCCGTAATATATTTCCTCTATAACAATCTTATAACATGCATGGTCCTCGCCGCCAAATACAATGACTACGGCAATGAGCGAAAAGTGCTACGCGTCTCCGAGCCTCGGGGAGCTCAGCGATCAACATACTACCTCAGTCTACCGTATCGATATATCGTCCCACTGCTGTTATCATCGGCCGTGCTACACTGGCTCGTCTTACAAAGTTCATATTACGTACGTGTGGTCTCATATGATCAATGGGGAAGTGCAGGGGCTATGATTAGCACATGTGGCTTCTCAGTTGTCGCAATGATCATTCTTCTACATCTCGGGGGCTTGATGCTGCGTACGGCGCCGGTATTGGGGCTAAGGCGGTTAAAACTAATTGCCTCTGGCAGGGAGCTGCAGTGCCGCTATTAGTGCCGCGTGCCACCCCCCGGGCAATGATATTGACGCTGCCTTGAAGCCGGTTAAATGGGTAAAATCCCTGGCAAGTGCAAAGATACGATGAGTGGAGCGACAGGCAACAGGCCGCATGAGTACAGCTCTCATACAGCGGAGGCTCCATGTATCCATTATAGTTTCACCTCTTTGGATGTAATTTCTCCCAGTCCTGATAGATCTCATATGTGAAGTTCACATTTTGTACTAGTCAAACAGTGTTGCGATTAGAAAGAAGCAAGAATAGATATAATAGACCCACTAATAACCTGACTGGGATAATGTGGCCTCTGATATTTTTCTCCATTCTAAATGGTATATCCAAAAACCGAAGGAATGTTTTGTCCTATTGCTATTCTAGGTAAGACCGGTTCGCAAGTTCAAGTCAGGAGATTTATTTGTTGCATAAATTCAGAAGTTGCAACATGACTATAGAATATAGTTGTGGTTTGCACTTTACCTTCTGTATAGATAGAAGCCCGTTTCCCATAGTAACTCTGTTTACCTCAAGCACTAACATCAGCATCCCTTCTCCTCCGGAAACCTTTTAACTTCGAAACTATGAACGACCAGATAGCTCCAAACCCATCAAAGACCCACTCAACAGGCCCATCCGGCATGAGTTTGATAACGAATCCGATCAAGATAGACAGAGCCCCCAAAACAACCGAGTAAGCCCACTGGCTGCCAGTAAGTCTGACAACTGAGAAGACGCGGCCTCCCACAAAGATAATTAAGACTTGGCAGCCCATCATTAAGAGGGTGACACATATGAATAGCCAGTTTCGGGATACACCCTCGAGAAGGTTGATGCTGTTTTCGAGTTGGCGGTTACTGTGGTTGATTAGTTTAGAACTAGTATGCGTTGAAGTAGGGCTTCAAGGTAAAACTGGGGGTGGATTTGGATTGGATGGTGTTGGTCGCGGAAGGGTTGGCAAGGTATCCACCAATTATGGAGTATAGTGAAAACGTACTTATACATATTAAAGATCTGCATCCAAACGTATGTATTGAATACCGCCGTTTGAAGCTGATCCTTATCGTCGGGCGTATAGGAGAAGATACTGCTTCCGGCGAAGTGAAGGACAAGAGTCACCGCTAGCTGATAGATCGATTGCCCGATGATCATCTTCCACATTGGAATTGTGATTAAAGGAGCTGATCTCGCCTCTGGTTTTCGGTCTAATACTTTGCGCGATGGAGGGTCGGTTGCCAGTGCCAGCGCTGCTAATGTGTCTTGGAATAGGTTTACCCACATGAGCTGTACAGCGGTAAGGACCGACTGTTCATTGGAGCTGGCGACGGATGAGACAAATGCGAGGCCGACAGAGGTGAATGTGATGGTTATTTGGAACTGCAGATCATGAAATGGTTAGCAACCCACCTGTTCTTCAATGGAGTGCATGGGTTTAGTGTTGTACCTGTAGAAATTTCTTGACGGCATCTGAGACAGCTCGACCCCACATGATTGCCCGCACAATTGAACTGAAGTTGTCATCCATGAGGACAATTGACGAGGCTTCGCGCGCGACTTCAGTTCCGGAGATGCCCATGGAAAATCCGACATCAGCCGCAGTCAGAGCAGGGGCGTCATTTGTTCCATCGCCAGTGACAGCAACAGTTCTTCCCATTTCCTTCAGTCTACGAACCAATGTTCTTTTGTCTTCCGGGCTAGATCTCGCCAAGACCTTGAGACGTGGAATGATTTCCAGTTGTTGTGATTCACCAAGCTGACGAAACTCTCGGCCTTCCATCGCAACATCATCTGGGTTTGTGAGAATACCACATTCCTCGGCGATGGCTTTTGCTGTCAGTAGGTTATCGCCTGTCACAATACGAACGGCCACACCAGCTTTATGGCACGACTGCACGGCATCCCGGGCACCGTTTCGGAGAGGGTCTCGGATACCCATAATGCTGAGGAAAGTAAGATCTTGGACAATGTTCTCTATCCTTATCTCCTCCACTTGATCATGCAGTTGATCAAGGGGAGGCCATACGTCAAAGTCACGGAACAACACGATAATAGTCCTCCAAGACTTCGAGGCATAATCGGCAATTATCTGGCGTAGGCCCTGGGCCATATCTGCATTGATCGGTCGTGTGGAGAGCCCTTTGCTTGGGTCCTCAATTGCTTCTATACACTTGTCGAGCAGCACCTCTGGAGCTCCTTTCACATAGGCCCGATACCTGCCGTTCTCCAGTTGAGCAACTGTGACCATACACTGGCGAGCATTTTCGAACGGAAAAACTTCTACAATCTTTGCATTTGAGCGTTCGACATCGAGTTGACTCATTCCTAAGTGGTCTCGAGCAAATGTTAAGAGGGCAGCTTCTGTTTTAGACCCTACATATGACGTGGTACCTGCATCGGTGTTCTCAAATGCGGTTGAGTTGAGTGAAATGGATTGCCTAAGAAGTGACCTTGAGTCAGGCGCAAGACGCTGAGTGTACTCGCTGGTAGTTGGGCTGTTAGGCGGATCAGCAACATCGTCATCCGCCTGTTGCGGATCAACGAACTTGCCGGCAGTGCCGATTACCCCAGCGACGACTGTCATTTTGTTCTGGGTCAGAGTCCCGGTCTTGTCCGAGCATATGTCTGTCGCATTTCCCATGGTTTCGCAGGCCCTCAGCATGCGAACTAGGTTATGGTCCTTGAGCATCCTTGTAGTTGCAAAAGCCAGTGCAAGGGTCACTGTTAGTGGGAGGCCCTCCGGGACTGCGATCACCACGACCGTCAGTGAAATGATGAAAAGATCTAGAAACTGTTGACCCTTTTCTGCTGGTGTTAGACTACTGTGAGGAAGGCTGGCGAGGAATTTGATAAAAAGAATGATAAATAGCACAAGAGCTGCAAGCCCACCGAAATTTGCGATGTACTTCGCCAATACATTGAGACGAGTTTGCAAGGGTGTAAATCCAGGATCGTCATTTAGCGTGAGAAGAATCTTGCCATAACTGGAATTGGTGCCAGTCGCAATCACCAAGTACGACCCGACCCCTTCAGCTACACTTGACCCGGATATTATGAAGGGGTCCAAGCTTTGAGTATCACCGTTCCTTCGAATCACGTCGAGAACTTCATCCCCAGAATGCTTACGTAGGAGATCGGATTCCCCGGTAGCGGAGGCCTCATCGCATCTGATATGATATCCCTGGATGAGAACCCCATCCGCCGGGATTACATCCCCAGGCTCCACATGCACAACATCTCCCACAACTAGGTCAGAGATCGGGACTTCATGTGCGTGACCGGATCGAACGACGGTCACATTGCGATCTAGCTTCTTCTTGTTCAATTTTTGAAACTTGATTTGTTTCTGGAAATCATTCGCGGCACCAACAAGAACAATGACAATGATAGCGACAAGGATCGAAACGCCTTCCACCCATTCAACGGGCGGATTGCGGGCGGAGTGCTTGGTCGCGAGTGCCTGGTATAGACCGAGCGCCAAAGAGACAATTGCCGCTGCAGTTAAGAAGAACAGAACATGGTCATTGTATGCCATCCACATGAGCTGGAAAATGCTCGGCTGTTTCTTTACTGGAAGATGATTAGTCCCGAATGCCTTGGTCCTGTCCGTGAAGCGGCCATTCTGTTGTCCTGTCGCAATTTCCGTTGACTCGGTCAAGTCTGCAATCGTTGATTCATCGACGCTCAGTCCACTGTTTCGATCTGTTCGCAGCCCTTTCTCCAACCCGGCAAGACCGCCTAATGCATGGAAAGTCTCTATACTTCTAGACTCTATGAGTTCGCTGAGCTGCTCTGCCGTAATATCGAAGGTATTTCTGGGGTGATCGAAGATCGTAGGGTCGCCTGTATTGGCATCTGGTTTGTCATTGAAGGGTTTCTAACTCCGTTAATGTAAATTCACTGATCTTCATTCACCGGTAGAGATAATGCGCGTACCATGATCAAAGATTGACTGGGTGGAATGCCAGCGCGGGTTTCGGTTTCGTTATTGGTATGATAGTAATCATCCCTGAACTTACACCGAGCGATCGTCTAGAACTTGTAGACCGGGGAGACCATGGTGGGTTGGGGAAACATTATGCTAAACTTTCTGAAGTTCTCGGAGATATTCCATGAGGGAGAAACGTAAAACAAGCTAGGACAAGGAGAATATAAGTGAAGGAGCGAAAGAGAAGCGTCCATTGTGACAGTCGAATCGAAGGCTGTTTTCCCAAGGGGGAAGGCAGCCAAGAACCTAAACTTCTTTAATTTACCTTTTTCACGTATTTTATTCGGGTATTGAAACTTTACCCCCCACTCGAAATACGGAGGCCTGATAAGGCTGAGGAGTGAACCACGGGTCTATTGTTTACTCGCCGTATACATCTATCTAATATATCAAGCAAACACAATGTGACTATCAATAATAATTCAGGTATACATTTTTGGTATATTCCTCTCACGCAATTCAGGCAATTGCAAGATGATCGGTCACATCCGGATGTACGTAAAATGCGATCGCGATGATCAGATACCTGGGCACCGACGGTCGGGTTAGACAGACGATGATCTCCAGAAGAAGCCAAGAGGAAATAACTTACGTCCCGATCAGTAATAATCCTTCAAAGTAATTCGATTTCCCTTCTCGAGTCAAGCAGTTCATCACCACCACAGCAAGGGAGAAGCAAGCGGTTTCGAAAGTATTAAACCGCAAAGACATCGGCTGCCCGAGAACCCACCCACAAATCACCAGGAACGGAGTCACAAAGAGCGCAATCTGAAGCGTGCTTCCAACGATTACCCCAATAGCGAGATCTAACTTACCGCCCATTGCGGCATTCACCGTGATGGCAAATTCGCCCGCATTGCCAACAATGGGGACGACAATCATCCCCAAGAAAGCCCGACTGACTCCGTATACCTCCACAAACCCGTCCACGCCCTCCACCAAGTAATCGGAACAGACGGTGACTCCAAGTGTTGCAAGGATCAGAATGATGCTAGCGGGGAGAGGCTCTAATTCGCGCTTTTCGTCCGATTCCTCCTCGGTGCTAGCGAAAAGATGAGCGTGGCTTTTCAGTTGAAAATTAAGATAGACCAAGTAAAAGATGAGTAGGAAAATCGCAGTGATGTGGGAGAGGGTGAGGATGTAATCATCTCCCTCGGGCAGCTCGGAGAGAGTCGTCGAGTATAGAGCGGAAGGGATAATGAGGGAGGTGGAGGCAACGATCATCAAAGACGACATGACCTGAGTAACATCGACATTGAAGGATATTGTCTCTTTGCCGTATCCTCCACCTAGGAAGCAGCATCCTAGAACCTGTACGAAAATCAGAGTAAGTGAATCAAGGAAAACTTCCGTCCAAAACTATGTCTCTTACCAGAAGAGTTCCGGAAAGAATACTGCCAACCATACTTGATTGAACAATGTTGATCTCCCCTTGAGTTACGGCCGTAATTCCCACCTGAAGAATTGACCGGTGTGATTAGCGACCGTGACCAAACGTCGAGTAACGGGAAAGAGAGTTCGGCTTACGATCATCTCGACCGCATTTCCAAAGGTTGCGTTGATCAGTCCCCCCACGGTCTGTCCCACACTTTTGGACAATTCTTCAGTGGCAAAGGAGAGCAAGGAAGCTAGGGGAAAGATGGCTAAGAAATTCAACAAGAACACAGCTGATGGTTCCCATCCTCGAGCACCGGCCAAAATGCCCAGGAAGACAAACACCAGCATCACATTTGCATAGCTCGAGAAAAGAGTAACCTGGACGACATGCCAGGCATTTCTCTGAGTAGCACCAGCCATGGTGAGGGCGTGGTTGAGGGAGGAAGTCCACAAGAGGGGGATGGACGAGCTAACTTGACATGACTATCAGTTGATAGCAAGACAACAATAATACTAGTACCCTGGGGTGTCTCATACCTTACCTGGTACGTTCTTGTCAATACCGTATATTACCGCTGCGGGGAACCTTGATTGGTAGAAATGTGGATGCCTAGCGATGAAGCTTCGCGCTCAGGCCTGGAGGGTGGGGACGGGACGGACAAGGCAACCAGTGAGGAAATGACACTCTGGCCCTGTAGGGCTGAACGGCCCGTAAAGCTTTCCAAACAGGAACCGTACCAGTGTTTCTTTCTACTAGTATTGAGGCTCACCGTATTTCTAGTTTCCCTCTTGCGGTACATCCATGTGTCCGGTCTTGATGACCGCCACCACGATCATTCAGCAGACACAAAAGTAACCCTCGCGGTTTTTCGAGACTCCATTTTCTCTCTGCGAAGGCGACAACATGCAATCGGTCAGGCACAGACACCAGCAGCTACCGCCCTTAGACAGTATGTCTGCTGTATCGCCGAATAATTCCCTTCGCTCTCCCGTCCCCAGTACGCCCATGCGAGCTGCCCGCCAACAATGGCGTCCTTTCCACCGAGCGATCGTCAGAATTGGTAGCCATCAGTATGTGAAAGCAATGCTGGCTACCGTTCCTATTGGAATCATCACAGCGATCCTGGGCGGACCACCTCGAGTGGTGTTTGTCCTGAATCTTACGGCACTAATACCACTCGTCACTCTGCTTACAATCTCTATTGCCGATTTGTCCATGGCGACTGGGCGCGTGCTCGATGAATTGCTCAAAGCGACCGTTGGTAATGCAATTGAACTGACCCTGGGAGTTGTGGCCATGACCAGTGGACACATGCACATGATTCACTCGACTCTGATAGGAAGCATGCTCTGCTACATGCTTTTGGTGAGTAGTGTACCACTCGTATATCAGCAAAGATATCATTACTAACATGCTCCAGGTACCAGGGAGCTGCTTCTGTCTTACCGGTTACGATAAAGATCATCTCCATTTTGACCGCACCCTGATCAGCATTATGTCTTCTCTCATGGTAGCTGTATGCATGTCTCTTTTGATTCCAACAATTATGGTTACCTTTCCTTCTTTGGATACCGCGTCTCCACAGGCTTCGGTGACTCGACTTGAGATAGTCTTCGTTTCACGTGCAGCGGCAATCGTACTTCTTATTTTGCTTGGGGTGTTGCTTCTCTTCCAGCTGAAGAGTCATGCGTCAATCTTTGATCATGCCGAAGCGTCTAGCGAAGGCTCTCCAGGTAGCCACAGCCTGAACGATCGTGGCATCGCACAGGATCGCCCAGCGAGAATTTTCGCACCACGAAGCGCTCTGATTGCTCTTGTGACGGGAGTATCCTGCCTGATCATGTGCATTTTATGTGTTGTTAAGAGCGCCAATAGAGTTGCACAAGAGCTTGGTCTTAGCGCGGCCTTTCCCACCCTCGTGCTGGTTCCACTTGTTGGCAACTCCACGAGATACGTTGCGATTGTCATGGTCTCACGCCAGGGCCATGCGGAGTCCGCAGTGCGGGTCATCATCAACAGCATACTGCGTATTACTCTCCTTGTTACCCCCGTTCTGATTATCTTAGGCTGGGTTTTAAACCTGCCCATCACACTGCAGATGGACACGTTTGAGGCGACCATGTTGTTTTTGGCTTCAATGGTGTTGATTCATGTGCTTCAGAATGGGAAGAGTAATTACTTCGAAGGACTAATGCTTGTGGGAACGTAAGTCAGCACTTCATTTTATCTACTTTACGAATTGCTAATCACAGCTTCTCTCATATAGGTATGTCATATCTGTTGCTGCTTTCTATATGCGTCCTGGTATAACCGGCACCGCCATGCCCACGCCCTAATTGAGGGCCCGCCGTATACAACACGGACATGTGAAGGGGCATTGTGATATAGATATCATGTCTTGGCATTCACCAATAAATAAACGCAGTACTGCGATGTTTCCATGGCGTAGCAATTCCATCTCAGCGGACCCAAAATGCAAGCGCGATTATCGCGTATCTAAGCCAATATATCAGTCACAAACTATAGATAAGCTAAGCAGAATAGGAGGGGGGGGGAGGGGGGGAAACGTACAGCCCAATCAGCAGACTCCCATGAAGATACGTATACTTAGCGTCCTTCAAAACTTGGTTAACCACCAGAATAGCGAAAAACAGGACCAAGGTATGGAACGTCTCGAAAAAGAGCGTCATTGGCACCCCAATCAGCCACCCGAACATGACCAGGAACGGAATGGCAAAGAGTCCGATCTGCAAGATACTGCTGACAATGACGCTAATAGCGAAGTTTACATCACCGCCCCCGAACGAAGCGGCGATCACCGCCACGCCTTCGGGACAATTACTAGTGATGGGAATGAGAATAGTTGCAATGAAAGTTTTAGAGATTCGGGTGGCGGCCGATGTAGCGGGGACACTGGCAAGGAAGAAATGGGAGCAGATGACGATTGAAGTGCCTGCGGCGACAAGGGTGAGGACGGTTTTCGACAGGTCCAGCTTCTCTTTATTTTCACCTTGATCAGCTTCATCTTCCTGTGGGGCGTTTGGTTCTTGTTGAAATAGGTGGGCGTGCGTTCCCAATTGAAAGTAGAGATATCCGACATATAGCACCAGAAGCACAGTGGAAGTTCCACGGGAGAAACTCAGGACTTGATCTTCCAAGTCCACCGAGGTAAAGGTTGCATATAGAACGGAGGGTAGAATCAATCCCACAGCTGTGACAACCATCAAGGAGGACAAGGAACCCGTCTGAGCCATATTGAAATATAGTATGTGCTTGTTGTATGAGGCTGATATCAGACAGCCACCCATAATCTATACCATGTTTGTTAGTCACATAGTCCGCCGACGACATTGGACTTTCCAAAAAACGAATCCCTAAAAATAGAAGAAAAGGGTACCAACCAAAAGAATATCTGACAAAATACTCCCGATCATAACCGACTGAGCAAAATAGGTGTCTCCACTGGCGACGGCCAGAATCCCAGTCTACAAATAGGTGGGGTTAGCATGCTACTCATCCGCGCTACCGTAATAGGCAGTCAAGAATTTGCTCTGGGCAGATAAACGGGGAAAACACACGCTCAACTCAACCGCATTGCCAAAGGTCGCATTAATCAGTCCCCCGACCAAATCACCAAAATAATCGGATAGTGTGTCAGAAGCATCTGACACAATAGCGGAAAGCGGTAGAATTGCCAGAAAGTTGAAGACCGAAACCAGCACCGAGTTCCAGTTGAGAAGTGCTGCGATAACCCCGAGGGGAAGAAATACCAGCAGGCTGTGCACTGTGATCATAGCGTATCTCACCGTTGTTAGTGGCATGCGAAGAGAGTTGTGACGCGGAGTGCTGGGTATGTGGTGATGGATGTCTAAAGGGCGTTTCTTCGATATTTGATTGCCCTGCTGCAATTCATATGTTGTGAAAATCTGAGAAACAATGATACCAGGGGGGGGGAAAGAGTTGGTCTAGAAGGATAAATACAGTGAAGCTTTCGATATGGTAATTACGATACTGTACAGCATCGGTGGATGTATTGAAATGATCAACAATTCGATCCTCATCCATGATACTATTTTCGTATGTTTAGGCTGATGCCTGTTGGAGAGTTTGTGGTACACATCTACGTTAAGAAATCCATCTCATCCGTTTGTATTCTCTATAAAGCAGTATATAGAAAGCGACTATACTATTCCATGAGTAGTATAATCAATCAATCACCAGCGATAACCATCGTCTATTATATATATACAACCTACCACCGTGGCTTGAGTCGGCTACAGCTTGTCCCTTCGCTGCATCACCTTGGGCATCTGAATGGTTTCGAACCAATCTTCACCATACACAAGATGATCACGCCGAGTCATTAACGATTGTTTCTTGTTCCATGCAAGCTCTGACTCTCTGTACTTTCCCATCTCCTGGACCAGCCACGCTGCACAACAACTGGCGGTCTGGTTTACGTCCTCGAATGGGAAAAGATGACCGCGCTCTGGGAGGAGAATTTCTTTAACCTGGCCATGGGAGATACCACCACTACCCCCGACCCCCACACCGCAGGCCCTCATGGCCTCGCGGAGGTTGTCAATGCCAAGAAATGTTTTCGCTCCCAGAATCCAGAGCACAGAGGGCCTCAAATGGTGGATTTTTGAGAATATGCCGCGAGGTTCAGGGCGATAGATAATTGTGTTAACGTTCGTAGGATCCATATCCGGATGGACAGAGCGATCAATCTGAGTTTTCTCGTCTGCCGTACGAGCCGAGAAATTAGGACGGTACATGCCTGCAACTTCCTGGTACTTCGTTGTGGTGAGAGTCACCGGTGGCTCGGAATGATCTGCGCCCTCTGGGATGGTGGGATACAGTGCGGTGGGGAGGTCACGGAAACCGAACTTGACCATTAGGTCGAAGCAGCGACGGTCCCAGTGCTGCCATGTCTTTGCATGAGCCGATGCCGCTGCTTTTCTGTTTGGCCAAATGTCGGGTCGCCAAAGCGCATAGTTGACGGCGCCGGGCGGGTCAATACCGATCCCCCTCTGGGCCGCTCTGGGCATGATGGCGGGATCGAGAAAGACAAGGGTCGTAAACAGGCGCGGGTGCATGAGTGCAAGGTTGGCGCTGAGCAGCGACACTGACTTTTAGCTTTTGTGATCATTATAGTATGAAAGAAGGCGTCGGTACAGGATATTCCCCCCAAAACTATGACCGATTCCAACAAGAGGCCGTGGCATCTGGTTGCGGAAGTGATTGATCATCAGAAGTAAATCGCGGGCAGAATCTACCCACGAATCTAGTTATGGAACTTAGTACGGCCGTGGGGGATTTCAAGGGATCAACAACTTACAGTCAAGGCTGATTTTGTCTTCATTGATCACACCACTCATGCCCATGTTTGGGGCATCTGCCATCCATATGCTTCGAATATGGACACCATTCTGTTTTAACCGGTGATAGATCTCATCCCAGAGGGGCTCATAGAGTTCCTGTTTGTGACATTCTTATTAGAAAGCATGCTCTTGACCCGTGCAATTATCAATATTTAGGCAGGCTCAAGGCTACGGAGCCCGGGTTCCTCCATCACTATAATTCTATAGGGCCATCCATACCTTGGGGTAACCACAAGCATGAGTTGCGATCACAGTGATGGCATCGGTGGGTATGGTATGGCCTTGATCCAGGGGCGTGTATTGTTTGACATGCAATGATAGGACCTCTTCCTGACTTCTAGCAGTGCTCCCGGGATATTCCCGGATATGGCCTGCCGGCGCAGTATGTTCCGTGACTTTGAAGATATCTGTGGACATTACGAAGCCTTATGGATCTGTGAATATTCACTAAGGTATAATGAAGTGCGAGATGGAAGGAACTCAATTGCTTCCCAACAGCTTCTTCTACGTAGTTGCGCTGACAATGAAATGACAGATCACATAAAAATTGAAAAGGCGGCTCAGGAATGACAAGGATCCACATAGTCGCACACACCGCCATGTGAGCACTCTACTAAAGACATGGTATGTCCATTATTAAGAGGTGATCTTTCAACATGTGCGGCATGGTAAGGCCCGATTGTCCAAGGAGGTTGAATCGACATTGAACTGTAGCACATTTCCATATGAAGCTCATTTTTGCATATCTGAGTTCAAGATAAACCTGGGAGATCTGTCACTCGAAGTGTAAATCCTGGAGATATGGCATTCCAGCTATGCAAGGGATAGAATGATTTCGTGGCCCGGGCTTCAGTCAAGATGTCGTGAGACCCAATTAACGAGACAGGAAGCCGCTATAGCCGTGTTTCGATTCAATGATAGAGATAATGAGAATAGACCACTTCTGAAATTTATAAGCTGCTATCCTTTGTAGAAAGACAGTAGACATAACGTGATCAGATAATTTCGATGTGATGCTATCATGTCTAGAAGTATATCCAAGTATTTCGAGGAGAGTCCCGTGATCAACGACCGTCCGGTGTTGACTAAGCTGATGCTGGCCTATTCAGGACTAGTCGCGTCTTTTCAGCATTCTCCATCCCTCCGACAGGTTGCGCTCCTGTTGCTTCGGTGATGGTGCCAAATGTCAAGCTTTCGCCGACTTACGGCAAAACGCTTGGAGGCTCTCAATTTGCATCACGGGGATGCTTTCAAAAGCAGGAGCATTGGTAGAATCGCCCAATCTCCAGTATTCCCAATTCTGCTGCGGAGTAAACCGCTACTACTCCAAGAGTTCAGCCTTTGAGGGAACAAGCAGAACCATCGACTGGAAACAGCCACTATCACCCGATTATTATATTTAATTTGCTTTTGCTCGAATGGATTCTACGACTGAATTCCATAATATGAGCAGGAGGGTTCCACGGTGCCACCCTGTATCTCACCCCGCACTAATCTTTCAAAGGTACCTGACGAAGATCCAAACACATCCATGGTCTGCCATGCGATAGCTAGCAAGTCCGGCAGTGTAACATTATAATGGCACTGTGGTACAATCAGGAACAGGCCCTCGCCCTTCGTTAATCTCCCGGCAATTCAATTAAGATTAATCACCACTGCCAAGCACAACTAAAACCCCAACAATAGTATTGCATGACCTAATGGCTACAGGGAGCCAATACGATGTATCCATTTCATTGGTCCTGAGGCCGATAAAATCTGCAGGACCCCGCGAATTACCGATATCTGGACTTTTCTACTAGCTTCCGCTTCTCGCAAACCGGATTGGTTCTCCAACGAGCGCTTCGCTGCATTGTTCATCACAAGTCAAAGTATATACCGGAGAACAATGGCCATGAGAGGGCATATCACTGCTCTTTCTAGATGGCTTCAAATTGCTGAATTGTCACCGTTACTTACACTATGTACCCTTGATAGGTGTGAATAATGTTAGGTATGCTGGACTAACTGAGAGTTTCACACTGTGCACCGTCGGAGACTCGGAGAACGGTAGTTAGGTAATGAAACGCCCAACCAAAAAAGTGAGGATCTCCGACCAAATTTGTCCGTTATTGGTACTCTATAGCAATGTTATTCCACACCCCCTAGATTCACACTGGCGCTAAGTGGGGGACGTTGTGGCATGAGTATGATTCAAGGGCGATCGGGCCCCGGCTGATTCTGTCACAGTACACTGCACACCCACTTGAATGTTCCGATAACTCAGGCCATGGTAGTGAATGCACCCTCGTCGAAGAGAATACCGAAACCGAGCCATGTAACTCCAGTTGACTGCAACATGACAGGTCCATATGGCGCCGTTAGCACTTCACGATACATCTAGCTGAGCGAAGGCTCACCGGGGAACAGAAGGTATAAATATGGGCTGCAGGACGGCTATCGACTCAGACGAGACAGCATCATCATCATCATCGCACAAACGCAGCTATTGACATCGTGTATAACAATCTTGCAAAAACGACCATGCACTTCAACGCCATTTTTAGCGTCCTTCTGTCTTGTGGCCTGGCAGCAGCACACATGCAAATGAGCTGGCCTTATCCCCTGCGCAGCCCACTTGACCCTCAGAACAAAGGGTCCGACAAGGACTATGACATGTCCAACCCCCTCGACTCGTCCGGTACGGCATTCCTCTAACTTCACTATACATCAGAATGGAATGTTTACATAACCTAGGTGCCAATTTCCCTTGCAAGGGTTATCACAAGAACACCCCCTGGCGCGCAACCGTGGAATACAAGGCTGGCGAGTCATATAACATGAGTGTGACCGGCGCCGCAACACACAGTGGTGGATCCTGCCAGCTGTCTCTAAGTTACGACGAAGGGAAGACCTTTAAGGTCATCAAGTCCATGGTGGGGGGATGCCCGCTCGATTTCAAGTACGACTTCGACATGCCAAGCGATGTGGTCAATGGCCATGCTCTGTTTGCTTGGTCCTGGTTTAACCTGGTGGGCAATCGGGAGATGTACATGAATTGCGCGGATGTTGAGATTAGCGGAGGGAGCGGCAGCAGGGAATCGTTTGAAAACGATTATCCGGATATGTTCGTGGCCAATGTTGGAAATGGCTGTTCTACGGTGGAAGGAAAGCACACGGTGTTTGCGCATCCGGGAAAGCAGGTTACCTATGCGGGTGGTCTTGATGCATCCTCACCTCCATTCCCCATATGCTCTTGAAATCACAACCAATCGATGTTACACCTTTGTACGTGATAGTACATATTGTGAGTATCGGCAAGGCGGGACTATGCTGGACTATGGTTGCCAAGTGTTGAAATAAGGAACAGTTGATTTGAACATACATGGTACAATTCTGTTCCCATGAGCTCTTTCTTCTCTTGTTACATCTCCGAATGGAGTATATTCTTATTGAGAGGTGGATCCCGTGAGTGACAGAACCGCGGATGTAGTGAGAAATGGCTAAGTACCAAGTAAAAAGATCCGAGAGCTACGCGCCGTTTCAAGCGACATGATCGCCACCAATCACGGATCGATCGCATGTTGACAAGTTGCTTAGTGCTAACTTAGTAGTTGGAGTTAGTCGCACTAGCAGTGGTACTCCTGGGCAGGATGCAATCGCGGCGTGGGCAACAAGTCACTATCTAGATACGCTGTCATGTGATGGGATCTGACTGGACCCTTCCGCCGAGAACAACCGCTTAAGGCCGGCTGGGGGCGGACGTGAATACCGATTAAGTAAACTGGATCTCATCCCCGCAAACCTAGATAAGCATATATAAACCTTACAGAACCTCGTTATCAACTTTCCATCTTTACTCCTCCTCGACCATTCCCTTGATTTATAGTTACGGACTTCGATTTTCCCAACAGTATAGCGCTACAATGACTCAAAGCTCGACCTCCAAGGGAACAATAAAGGTTGCGGACTATCTGTTCGCCCGACTCTGCCAGCTCGGCATCCAGTCTATTTTTGGGGTTCCGGGGGACTACAACCTCAGACTACTGGATTTCGTGGAGCCATCCGGGTTGCACTGGGTTGGGACCTGCAACGAGCTGAACGGCGCATACGCGGCAGATGGATATGCCAGGATCAACGGCCTGGGAGCCTTGATCACCACGTTTGGTGTCGGCGAGCTCTCCGCCATCAACGGAATCGCAGGCGCGTATGCGGAAAAGGCTCCGGTCATTCACATTGTCGGTACGCCATCGCGTGTGTTACAGGATGCCCGCACCTTAGTCCACCATACCTTCGCCGATGGGGAATATAACCGATTTGCGGCAATGCACGCCCAAGTCACGGTTGCTCAAGCGAACCTCATTGACCCTCGCACAGCGGCAGAACAGATCGATTGGGCACTGCAGCAGTGCCTGGTCCATAGCCGGCCGGTCTACATCCAAGTCCCGGATGATATGGTTGACGTCATGATCTCGGCGTCGAACCTCGAAACAAAAAGGATCGAATTGCCTGCTACCCCGAGTCCCAAACACGAGACGTCCGTTTTGACAACCGTGCTGGAGCGTATTTACTCTGCTAAGCGCCCAATGATATTTGTGGACGGGGAAAGCAGGGCTCTGAACATCCTCCCTCAGGTTGATGAACTAATTAAAACTACCCATTGGCCGACGTGGACGTCCGCCTATGGGAAAGGTCTGGTTAATGAGCAATTAAATAATGTCTACGGTTTCTACGGTGGAAACTACGGTGCCGAGCAAGAAAAAGCATATTTTGACTCGGCTGATCTAGTCCTCGTGCTCGGGCCTCACTACAGCAACACTAATACGCAAGGCTTTGCCACAATCCCCAAGCAAGAAGTATCGATCTCCTTCTCGGACACCACCATCCAAATTGGAAAAGAGCTTCATAGGGACTTTTCAATCAAACAATTCCTCACTCAGTTGTTGGAAAGTCTAGATCATAGTCGCATTCCTAAAATCAATGAAGCACCCCCTAAACGCAAGGGGGACCTAAGCCAGATCAAAAAGTCCGATCTCATCACACAAGATGATTTCTACCGTTTTGTCGACCGACTCTTCCGCGAGGGAGATATCGTGGCTACGGAAACAGGGACAGCCTCTTATGGTGGACGTAAATTCACTCTCCCCCCTAATACACGGATGTTTTGTGCAGTGACATGGCTGTCGATCGGGTACATGCTTCCGGCCTGTTTCGGTGCTGCTCTCGCGCAGCAAGAAACGAACAATTTTAAACCTTCCAACGGCGCTAGTACTGGTAAAGGTCGACTGTTCCTATTTATCGGAGATGGCAGTCTACAGATGACAGTACAGGAGATAAGCTCGATCATTCGCGAGAAACTTGATGTCACCATTTTTGTTATTAATAACGCCGGATATACTATCGAACGGGCAATCCATGGCCGAAACCAGGCATACAACGATATTGCCCCCTGGAGACATCTGGAAGCGCTTAGCTTCTTTGGCGGCAGTGAAGAAGACGCCGCCAAGAACACTTTCAGCGCAAGAACCTTTGGAGAATTAGAAGAAGTGCTGTACTCGGACCGGATCCAGAAAGGCAATGGGCTTAGAATTGTTGAGGTTCACATGGGTCGGGAGGACTGCCAAGATCTCCTGCGAACCCTTATGGACAATCAGATCGCACAAGACGCAAAGCAATAAAGTTATAGTAGGGAGTAAGATTACTAGGTACTAGATTAGACTAGAAATCCGTTCCAAATTCTTACATGATCTTAACTGCATGACATCATTGCATCATACACTAGCCACCGTGGCTGATCTCGGGCTTATCAGCCCGGACCAACGTTAATCCAGGGAATTCTCTTAGGCGAAGGAAGGGCCCAGGTCCAGCAGATCCACAAAACCCGCCAGAGACAGCGACATTATAGGCCATTGACGATGTAACAGGAACCGAGTCCACTTTCACAAGTATCCTCTACGTCATGGGCCAGATCTGATTCTGTAATCCGGTTTGGGGTCGCCACGGCCATGAAGAAAACTACTTATTGCAGGCATTTCATTTCATCCGGCCCTGGTTCCACCAATTGTCGCCATTTACACATCACCATTGGAGTTCTTCTTGAATCAAGCGCAAGTCACCATGGCCAACCCAACGCGAAAGATTGTCTGTTTCTCAGGTATAGGAATCCTATACCCCATGTGCTATGGCGTGCGCTAATCCCCTTTAGACTTCGACGGCACGATTTTCATGCAAGACACGGGCCATGTTCTTTTCGATAACTTGGGATGCGGCGAGAAGCGCCGTCAGATACTCGACGAGCAGATCAAGTCCGGTGAACGATCATTCCGGGAAGTCTCCGAGGAGATGTGGGGGTCGTTGCGGGTTCCTTTTGAGGATGGGTTTGAAGTAATGAAAAAGGAACTGGAGATTGACCAGGGCTTTGAGGAGTTTCACCAATTCTGCATTGACAACGGCATCATATTCAACGTGATCAGTGCTGGATTGAAGCCCATTTTGCGGAAAGTGCTAGACACTTTCTTGGGCGAGGAAGAAGTATGGCACACGATCGCTATCATCTTTTTTTGGGCTGTGAATGTTAATATTCTCGCAGTCATCACGGATCGGCATTGTCGCAAATGACGCACAGATCAAACCTGACGGCTCAGAATGGAAGCCGATCTGGCGACACGAAACCGAACTCGGCCACGATAAGGCTCTTTCTGTGAAGGAGGGCCGTGTGCAGGCCGAAGAATTGAGCGATGAGAACGAGGTCCCTCTCATCATTTTCATCGGCGACGGAGTCTCCGATCTGGCGGCCGCCCGGGAAGCCGATGTGCTGTTTGCCCGGAAGGGACTCCGATTGGAGGAGTACTGCATTGAGCACCAGATCCCCTACATCGGCTTCGATAGTTTTACCGACGTGAAGAAAGAGGTGGAGAAGATTATGAAGGAGGATCAGGAGAAGACTGGAGGCGTGGGTAAACCGGCTCGGTTTAACCCCCGCGCCAACATGTGGAGACGGGTCTCCAGCAAGCAAGCAGTACGTTGCGACTTGCCAGTGATATCGGGGATTGGGGCATTTACTGACCGCCTGACTGCAGGTTCCCAAGTTTGTCGCCGCGACCCCATCGAAAGAAGAGAAGATGTTCCTTTGGCCGGAGAATTTCTCTCAGTATCAACCGCAGCCAGTTCCGGAAAACATGGCTTCTTAGAGCGCGCTTTCAACCCAGCATTGCCTCACGTGGTGTATGCAGTATAGATATAGAAACCTGAAGGTCGAGGAAGGTTATGACCCTTACATTTCAGGCGCAGTGTACATAGGAAAGACTTACGTTTAATATTGTCAGACTAGGCGGAATAGAAATGCTTCCCAGGAATCGCAAGTGATGTTCCATGCGTACATCCAAGAGTTACGCACTACATACTTCATAAAAACGCACTGCTCGGCAAATGCGAAAAGACTCAGCCTCAGCAACGCCCAAGGTCGAGACGTACCTTCATGGCTGATGGCCAGAACCGAACTGTATGCCAAATGTAGATTAGCGCTTAGTATCCACAAGCACAGCCCCCGAAACCCACACACTAAGATTGAAGAACGAGGCTTATGTTGGATCAGTCCAATGGCCATCCGTTTCGTCCTTCCAAGGTTGACGAATTGGTTTCCTCGTTCGGTAAACTGCGAGTTATCGCAGAGTGAGATGCGGTATAAAATCTGAAGAACAGCTGTGGTTTCTCTGTTCTACCCTTCTTGTTGATTCACATCGAAAAGCGTATCATATCTGTGACCCATTTATTTATACAAGATAGTCATATCATGCTTCGCGGAAAGGCTATCAAAGGTGTCGCAGCCGGAATTGGTCTAGCATCCGAAGGTATTACAGCATACAAGGCAAACCGACACGAGAAGAAGGCTCAAAGCCCTGACGGGGCAGAGACCAATAATGCCAACGCAACGACAACCGAAGACGACTTCGCTCGCCACGAAAGGGCAGTCGAGGAGCAACACGAAGAAGACTGGGAACTCGACGAAATACAGGATGAATTAAATAGAACCTCGGAGACAGACAAAGCTGCCACAGATCGAACCCCCGAGCAGCTAGCCGAGACGTTCCTGCAAAACTATCCACAGCCACCACCATATACGCCGACATCTAACCCAAGACTCCCATATCCGGTGGTTCTTCCGCAGCGACGGCCCAAATCGCGGAAGCGAGGATTCATCAGAGCGTATGCACCTGCACTGGAGGACTTCGGAATTGACCAGGCTATGTTTCTTGATTTCTTGGAAACGTCCAATCGTGCCTGTCAGGCGACTCCGTGGTTACACGCCATCAACCTGGCAGGAATCGGCACTATGTTTTTGCCTAGTGCGATTGGGATAGCGGTTAGTATTGCAATCCAGCTGACCACTGATGTTGCGATAGCGATGGACGAAAGAAGAAAGTATGTCTTCTGTTGATTACATTGGCGCTGTACGAGGAGATGTCGCTAACTAAGTACAGAACGAATTCATACTTTGACAAGATCAATGAAGAAATGTTCCGCCCACGTGGTCTCTATTGTCTCCTCATGACATGGAAGCCAGAGTCCTCGTCGACGATCACCAGCTTTGATCTCAACTCAACAGTTGCCACGTCGCTTGACCGTGGTGGGTCAGGGACGTTCAATAAGGTGAAACACATATTCAAGTCCTCGCACGGCAACACCTACGGAGATATGCCATTCCCAGAAACCGCCCCTCTCATCTTCCCAGATCTCGACGAGTTAGCTGCACAGGGTGTTGATGGAGAGGCCAAAATAAAGAATGCGAAGTCGTCACGCCGAGAATTTGTAGCAGATTATCTTGATCGGAGGTCACAGGCTCAATTCGTAGGTTCATCTCATGACAATCTAGAACGCGTTCTAACGATAATACCAGGAAATGGAACATCCCGACAATGCTCTGAATAAGGCGCCAAAGCCGCAATTCACTTCCCGCTATGCCGATCCCAGTCATCCAGCGAGTAGTGGATCGGCTCTTGGACTGATCACTGGGGGATATATTACCGGCGATCAACTTAGAGACCTTCGGGGCGGTCGGCGACGAGACAGGTTGGGCCGAGGCCAGGCATATGAACCACGGGGTACACGAGATCGTCCCATTGGGCCAGTGGGAGCTCTAGCGGCTACTGTGCGCTCTGTTAGAGCTGGGCGGTCGTCGGTTGAGCCTCACCAAGATTCTGGGGAAGGGCCTCACGATGAAGAATATCGTAGACGATCTGGCGGCCGAGAGGGTTCTCGTAACCCGCGTGAACGGCTGCAAAACCGAGGGGGTCCCATTGGCGGTATCCAGAAATTCCTGAAGAGTGTAAGTTAATGGGCACCAGCTCGCAGGTACAATTACTAATACGGGGATTTAGAACGTTCTGTACATGATGATCGTCAACCTACCGTCAGAAGAAGAGATGGCGCAGGCCCGAGCCGCCTTGAGGTCGTAGGGCATACATGGATGAGAACTATTGTCTTGGGCTATTTATAGGAGCTATGATGCTAGTTTAGTCATGTTTAGTATACAATAATGAATTGTATGGCAAGCATCCCATAAGGTTTCTGTGCACGTGTCTGAGCGATGGCGTGAGTAGGGCAGTACGTCATCGCTGTCCAAAGTGACTTCCCAAGCCCTAATCCTAGATCCCAAGCAAAGACTCTTCGCAGCTCATTGGTAGAATGTGCTGAGAATGTTGTATATATATACTAGTAGTATACCAAGCGATGCTGGATTGGCCAGGGCGTTTATGAACCATGCTAGCAATTCTGCCCCCCACCTGGCTGGTCGAGGCCAGACTTACGAATATTTACGAGTACTAAATACTTGATTACCCCTCCGAGATCCATATTTCACTCTTATTCACTCTCAACATAACAACCCTACTCCAAACCAATCCAAACACCTCCCCCAAAAAATAAAAATAAATAAACCCACCAAAATGGTCTACAAAGCCCTCCTATATGTAACCCGCAAAAGCGGCACCACCCCCGCCGAATTCCGAGCCCACTACGAAACCGTGCACATACCACTCATCCAAAAGCTAACAGGCGCCGACTTCCCTCTCTCCCACAGACGTGTCTATCCGGCACGCCCTGTGCCCGGCGAAGACAACAGCTTCCCGGCGACGGTGCTGATTGGCGCACAGGAGGATTTCACCTTCGATGTGGTTGTGGAGGTGACGTTTAGGGATGAGGCGGCGTGTAAGGTCTTCACTGCGCGGAGACAGGAGCCTGGGACGAAGGAATTGGTGGATGCTGATGAGGAGAAGTTTTTGGATCCGACGAAGTTCAAGGCGGTGGTGTTGGGGGAGGTTCAGGAGACGACTAGTTAATGTATTGCTCTGGTTTATATAGGAGGGAATTTGATGGTTATCACAATGGCTACATTGGGGTAAGGGGTATTAAGGACAGAGTTCAATGCATTTAATACCGGTGCGGAATCCGCCTTGCCCGTCGGAAGACCGATGATCAAGCTAGCGGTGCAAAAGTACCGGCTCCAGCTAGGATCCAAGTTAGCGCTGTTGGCTTGTAACTTGTTTCCCGAATGGTCCCCATCATCACTTGGAAGCTTCTCTCCTGAAAAGTCTCGAGATAACCCCTTACTGGCCAGGTCATGATGCTGTGACAACCTTGGAATTCAACACGCACCAGATTCCTGGGTCTGCTACATATCACGGCATATCTTCTCTTCCTGCAGGCAGTCGAGCTCACCTCGGTTACGCTCTGCTACACACCCGACGGCACAATCTCGAATGATGTACCTTGTAATACAACGGCCTCGGTCAGCGTCTGCTGTTAGGACGGATTTATCTGCACATCGAACCTACTCTACCAGCCCCAGAATCTGCCACCGCAGGAGCTGGACTCCCAAGATCCGCGGGTACTGGCAGAGCGGCAAGGGACGACTGGTCATTAATAGGGATACACAAGGAATATTACGGATCTGGAATCCATTCCAGGGAATGACATTTTCCAAAATTCATAGTGACTATAGTTGCCACGTTCGCGGGTTACATCATGGTTCTTATGTATGCCAATGAGCTCGAAAGAACTTGTGATCTTAGCGAGAAGAATAACAGCAGCCGATCGGTGACCCGTACTTGCGGTTGGCTGCGGAATAGTACAGCGAACTTATCGAAATATCTGTAGCGGAAAGTAAGTTAGTAGCTCAGTCGGTATATAATATTATGCTATACAGATCCGTAGGAAATCTAAAAGATGTATGTACAAGTGTTTATAACAGAATATCATCGCAGAAAAGGTATGTCAGGTAAAATTATAGCACACAAGGGTCATGAATCATTGAATATTCCCGGTATGTTTGAGACAAGTCAATGTGCTGGCTAGTGTGAACGGTCCGGTAATTCCGAACGCCACTCTGTGACCTCCGATCCAGGTAACTCTTTAGGTGGTGCTGGTGGGAGAGGAGGCTGGGTCCAAGGTGGTGGCATATGCGCAAAGGTTGGTTGTGTCACTGGTATCGACCTCTTTCGCGACTGAGACTGGCGATATTTCAGCCAGGTAAGCACCGCAAGCAGTGCAATCGCAGGGACCCCGATGCCCACTCCAACACCAAGTCCTACTTTGGCGGACGGATCGAGGCCAGATTGAGAGGACGACGATGCTTGGGGGGTCTCGGTGGCTGAGGTCTCGGTCGGAGCAGAAGATGTGGTGCTTGTTGTCGACGAGCTTGTTGATTGTAGTTCGGTAGACGTTGCTGTATACGAAGTCGACGTGCTCGTGGAACGCGGTTTGTCGGTTATATTAAAATAATTCGATGTCAGTCTGAAGCCAGGACTGGTCGGATTGGCGTTGATCCAGAAAAAGAAGATCGGCGAGTCTTCAATGCTGGCGCCGTACGTTTGTACCTTCCAGGTGAAATTTGTGACCCCAATGTCTTCAACCTGAGCTTCATATTTCATCTTCATGTCAGTGCGACTCAGCCCCCTTGCAAGGAGAACCATGAACAGCAAGACAGGAAAACTTACTATAGATATTCCCCAAACTTGCTGCCATTTCCTTACCAAGCGATTGATGCCAAATAGAGATGTTGAATGTAGTCCAGGTCGTCACCCAGGAGATCACTTGCTGCTCCCCCAGGACCCAGACGGGATTTTCAGCTGAATTGGCGGCCGGCGGATTGATAAATCTGTTGTTACTTGTCCCATCTCCCTGGCCGACAACTATCTCTGTCCCGCATAGTAGAATGATTAGACATATGCGCAAAAATGCGCTGGGGAGCCTACGACCGTTCATGGTGGCTCACAGGAGCGGAGAGAGTGAGAAGGAAGATAGTTCGCGTGATAAACCGGCGAGAGAGGGGATTGAATGCCTAGGCGCTTCGAGTCTTGTCAGCTCCTAGGTGTAATCGTGCGGTCTGTTTGGGAATAACCGCCCCCAAACTAGCACCTGCAGGGTGACTGCATTAGTGGTGTTGAAGATTGTCTTAGGAGAGGACTCGGTGTCAGTCTAGGGCTCAGATGATTGGTGATGGTTCGCTGCTAAGGGGATAGCCAAGCCGCCGGCCTACGGGCTAGTCCGCGCAAGCGCCGCCGTCGAGAATGGATGGTCAATTGAACCCTATCAGAATGAGTTTAAGAAGACCCCTGCATTTTAGTTAATAAACAAGAGATAAGCGATGTTTCAGACGCACGATGTATAGCCTTCCTAATTGGAAAGTCCACTGCATCCCGCCAATCATAGCGTGCGTGCTTGACGGGATGTCGATTGCCATGCTTTTCGACGGAGGGATAAAGAAAACCTGGTCATAGAAAAGAGTCCTGGGAATCGTGGCAATCGTACGCCGGATATTAGTACATTATACTGCCCCATCGAGCCACCCGAGGTTTCTGTCTTCGACTAACCTTCGAAACTGGATACCCAGCGCCTTCGAGGCCAAGGCAGCCTCGCCATGAAGTCTTCGGACTCGTACATTTGCTGGAAACATAGCGAGCCATCTCAGCCACTAATTCTAGCAATACCGGCTGAGCCCCACGTAATACAGAGGGCCACTCGCCGGTATCAACAAAAGGGTCCAAGAAGCTTTTCGGCCCCAAAATAAATGGCCATATCCAAGAGCACATACTCCTTCAGGTTAGTTCATCAAGTGAGTATTGCTAGCAGCAACGACAGGTGGGTCTCAATATTAGGGATTTCTCGATGACAGGTGAATCAAGCCTGGTCGGCACTTTATTCCACAGTAACGAAGTCATGAAAGATCCGAGCTTTCGTCTTCCGGCGAGTGAGGCATTCCATCTCTAGATTGAACACCAAGAAACAGGACCAAACACTTGAAGCTGCCATTTCAGATTAAACAAAAATCCGCGTTGTCGCCCAAGATGAGCCTAGTGGATATTCGGTCTCTCACAATTGTATAGCTGTACAAGCTCATGAATGGTTCTTGATCTCAGGACATAGGTCACATATTTGTAGACCATATATCTGGATTGTATTCATCCTTGCCAGACACGTACCAAACTCTTGCCTGTAGCAGAATTGGATACACACTATCGGAGAGCCTTGACGTGGACATTGTCAGGGAACCTCCATCCATGGGCTCCAGGCGAAACTGCAATCTGTACTACATACTCCAACTATCTCATTCTGCACTAGATGTACATAACCCCGTGTGTTTGGCAATAGTCTATCCCGACATACCGAGTATTTGGAGGCGACCAATACAAAATGCGAATTGTACAGATTAGAAGAAGTACTTGTACTAAAAGCCAGTTCAACAACTGGGCCATCTTAATGTCGTTGACCATATTCTAGCCAGAAACATCGGCGCACAAAATCTTTTGAGAAGGTGATAAGCGACTGGTCCAGAGCGGTCTTTGAGGTACCTCGGTGACACAGGCGGTTTAGACACTCTAGCAGCGGGGTTTGTTATACTAGGGTACAGGATGAAGTCATTCCCCTTTATTGTAATTGATACTGAGCCCAACGCACGCCTCCCAGACTCGATGTTGATTTCCATATTTCCTGGGTAAATAGGTAGTTCTCTTTTGACTAAGTCAGCTTTCCCTATGGCAGAACCCTGTTCTGAGTGATGAGGATGGATGGGATTCTCTATCACAGCCAATAGTCCGACATGGGAGGATGCCACCATGCTGTTTTCAACTAGCAGACACACCTCCAGGCTACTAGGGTAGGGCTAGGCAGGGTCTTACGGACGCCAACTATATTAGCCAACCGGCGCACGAATTGAAATTAGGTGACAAGGGATCTACCTCCCTGCTTCCTATTAGCGCCCGTATTCTACCAGGTCTCGAACGAATTATGTCTCCAACTCGGTCCACCATCGAGGAACGCTTGATACACATGGTGCTTGCCGCTGAACGTAGAGGGTTGCATATGTGTCTCGGGGCATATGACTAGTGGATTCGCCATCTCTATGTCGTTTGTCGGTCAGTCACCTTATCCCGTTTTCGTTGAACAATCTGCGTTAGAGTCCATCAGCCGCAATAACACGGTGACAACGGCTATAAATATCGTTGGTGGATTTGTTGCTGACTTCCAGGTTGCCTGGCGGAAGTAGGATACCCTGTTGCACTACATGAGACCACGTCCAAGCGGATAGGATATTTCCGTATTTCCTGTGCAACTAACATAAAGCTCCCAGAGAATTATGCCCTAAGCTGAGGACGACCTGACACGTAAGGGCCATTGTCTTGACAGCTCGCTTTGATGCTTTCAGAGTGCTAAAACAATGGTCACGGAAGAAAATATAGGCTTTGACATGTAATTATTGCTCCGCACATATTCATCGAGGTATTCCAAATTAACAGCAACAATTCAACTTTGCAAGAGTGTGCCAAAAGTATCTCCACTGCCCATAAGCCACCCCTGACAAATCCTGAGTTTTTAGTTCTACAGATCCTCTTTACTGAACTGAGATATGTTGTGCGATATACTGCAAGGCTCGACAACAGATAATTCCTCGAACGCGGGTGTTGAACAGGTGTGACATAGTTGCAAGCCTCGTCATAGCGGGGGCTCAAATAAGAGGAATGACTTGCGCCATAGCTAAATACAGAGTCCGACGCACTTTTACATCCTCCATCCACCACTTGCAGAGCTACGAGAATCACTTATTGAGGAACTGATGGATCCAAAACCAAGTCAGCATGTGTCAGAGGTGGAAAGCCCAGATTCAACTGATCGATTGCTGCCTGAGGAGCAGAGCTTGCAGCAGAACAAGTTCCAGCGCCATTTAAACACCTGGAATGCACTTCTCACTGACACATGGTTTCCTGAAACTGTCGCAATGATATTTAGCGTTGCGTGTTTTGTTGCTATTATTGCTCTTGTCAAAGCGTTTGAAGGGAAGCCAGCGCCAGTTTTCTCGCGCGTGGTGACACTGAACGCCGTTGTCTCAGTATTAGGGACAGCATCCAAATGCTCCCTTCTTTATGTGGTGAGCCAGTCTATTAGTCAATGGAAATGGGTATTGTTGAAGACCGAAAGGCGGCAACTACGTTGTATTCAAACCATTGATGATGCTAGCCGCGGACCTTGGGGCTCCATCACACTTCTGACCCATGAACGGTGCTCTGTTCTCTGGATTGGAGCAGCAATCATGGTGTTCACACTGGCGCTCGATTTTTCGGTTCAGCAAATCATAAGGCATTCGACTGAAAATGTGCAGAGCCCCACTGGCTATGCGGTGGCTAAGCAAGCGCTCAGCATTGACCCTGCGTGGTACGATAAAAGATTTCGCAATGCTGCGCACGCTGGGTTGTGGTACAATTATGACCCAATCCCAAGCTGTTCATCTGGAAACTGCACTTGGGACAGATTCACCTCCATCGGCTTCTGCAGCAAATGCGAGGACATGACGTCTGTTGCGAAAATAGAAAACTGTACTTACAACATACAAGACCGAGATCCCGTTCAAATGGTTCCGTGCAATGTTTCCCTCCCTTCCGGTATATGGTCGGCAGAACCCATATATACGAGACCGGGTGGTGCCATGTATTTACCAAAAGATATAATATGGCAAGTTGCATGGTTCACCACTGGTATTGACGATCCTGTGGAGAGTAAAGCCATGGTCTTCGCACACGCTGAGTTGGATGTTGATAAAAGGATCAACGACACCATTCCTCTCCCCGAAGGAAGGCTCAAAATCAAACGGGTAATGAAATGTGCCATATCGTTTTGTGCTCGAGATTACAAAATTACTGTTTCACACGGTGCTCCTGCAATTACCCTCACCAATCCGGATTGGGGGCGCATGTACCCTTTCTTTGATGAACAGAAGACTAGTCGCTCTCAACAGGGGTGCTGGACACCAAACCGAGCTTTGGGGAAAACGTCAATCCGAGACCAAGAGGCTAATCTACCTAAACCTACCAGAGGTTCTAAAGATTCGGTCTGCCACAACTTCCTAGACCTTGTGGAGAAGTTCGGCAATTTGATGAGAGTCTTCTCTGGTGTAACTCACTGGGAATGGTACCAGCCCGTAGGATCAAACTGGACACTCAAAGATATCGGAAATCCAGATTCAGCTATTCGATATGTCACCTCGAGAATATTAGAGGTTGGTGTTGGGGAAGCGGCGAAAAATGTTGCTGCCTCTTTGACTAACGATATTCTGGACAATAGCACCGATACTGTAAACGGCACTGCGTTCGTTACTGAAGACCATATATACTTTAATTGGGTGTGGAGTATTTTCCCCACGTTGGTTCTTACTGCTGGTGTGGTATTCTATATAGCAACAGTATGGGCCAGTCAGCTTGAAGGGGTTTGCGTGTGGAAGGCATCTATATTGCCCGTGTTATACAATGGAACTGAACGAAGTGTATCGAATGGTCATCACGACCTGACAACTGTCAGCAAGATGAGCTCTGTGTCTCAATTGACCGATGTTCAACTGCAGCCATCGGATTCGACAGGAAGTATGGTATTACGATAATTCAATTCAATCCGATCGATAGTCCGTGAAGCCACCATTTAACGGAGGCCTAGCGTCCTTTGCAAGGCTGATAGCAGCGTGTTGGGTTGAAAGTATTATGCATACCACTCTCCTTTATCCAAAGTTTGGAACAATGCAGTGAGGAAGCAAGATATGACTGCAGATCAGCTTGTCGTGCCTCAATACGATGTGTTATTCTTGCATTATCAGCCTAGGATCAACTCTCATACATATGAAGCCATTTGAAAGTCAAATTTTCTTTTTCAAGTTATCAGACCCTCTCGGGCCACGCCGCTTGATAATATTTCGGTTTTACAACAACTTCAGTGTGAAACCGATCAACATATCACATAGAAATCGTACTATTGATCGTTCAGAGTACATATTCGACTGCTTAAATATGGACGTAATGAAATAGAACAGGGTTCACAAGTTCTGATCATCATAAATTATATCCCTGGATCAAGCAAGTTCAGCATTCGGTAGACTCCACGGGAGATATACTGCAAGGTGCAGCTCTAAGCACTCGATATCGGATCTTCGACTACGTCACCATGTTTTTCAATAATGGCTTGATCCTTTTATTTTATATAAAAGCGTTATATACTACTAAGGTTCTCACCCACTTTGACTTGTTGGATCTGGATTTTGAGCAAGATTACCTGCTAGATCACAGTCTTTGCTTAACCAAGTCTGGAAATGAGGATTATGTTCTTCGTTGCACTAGGGTCCGCTTGTAGAATGTCAGAAGACGCAGTCTTCCCTAGCTTAGTGTGGGTTAGGGGAAGAATATCCCAAAATCCACATAATCTGCCCCATCAAAAGTTTCAAGATACCATGATTCAAGCAAACTCCTAGTTAAGCCGGCCGGGCCATGACCGCCATTTCCATGGTAATACCGGGTCCAAAAGCTGCGACAATCACTTTGTCTCGTCCAGATTCGGAGGTGTCTTGTTCCTTTGCAAGCTCGTTAATCACGCTGATTACTGTGCTCGAGCTGGTGTTTCCCCTCAATCGGTAAACATCATAGGTCTTTCGCAGGTGGTGTTTAGTGATACCTAGGGCACTCTGTGCGAGGACGGCGATGCTGTAACCTCCCGGATGTAAGGCCCAGTCGTATGAAGAAGGATCAAAATTAGATTTGTCAGAACATAATGAGGGGGTAGACGCTATAAGGTCCTGAAACCCGGAAGGAAGCGCCGCTGAAGTCTGTCCGGGGACATCCTTCGTTATCACTGGATTGTACCCTGCAGGCATGTTAGCTAGCATTCACTTTTGAGTAGAATGAGACTATCAGTTGCGTACCAGTAGGGCGGATGTTGAACTGGAGGCTGGAAACAGAATCCTCCAGTAGAGTAGTACGAGAGTTAAGAATATTCCAAAGAGGAGCTCGCTCAAAGGGTTTCGTGCAAATCCCATTGCTCAGCACCATAGCACTAGCGCCATCACCGAAGACCGCCATTGCAACGTTTGCCTTTTGGGTTTTGACAATATCCTCGAGTATAGAACGGAAAAAGATTGTACAAATTTCGCATGCAACAACAAGCGCTCTTCCTGGCCTCCCTTGAAAGGCCGCTCCAAGAAGCAGTTCGTTTGCCGTGCGCAGAGCAGAGACACCACCTGCGCAGCCAACGCCATGAAGCAGAGTGCGTTGCACATTTCTGTGGAGACCTAGTCTCTCACAGATCAAGTAATCCAGCCCTGGATTGGCTGTATTCGTACATGTAGCCACAACGAGATGGGTGATATCCTTTAAAGAACCATTCCAGTCCGCAAGTGCTTTCCTCGCTGCCTCCTCTGCGACTGGGACACCATATTTTCTGAACAGGGCATCGCAGTCAGCAACATCTGGTAGCTTTGGGTCAGTCCAGAAGGGATCATCCAACGGCACGGCGGTATAGCGGTACTGTATTCTTGATTTTTCATTGATGTGCAAGGTCTTTCGTATGCTGGTTATGCAATATCAGTACCCACAGTTCCATCTAGTACATCGGCATAATCCTCTTACGCTGCATCGTTGGGATCATGCACTGCTGAGATTAGCTCCTCAAGTTCGTCGGATGGGAACTCATAAGAAGGATAATGGGCACCCGTTCCAACAACAGAGACAACACGCTTTGATAAGGGAACATCATTGTTGATTCTGAGCTCCAGCGGAGGAGTACCATTTAATAGGGGCTCCATGATGCCTTGGTCCGGGACGAAACCTGGGTGTAAACGGTTTTAGGACCAGATATTCTTCGCAATGAGGTACAAAGTAGGTGTCCTGGTTTTATTGAAAGCTGTTGAAAGGAGTATTCGCGTATGCTGCGTTGAATACTCTTTTATAGTCGACCAAACTATATGATTCCTAATATGTTATCACAGAGGCAATATTTGGTATTGGTTAGTAATCGGGGCCTAAAACGAAAGGGTCGAAATTGAGGGTAAATGAAAGTATGGGTCTTCTATCTAGTGGCCCACGCGGCTTATATACTGCGCGCGGCTTATATGACTAGTGGATAGGCAGACCACTATCAGCTTGGCCAATCTCGTATAGATATATGATCTACTCTGGAGTAGGTCGTTTTAGTATCTAGCCGGATTCGGCGGTTGATAAAGGGTTATTTGTCTATAGTAGCCGAACCTATACCAAGTCATGTATATCGTAAAACTGACAAGGCACGACGGAGGCGTCTTCCTGGCATTTGGCGATGGTCAATATGGTCACTCATTCATGTATCTTGTTGACTAATCCCCCCCCTTCGTACGTATAACTTGTCCCCAATATTATTGTTGTTTTATAGCTAGCGCACAATTTAAGTCATAGCTCTCAGTCCAGGCACTGAGCATCAGAAAAATTCCCGAGACACCACAGCAGACTGCCCAAACAATGGGTATACTGTCAGTGTGCGCTTTCTTCAGCTCTATTTTGTCAGCCCCATGATTCTGGAATGCAAGACAGCCAATGGCAACTCCAGTGACCTGGCCCAGAGCTAGTAAAACGCTAAACAGCCCCACTGCGATTGCCGAGCGGTGGTGGAGACCTGAATGGCATAGCCGAGTACTAGGAAAAGTATCCTTATCCCAATTTCCATGTTGCGCTTCCGGAATATCCATGTAGCTATTGTAGTGCACACTTTGGCAAGCAGAGAATATCCATGCCCAAAGTAGTGAGAACCATCCCTGCCAGATGGCCCATAGATGTTTCGCTGTGGTTATAATCAGAAATCCAACCACTAACGCTCATGGGGCTGCCGGCAAGGTCCCGGGGCAGAGAGCGATACAGGAAATAGCAGGTGTGCGTTCCTTCATTGTTTTATAGTATAACAGAAGATAGTAAAGAAGACACCATAGCACATGCCCTTTCAGTAAGCTCCCGGGGAAGGGGACTTCTACGCCGGCGCTGACGAGCCTACGCCAAGAATGGAGAGGAAGTTTGGTAGCGATCATCTCAATACATGTCGTTATTGTATCAGGAATGCGGTAGAGATTTTGTCGGTGTTAGATCACTGACATCCCCCGCCGAGCTACGAGATATGGATCTATAGATTAGTACTAGCACAAAACATACAATATGCGGGAAATATATATGCGTCCATGCATTGGCGCTTTGACTCTTCGGCTACAAGTAAATATGGCTGGTCCAGGCTGCAATACCTTAACTGTGACTGAATCTGCATGCAGATGAGTTGGTGTAAGGCTAGCTACATCCGGAATGTCTCACTACAAGGTTAAGTTATGATGTTGATCCTTCTAAAGTATAGCACTCAGTTACAGTTGATAGCAGTCACTTTTTTAACATAGCCTTATGATATTAAATATAGAGAGCTTTTATCAATAACTAGCATCATTGGTCTAGTGGTAGAATTCATCGTTGCCATCGATGAGGCCCGTGTTCGATTCACGGATGATGCACGTCTTTTTTTCATTTTTTTCTTTCTCTCCACCTTATCTACCCTATCTCGGTCACGATTAGAATCAAAGAACAGTTTTATTGGTCTTTCGTTACGCAGTATTTTGTTTTTTTAAATAATTATATGACAAGGTGGAAACCATTATTGATTTCGAAGGGTCCGACTAACAGGCGCCTGGTATACCTTCCGAGCATGCAGGACATACTGCATGATGGCAAAGAGAGTCACTGCGCCCACCATTAGAACTGACCAGTTCATGGTTTTGGGCACAACATCTCTGGTCGTCGGGAAAAAGGTGAAGAGGATTTGGAAAGCAAGGAAGATCAGGGATACCATGTTGATAGCTGGGCCATACGGGCCTAAAGAGAACCGAGGACTAGGCGATGTTCTGGACTGCAAGCGTGCTATAAAGAAACAGCCAATGGCAATGATATAGGTCGTCAACATAGACGCGATCGCCAATGAGGCAATCGCATTGAAAGCCGCAGTGGAGCCAATATTGATCAGGCTCAATAGCACGGTCACCAATGTGGAAGATAGAATAGCCCAGATAGGCGTCTTCGACTGGGGATGGACATAGGCGAAAGTGCTCGAGAAAGGAAGTGCTTTGTCTCGGGCAAAGGCAAAGATCTGGCGTGAGGTGGTCGCTAGGATGCCCAAAGCACTGCAGACTTCCATAACCAAGATAATGCATGCGAGGCCTACCGCCATATTAGATGACCCGGTCGCATTCTCAAAAGCCGTGATGAAGGGAAAGCCGCTGGGCGCTTTTAGCACTGAGTCTATGTCGCCCATTGTGAAGAGGAAAGTAATGAGCATAACGAATCCAAGTGTGCCATTGACCAGGGCAGTCGAGATCATACACCATGGAACAATCCTGGAAGCATCCTGGACCTCCTCCGCTAGCAGGAGAACATCATTAGCTGCGTGATGTTGTAACGAAAGTGGGCATGAATACCTACCCATATGCGTCGCTGCATCTGGCCCCGTGAAAGAGAATATCGGGGTCAGTTGGCCGACCAGACAGGCCAATCCAATATTCGGCCACCCGCCCATGTTAGTAAAAGTCTGAAAAACCTCAGTGCTGCTGGCTCTGTCGGCTTTAACCCACAAGGGAATCAGCACCACAAAGAATCCACAGATATGAACGAACAGCAAGAAACGCTCTAGATTGGCGAGCCAATGAGTACCCCACCCATTGAGGGCGGTTGCTATCACCGCAATTGCAATAGCTAAAAGCGTGCCATGCCATCTTTCAAATGTGTATATATAGCCTGCCGTTGGGACAGAGTATACAGTGACCAACAAACCCTGAATCAAGGTGCCGGCGAGAAAGCATACACTGGCGAACGCTGCCTGCCAGCCCAACACTGCGAGCCATCCTGATGAGGATACGCAGAGGTTAGTCTAGCGCCTATCGCCCTACAGGGATTGTACCACCGTACCTGTGATATAACTTAAGAACCTTTGACAGGAAGGAGGAGCGTACTCACTGACCCAGTGGTACTGACCTCCCGCCGTAGGAGCTCTCGACGCGATCTCTGCTAAGGACACGACAGAGGCGAAAAAGCCGATAAAAGTGCCAATATAAACGTAAACCATCCCGGCTCGTCCGCCATTTATGAGACCATAATTGCTGGTGAGCAGAATTGACTCCCAAGTTGCCATTAACGTACAGTTAAAACCGAGGATAGATACAAACCGAAAATTTCTCTGGGGCATAGAATCAGTCTAATCGGTCTGTTTATTTACCGAATGCATGTCACAATAGAAATATGATAGGCTCTATCATTACTACTAACCTTTAATTGTTGCGTCTTGCCCAGTCGCTGCATGTCCAGATCATCTTGTGTGGTGTTTGCCATAGAGAGCTTCTCATTTGAGGCCGGTGGTTGAGCGTCACCGACCCTGACTTCCGACACACGCTTAACTGACGTACCCATCTCTAGACAGCTTACAGAGCATTATATCAAAACAGATATATCCAGAATGATGGTGAAGCCCCGAAGCTGTTACCGTCAACGTGGCGGGAAAAGAACATTTCAACGTGGGTGAGACGCAAGGGGGACAAGTTGGGACTCGGAAAGCGAACACAGCCTCAGCCTAGTCAGCACAGAAGGGTAGGATAACAAGGATATAGCAAGGATATGACAAGGATATATCTGAAGTTGCTCTACGTTAATTGCTGTGCAAAACCTGACAGATTGCGCGTTATTACTGTGACGCCGCGTTTCTCAAGCACCTAATTCCATGTGATAATAACATAAACCATAAGCATATACGAGTTGACTGGGTCAAGAACATATACATATATGGGGAAGATGAAATAGCACGCCTTTGCACACCGAAATGAGCCGGGGATTTTCTTCCGAATTTTACACGCACTGACCACCTCGTATGTGACGCTTTAGTCACCAAAAAAACAAAAAAAAAACCTAATCACATAGCCTCGGCTTGTTAGGAGCTGACAGAGTCAATCCGGACCGATCATACTCCCTTTTCGTGAAGCTATACATTTCACCCCTGTCATGGCTTTTGGGAAATAAAATGACATGTATACTAGACAGTCCGATTAACGGGAATATATATCTATACACTAACCTTAAGCTTTCTGCCCTTCAAGTTCATGATCAATCGATAAACCTCACCAGTATATCGCTTCTTCAGTGGAGAATTACAAGCTTCGAATAGATATGTAGAACTAATTGAGACTTAATTATTTATGTACGGGACCATTATATCGTTCCTTGCCTGCTCTCTCAGATTATCCATCCCTAGAGGGGCCAATGTATTACGCTTAGCTGAGTTATATATGCCCTGGAAAGGGTATTGAATAACTTGCTATCTTCAACCAAAGTGACAGGAATTATAGTATTCCTGTAGTGAAAGCCTTCCGCAGTGTCAATTGTACCAGACAGGATATTATAAGTGAAGCTGCCTTTAACTCTGTGTCTCAAATGTCACTGGAGGACTGTTAATATGAATTGTCTGTCCATTCTTTCGGGATACTTGCAATGATATAAAGTGAATGGATATCAATATGCTATAGCCGATAATTAAGTGAATAAAAGGCGGGCATGCGATCTAGACCCCGACAAACAAAGAAGGAATACCATATTTGATGCCCAGAAAATGTACCTCAATGCCATTCGATCAAATTGCCAGAGGGCCATGCTTAATAGGATGGTTTTCAGATAATTGAATGTATGTATTCACTAGCTCTGTCCTTGGGAATGCACCGAATAATGCACATATCAAGGTCGCCAGATGCTATATAAAAATGCTGTAGGTTCTCAAGAGGCCCTCATTCAGGTGCTTGCCCTGCAACAATCACAGAGAGATCTCGGTCTAGACCATAAACCATCACTCTCTTCTACCTCAAACCAAAATGATGTCCCTCACCAACTTCATTCTCTTCATCCTGGCTTTGCTCTCCGTTGTATCCTCTGAACCCGTCGAGGAGCACGGCTCAGCAGCCAGTCTTGGAAATGTGGCCATAGTCAACAACATGGGCACCACTCTCTATTTATGGTCGGTGGATGCCACACAAGGTCCAATGCACGCAGTTGTTCCAGGCGCCTCGTACCAAGAGACATATCGTCTAAATCCCAAGGGCGGCGGCATTTCCATCAAGGTCAGCACAGACCAAAACGTTGATGGCGATATAATTCAGTTCGAGTACACGCAAGCTGGTGAAAAGCTCTTCTGGGACGTGTCATGTGTGAACACCAAGCCTGGCTCGCCGTTCTACGCCAAGGGCCTCATCCTTATGCCCTCAAATATGAAGGACTGTCCCCACGCTTTTGTCTGTCTTCGGGGCGACTCCAATTGCCGCTATGTTTACCACAAGTCAAGTGACGACTCTGCAACCCATGGCTGTCCTATTGGCACATCTTTCAACTTGAAGCTTGGTATTTAACGCTGACTACAATTCATGGGCTCACATTCCGTACTTGTATTCCCCTCTCATCGGAAAATCCTGAGTACTTGTGGGACACTACATGGTCGAGGTATGGATTTGTACAGACATATGGATACTCACGGTGCCTGTGGGACTTGAGTAAGATGTTCTGGCTATAGTGGATGTTAATTGATTTTCAGTTGGTGGCTATTACAGTTTATTCATTGCCCTCGATTACAGTTCGAGTTCGCCTGTCAATGGAAGGCAATATTGCTAGATAAATATCTGTGCGTATGTTCATACTCCTTAAAAAACCGTAGTCCACATTCGTTCCTCTTGTCCATGCCTTTTGTATTGTAGTATGTCCATCCCTTAGGCGTCACAATTGAATCCAAATCAAACCACATTTCAGTGACAATATCCAGTAAAGAGTGGCAGAGGGGCTCATAGATAGTGAGCCCCAAAGGATGAGCCTAGACACTGTCACTGGGTGGGTCCAATGCTTCAGTCACCTTCCCATCCTATGCTTCGCTCATTGTTCTGGTAATAACCTGAGGGGCCAGATGGTTAACCTCTTTCCTCTCTTCGACAACTTCAGACCCACGTCCATCCTCAGAGCCCTTCTTGAATCGATCAAGCTTTAGCTTCCTCACCATCGACGTCAAGACAGGAATGTAGCCATGCTTCTCATTGTACCTCATGCAGACGTATGAGATGATAATCACCACCCAGTAAAGGTTATAGGATAGTACTGATCCATAGGTAGCGGAATTGGTCCACCCAAACAGAGCGTTGAAGATACCCCAACCACCACCACCGCCAAGCTCTGGGTTACAGCAGTTTACGTGCCAGACACTCTGGCGAATATCGTAAGATCCAGGGCCTGAGCCTGTCTCCGAAGCATCTCCGCCGATGACATGGTTCCAGGTATTGTTCTCCAGGTACCAGACAGCGCGGGAGAACAAGCCTGCCGCAACCAAGTAGAGGAAGCAAGTGGATATAATCAGGAAGTACTGTAAGGAAGTGGAGCTTCCACCCCTGCAGCAAGATTTGTTAGCCGCCGTCAAATGATACTGCGTAGCTTATGATTCTTGGAGTCGACACGATGTAATGCACAAGACTTACCGATACATCACATAACCTACGGCAACGCCAGCCAGCAGACCGCAAAACACGGCCAAGGGGAATGAAGACGCTGGAAGTCCCAGTCCCACCCCACCGACATAAACAATAGCCTCCAGTCCCTCTCGAAGAACAGTAACGAATGGTAAGATGAACATGACATATTTCTCAGACCAGTCCTTCAGACGACCCATCATGGTCGTAGACTTTTCCTTTTTCTCCAAGGCACGGGAGAGCTTGACGCGCCATTTCTCGCGCATTTTGTTTACACGCAGAAGTCCCGCCCCCATGATGGAAATGATGATGGATGCTATGAATCCAAAGATGCCTTCCCAGATATCCTCTGTGTTCGTGAAGGTATCTTTTTCCAACCCGTAAAAGGCGCCGATCATGCCTGCACCGATGCATAGACACAAGAATAGACCTAGACCTACTCCACACCATACCTGGTATTGTTAGCAGGTTATGTCTAACGATGTTCATGGTAAAGATATGCACAAAAAAAAAAAAAAAAAAAAAAAGGAGAAGGGCAATTACCTGTATTCGCAATCGCTTCAGAGCTACCTTGTCTGCTTCAGCACCCAAGGTTTGGGTCAGAAAGGCAAGGAGCACCGATACAATGATGCTACTTTCGAGACATTCTCGGAAGCAAATGAAAAACACTATGCATAGTCAGCAACACTCGCCTTATACAGAAGCAGAACTCAAGAAGCATTGATGAGAGTTACCGGTGACTGCAAAGACTTGATTCGCCATCTTGACTTCGAGCCTGAAGACCTATCGAGTTCTGGCCGTGTGTTTAACTGGGGAAACAGACTCGTCTGACTTATATATTTCCCGTTTGGCTAAATAGACCGACTCTGGAAGGTCTCGCGTACGATCGTTCACGGAGTCCAACCCGGCAATCAATCATCCGATATTATTGCGACAGTAGGTCGAATCTCCACCCGTGCAAGTCCAGGATCACAAGGTGAACGCGTAATGAGAACTCTTTCTCTTGTCTTTCCGGTGGATCGTGGCGGCGAAACCCGCCAGCCCGCTAAGTGTGATATAAATTCCTCCTGTAACTCAGGATGGAACCTAGAGGAGGATAATAGCTGCTGCCAAGGGTCTAAATCTCGGATCAGATAACCGTTTGTAGGACAGTGTGTGCACCAAGTGCATCTCCAGGAGCTCCACCCTGAAATATCCCGTAATACCACTGCCATGTATTGAAATTACATGGACGCGGTACACGATATCAGCTATGGGTTCATGGACATGTTTCTTCTGTTGCCCTTGACTTATTTAAGAGGCTGCCCATGTGAAATCCAATTTGGGTCTCCACTGATCACTTAATTTCCTCATCAACAGCGAACTAGTTGAGATTCTCGTTTTGTGGACGGAAGGATGAATCTCCTGTCTCTTCTGTCACTTTCGGCCCTCAGCGCCATCGTCTGTGCAGAGACACACGTCTTCAATTGGAATATAACATGGGTAACGGCAAATCCTGATGGAATGCAACCTCGTCCTGTGATTGGGATCAATGGCGAATGGCCACTCCCTCTCTTGAACTTTACCAAGGGCGACAGGGTTATTGCCAACGTGAGAAATCAGCTTGGCAACGAATCTACCAGTGTTCATTTTCATGGCTTCTTCCAAAATGGCACGAATGAAATGGATGGCCCTCCTGGAGTCACTCAATGTAGCATTCCCCCGAATGAGACCATGGTGTACAACTTCACAGTAAGTACCGTCGAGTCTGATGCATTTGATAAACGCTAACTGTGATGCAAGCTTGATCAATCCGGTACATATTGGTATCATTCCCACACTAAGGGACAGTACCCCGATGGCTGGCGCCAAGCTTTGGTGATTCATGATAAGGAGGACCCCTACATTGGCCAATATCATGAGGAGCGAGTCATTACTCTATCTGACTGGTACCACGATGAGATGCCTGGTCTTCTGAAAGAATTTATCAATGTTGCCAATCCAACTGGCGCAGAGCCAGTTCCTAAGTCTGCTTTGATGAATGACACACAAAACCTGACCGTCCCAGTCGAGCCTGGCAAGACCTATCTATTTAGACTGGTGAATATTGGTGCTTTCGCAAGCCAATATTTCTGGATTGAGGACCACGATATGCAAATTGTTGAGGTGGATGGAGTCTGGACAGAGCCAGCCACTGCCTCTATGATCTACTTAGGCTCTGCACAGCGGTATAGCGTTCTTGTCACGATGAAGAACGAGACAAATGCCAACTATGTCATGGTTGGCAGCATGGATACAGTAAGTACGGCTACATGCAGTGTGACACCACACAGAAAGGATGTGTATAGACTAATACGTACCAGGATCTGTTTGATACTCTTCCCTCGGATTTGAATTACAACTCTACCGGGTGGTTGGTGTATGATTCTGCTGTTGAGAAACCAGCGGCCAAGTCCGTGCCAGAGTTCGACTTCTATGATGACTTTGAGCTCGTTCCTTACGATGGACTAGAGCGGTATGGAGATGCAGATATTACGGTGACTTTGGATCTTACCATGGACAACCTTGGTGATGGGGCAAACTAGTGAGCCGCTCCTCTCCTTCTCTTAGTGGGGTTTGAGTATCCGAAAAGCAACATACTAAGCCACACACCAGTGCCTTTTTCAATGGAATCTCATATGTGGCGCCCAAAGTTCCAGTTCTGTACTCTGCGCTTACGACAGGATCCGCCGCGACAGATGCCGCTATATACGGTACAGACACCAACGCATTCATTTTAAACAAGGGTGACATTGTCGATATCGTCCTCAACAATGATGATACAGGCAAACACCCATTCCACTTGCATGGACACAACTTCCAGGTCATCTGGAGAAGTGGAGATTACGAAGGCCATTTTAACCCGGATAATGTCACCTTCGCATCCGTACCCGTGCGGCGTGATACTCTAATCGCGAAGCCGATGGGTAATTTTGTCGTCCGATTTAAAGCTGATAACCCTGGTATGACCAAATTATGCTAAGACTATAAGAGATACTTCTTTACTAATACATGACCTTAAGGTATTTGGCTCTTTCACTGTCACATCGAGTGGCATATGGATGCAGGACTGGCCGCTGTGATGGTCGAGGCTCCGTTATATCTGCAGGAGAACCTGACCATCCCACAGAATCACTATGATGTTTGTAGCGCAAGTGGCACTCCCACCGAAGGTAACGCAGCGGGAAACACTGAAGATTTCTATGACCTTACAGGGGAGAACAAGGCAGTTGCGCCGCTCCCTGCCGGCTTCACGGCACGCGGCATCGTAGCGTTGGTTTTCAGTTGCGTGGCCGCTTTTGTTGGGTTAGCCTCCATCGTATGGTAGGTTTTCATAACTATTTTCTGGGGTCAGGAAGCATTGCTAACAAGCTACAGGTACGGGGTAGCTCCTATCAAGAACAGCCGCATGTTAGTTTGATCATGCTGCGGAACCGGGCGAGGCAGTGACGGTCATTGGAATACTTGTATAGAATACATTAAACTAGTTCTGTTCATAATGAAATATATTCATATCTCATTATACTAACCTTATACTCCAATGGCTGATTATTAGAATCTAAAATTGAAGATTACGCCTACATTTTGTAACCACGCAATGATCTAGCTATGTCACTTAGTCGGAAATAAATGTCAGATTAACTGCCTGTCTTCACCCCGACAGACCGGAGAAAGAATACTTGTCAATAGCCGAGATCCGACAACTATGAAAATATGGTTGACGCTATTCCCGCCTGAATATCAGATTGATAGCTGCCTTCCGTTCCACTCGGCACAGTGGGTCGCCAAGATCACAGCTCGCAAACCTGACCAAATCGGGATGAATGTCCATTTCGCGCATAATCTGGGGAATCGCCTAGTGGCGGAAACCTTGGGAGACGCGTAGGATCTATTGTCTGATATCCCGTATTGTGTGGGTTCTGCTACAGATATCCACGGTTAGTGATTGCACGGCGGAGAGGAGGGAAGAGCTATTGCAAAAGAGTATATACTTTCCGAGCGCAATTCCTCTTATCAATCTAATCAGATGGGCTATGCGGAAGAGACGGAATTTTCCCAGGGTATATTCGACTATACATCACACCATTAAGCGAAGGTTTGCTTTGTATATTGTTGTAAGTTAGGAGAGGTATGACTCGGTTTATCGCGCAAATGTGAGGTCCTAGGGCCTTGTTAAACCCAGCACATGTGCTGGAATTTATTTACTTGGATATAGCTGTGCAAATGTCCTAGTATCTTTTGAGGAAAGCATAAAAGAATACGAGACGATCAATCGGAGCCTGGCAGCATACAGAATACTCACTTCTGCCGAAGTAAGAGGCCTGGCACCACTAAACATTTTTTCAGCAAGTCTAGCCCATACTCGCTTGGGTAAGCAAAGATGAAAAAGAACTGTCTCGAAGTCTTGGCTACTCACAGTTCGGGTGGCCTATGTCTTCTATGCTCTTGATCCGCTTGTGTTGACGGATACTGGATGTCCATTTGCCTTAGAAACTGTTCTGTATGTACTGTACGGAGTAAGTACACGTTTCGTAAAGTGGGTCCTTGGCTAGAGCTTAGCTCTAAGGCTTGTCCTCGTGCCAAGAACTACAATACTCACCACTGCTAAGTGCGTCGGATCATGTATGTTTGGTAGGAATCATACCGGAGCATATTGCAGGCTCTTCGCCCCGGCGACTGGGCTCAGAATAGCGTCCTATGCTTCCATTGCCAAGGCCGAGTGGATACTCTGCTCTAGCCAGCATCTGCCGCGCAGCAAACTTGGGAGTCGGAAATTAGATGGTGCAAGCTCGGTAACCAGGATTGATCCTTGACTCAGCTGTGCATAGGTTAGCTTCACTTAGCGCCTGTTATCATGTACGGTATATGCGTATATCATACGTTGGGCCATAATTCTGTGTGAACCATGTCGAAAAGAGTATCTTGTCGGAACTGGCAGGGCCGGGATACCGCATTATCGGGGATACAGACTAACTGGGAGTCTTGTAAATGCAATCCTTGGCTTCCTGGCCCCTCTCGGTTCGAAAGCGCCACAGGTGGGTAATATGCGTATCTGGTGGACTTCTACGGATACCAATAGTAATGAGGCCTCGTCCAATCGGTGGCTTCTAGTTACTCTGTAATGGACACCACCAGATATATAATATCCCGAGAGAATTCTTCCTTCGGGAGAAAGTTGTTGCCACAATCAACACAATGCACCCCAGAGCTGCCTTTCTTGCACTATGCTGGGCAGGTGTCCCAGTCCTTGCAGGACAAGGGGAAAGCCATAATGCCGCTGATACTTTCGATGAGTATTGTTTCTATTCCATTTATACAGCCCTTTCAGAATATACCTTTGCTGGGAGTACAATTTTGGCGTCTTCCCAAGGCAGTGGTGGAACTAGTCATGGAGGTTCCAATACCTCTGGTGGTGGACAAGCCTCTTCGTCAATGGGGCAAACCTCTTCGAGAAATCAGTCCTCTTCTAGCGCCCAGTCCTCCGCCGAAAGCGAACACTCACATAGTAAGAGGTATTTACTCCGCCGAGGACACAAGGGTAGCTCAGGAACCTCCACTGGGCCATGTAATAGCACCGTTGAAGTCACTTCGATGTATGCGAGTGCAAAAGCATGGTGCAGTAAGGCTGAACTCAAGGCTACTATTCCATACTGGCAGAGTCTCTGTGAGCAAAATAGCCTGACTCTTATGGACTTGTCCGAGGTTGAAGCCAACGTTACCGATACGTACCTGGCGTCTCTACCAACCCTTGACCCGGAAATGAATAGCACCTCAATGACCGGTACCATAGAATCGCCAGTTCTACTTAGTCACGCTTACTACAAGAGGGCTCACAAGTCATACGTGCGTTTCCTTTATCCCACCTTCTCTTCCTCGTTTTCTGACCTATTACTAGGTCACTCATGACTTTGCTCTGGACAAGGACAAGCGGTTCGGCTGGGGTCTGATGGGATATTGGGGAGGCATATTGGTCTTGGGCATGATGGCCAAACTGATGGGTTCATTGTCTAGCCAACGACGGGTGCCCAGCCACCAAGATGCAGAGTCCAGTGTTACTTCGCAAAACATGCGTCGGAAACAGAATAAGCCTAAGGCTGTCGCGTCTATGCTGCATTCTCTAAGGACTTCCTTCGTCGTCCCCGCTAGTTTCGCTCCAATTCTGTCCCACCACCAACAGCTTTATTACTGGCACACTGTCCCGCGCCGTTTGGACCTCCTGATTGTTTTGGGATTTTGGGCCCTTTGCATTATCCTTGGCTGTGTTGACTATCAAAGCTTCTCTGGAAACATTGAGTGCGATCTTCAACCCCTTAGCAATCGCAGATCACATTAGCTAACTAATAGCTCATAGGATGTCAAGTGTATTCCAACAGAACTGGCAGTACTCCTCCGACCGCACGGGTATTCTGTCGTATGCTTGTCTTCCCTTTCTATGGCTATTTGCTGGACGCAACAATATCTTCCTTTGGGCGACAAACTTCAGCGTGCAGTCGTTCAATATCTTTCATCGCCATGTGGCTTGGGCGTGCACTATCTTTGCGATCATTCATTCCGTCAACTATAGCGTTGTCTTTGCATACTATGGTGGGTGACATACTTGTGATTGATCAACGCCTTACTAACAAGGGCATGTCAATGACAGACGGCAGATTCCAAAGTGTCTGGGTTCAGGAGTACTGGTATATGGGAGTAGTGGTGAGTGGGCGGTAGTGCTTTACCCCGTTCGAGATGTTTCTTTACTAACTCCCACCCAGGCCACTATTCTTATGTCCTTTATGCTTGTTCAATCTATGACCATACTGAGACGCATCGGCTATGAGACATTTCTCATAATCCATATTGCTTTCGCAATTGTGGTTGTGTATGCTCTTTTCCGGTACGTACCGTCGCTTAACCGTGCATTATTTACCTCTGTGGCAATCAGCACTAAACTAACTAACCTTCCAAACTGTTTCAAAGTCATACCAGTTTTGATGGCACTAAGTGGAATGGCTATCTGTGGCCCATGGTGGCGATCTGGGGATTTGATCGGACTGTTCGTCTGGTCCGTATAGCCTACTGCAATCTCAATGTCCGGTTTGGCAAACAATTCGTGTCTACCAGCCAGTCCACAGTACACTACTGCGAGGCTAGCGATCTTATCAAGGTTGAAGTATATCCTGCATCAACGACGCTTACTCCACGAGCTGGACAGCATTATTACCTCTATCAACCTGTTTCTCTCAAAGGATGGGAAAACCACCCGTTCACCTTGGGCGCCTACGTCTTAACTCAAGATAAAAACTCTGAGCAAGGGAACAAGTTAATATTCTACATCCGCCCCTACGATGGATGGACGAGGCGACTTCGCGATCTTTGCCGCAAATCCCAGGTGGACATTCGTCTCTCACTATTACTTGAAGGTCCGTACGGATCTACGGCCGCTCTCCACACATGCGAGTCCATTCTGATGATCGTCGGTGGTACCGGGATTGCCGCCGCAGTGCCATATATCATTGAGCATGTCTCCCGTGCGAAAGAAGGGACGACAAGAACGGTACGGATCCAACTAGTTTGGTCTGCTCGGAGTACAGAGATGTACTCTCAGGTCTTCTGTGATGAGCTAAGCACCCTCCTGCACCATGAAGACATCGCTACGACCTACTTCTGCACCAACAAAGCATCATTGGACCTCGAAATGAAAGCCGGAAGTGGTGATGAGCCTGGAGAGAGCCCAATGAGCTCCACCTTGGATGACAAGGAAGGGAATGTGGCCTCTTCCGTACGAAACGGAACTGTACGCTTTCTCTCTGGTCGTCCTGATGTGGGCGGTATTATCAAAGCGGAGGTGCAAGAAGCCAAGATCAGTTCTGGTCGACTGGCAGTGCTCACCTGTGGTCCAGCTCAGATGGCGGATGACTGTCGGCAAACGGTGTATGAGGTCATGAAAGATGGATTCCAAGACATTGAGTACCATGAAGAGGCCTTCGGATGGTAATGCAAATATTTTCCGACGGATGATGGTGGGGCACATTGATTGATAACTAAATGGATCGATTAGATAACAGGATGGCTGATCATCGGAAGGATCAGGGCATGCATGCAATGTTGGCTGTTGGGATGTGATCCCATTGGATCAGTTAATCTTTCATATTGATAGACTTGTTGTCTTATAATCAGTGACTATACGGTCCTTCTCCAAAAACACACAACAAAGCATATATGTCGTGGTTGTCTTGCAGTAAATTATTTATGCCGATCTAACCCTTAATATATAGAAGGTATATGCTACCAGATGATGCTGATAGCTTTCCTAGTCAACTGTCAGCAAAATCCATAGCCTAACTCTTCTAATCATGCCTGTTCCTTTTCCCAACCAGTAGACTAACAGATAAGCATCTGTAGGCTTCTGGGGTTGGCATCTTGTCATTTGTAGGGCAAAGCAGGGCGGTCAAACACGTGGTGTGGAAAAGGAGTCGGCAGACATCCGAGTCCAATTTTTGCTTCTGTTCCCTTTTTCCCCACACTCTTTTGTCTTCTATCCTCTCTCTCTCCTCATCTGGTGCCTTTGATGCTTAATGATCAAAGGACAATCCGAAATTTTCAATGAGATTGTACCTCGTAAACTACTATCTGCAACACAAATGGTGTTCCCAGGAAGGCGAAGTACCGGCTGCTACGTTTGTCGCGAGCGGAAAGTCAAGGTGAGTTGATTGCCTAGAGTCGACGACAGCCATTGAGATATTGACTTCCAAACCAGTGTGACGGTGCGCGGCCAGCATGTGCGCGCTGCACCAAGTTTGGGAGAAAATGTATCGGCTATCCCGACTCGTTTAAGTTCCGATTCTATGATAGCACGTCCTTTCAGAATGAGGCTTCAACCCCACTAAGACCTGGACATGTCCGAGAGACCCCCGCTACGGCCCAGGAAGGGAAACGGAGGGATCCATCAGTTGTAACTGTACAGGCAACAGGCCATGATCACCGAAAATCACCCCTAAAGTTGCAATCGCCCTCAGTTCCTCAGTGTTTGTCGATTGCTTCCTGGGAGCTCTGGCCCTTATCCTACTTTTTTCATCAACATGTCCTTATCGTCCATAGGTCTCCCTGTGGCGGCCATCTGGCGTTCCTGCCTGATCTCTACCGGGAGAAGGGTTCCGAACCTTGCCTCAAACATGCTGTGCTTAGTGTCGCGTATCTGACCTTGTTTAATTCGAATCGTTCTCCCCTTCTTTGGACCCAAGCTAGGACTAACTACAGCACCGCATTAGTGGCATTAGCAGCGTCTTTAAACACACCAGAATCAGCTGCGAGAGATGAAGTATTTGCGGCCTGCTTGCTCCTGAGCATGTTCATAGTATGTCCCTTCTACCCTAAGTCAAGGCCTCATCCAATGGTGAGTTAACCATGACTTAGGATTTAAGCAATGAAAGAAAGAACTCGTTGAACGCCCACATTCCCGGTATCCACGCACTGATGCAGCTACGGGGAGTCACCTCTTTGCGTGGTAAATATGGCCGAGTTTTATTTGCATGGGCATTTATGCAATCGGTAAGTTAAATGAAAGAATTGTCAACTTTTGCGTCACGAAGTTCTAAAATAGTATACGGCTAGCAAATACAAGCCATAGCTAGCAACGACTTCGGATATGGATGCTTACCGGCGGCTTTAAGTACGATGGAAAACTCTGACAGTGTCTGCCGTGCTGGAATTGTAATCAGCATGATCTCAAAATTCTGTGCATCTGTTAGATACTTCAAAAAGTACATGCAGTTTCAGTTTCGGAGTGGCCATGCACCAACTACCGAGCCCTCGTTCGAATTGTTAGAACAAGCAGGTTCTATCATGAGCCAGATCGACAGCTGGCACGCTCGGCTTCCACGTCACTGGAAAGCCAAGCTGAAAGATGCAACGCCTGGTGGTCTTTCCGGGGAACGTATCTCAGCTTCCGAGGATTCCTGGACGACGTGTTTCGTGGCCATCATTAGTACGACCCACTTGTTTTTTTACCTGCAATTTCTCGAATACTGTGAATGCGTCTCTCCTAATCTGGAAGCCCTGAAGGCGCTCCCAAATGAAAATTCAATCTACTACCCCCTATACGGTATTGGCGGTCGGATTCAGGATTCAATCAACGTCATATGTTTGTCGGTGTCATATGCACTGGGAAGCATGAATGTACATGGGAGATTTGAACCCTTCCACAATACCAAGCAAGGAATTGGGTACAACCTTCTCTGGCCTATGTCGCTCGTGGCGACCTGTCAATTCTCCACGACAGAGCAAGCTCGACTTTGCCAGCAAGCACTGGAGTACACCTGGTCGACAATGGGCCGTGTTGACAGATAATCCTGAATCAAGATTTTGAACAGAATGTTTTCAGCACGTGGTGAGACATAACCATCAGACACCTGGTTTCTTGATAGACTACTCGAATTAAATGTCGCTCGTCGCTGTATAATAACACATTGACACAGGGACAATCTGTACCAAGACCATGCACCTTGTGGTGAGATAGCCTATTGGCTGAAGCGGGTCGATGGTGGGATTTTCTTCAAAGAATTCTATCGCCCTCGTCCTATCAATGCTCGGTGATTCGGCTTGCTTGAAATCACCGACACTCACCCTTGGAGAGTGAGTCATGTATGAGATACGCAATTGATTGACGCCCGTTTGGAAGCCTGCAGTTCTGGCCGCAGGAAAGTATACCTTGAAGACTTAGCGTCTTCTGCAACAATGTACTGATCAGTCGTGTCCTCTTCCCAGGATTCATACAAAAGGTGACGAAACTGACATTTGCTGGCCTCTGGTAAAGCAGAAGAAACGCAGACTACTGTTCCTGAACAGCCAACCCAATCCTAGGCAGGGTCTATGTCACCTGTTGTTCATATGGCCTTACCGGCTTGGCTTCAGGCAAACGGTGACACTGAGGGGGGGCAGGGCAATCTTAAGAGAATCTTAAGATGTCCAGGTATCAGCACCCTGCGTCATGAGCGGGAAGCCCTACGCAATTTTAGTCTTTCTCCACCACTAGTCTAATCAAACGTATGTGGCCAATGGGCAGATTAAATCAGAAGGTTCCACACGCTAGATACAGGTTGCGTCTTTTGAGATTTGGTGGACTTCTTTCCAAAGAGCTACGATCTACGGAGTGTATTGGGTCTCTAGCAACATAATTAGTTTGTCTCATTTTAGACATACCTAACGCTATATAAGTTAGGCACTCTCCGTTGCTCAAGTCAACTGGTCAACCACTCAAACGTTCATTTCTTACTTTCTGTCTCTCGTTTGATCTGGCTCTTCTATCTTCGCGATGTTGTCCCTCTTTTTCTTTACACCCGCTCTAGCGGCACCCGCGTTCAATAACTCGTCGGCTTGGGTTTGTGGCGCTGGTTCCTCGATCGGTACATACACCATCCGTGCGAATGACACCATTTGGTCCGTCGCTACCACTCTCAATCGTGGGGTCTGTCCACTGGCGAGGTACAATCACTTATCTGACCCCGAGCTTCTTTATCCCGGCGAGGTTCTCTACATCCCCCCTGAAGCCTGCAACACCGACCCTACCGACACCTCCTGTCTCCTCAGTCTCGATAATTCGACCACCAAAGATTGCATCTTTGGTGGTCCCCATACATACCGCACCTTTGAAGGGGACACCCTGCGCAAAATCGCTCTGGGCAAGTTCAATATTACGCTGGAGGCTCTGGAAAGCTCTGGTGGTCGCATGGCCGGTGTCTCGTCACCCGACGACACCATTGAACCGAGCACATTCATCAAGCTCCCGCAATGTAATCCTAGCTCATGTGGAATCAGACCCCTGGAATACGTCTGGGGTACGTACAAGGATCTAGCGGAAGAGTACGGAACAACGCCGGGGCAGATCTTTGCTTTGAATCCGACTTTCAATCATAGTTCTACGGGACCGGGGATTGGGGGATGGATTACGTTGCCAGTCAATTGCGGACTAGATGGGGAGGCGTATACCATTGTTTCCTAAGTTCTATGTATCATAGTTTCGACAGAAAGGTAGCCATTCAATCGTCTGATTGACGAAGAACCGAAAATCCAGGCGGAGAAAATAGATAATACGTTTCAAACGTGCGATGTATACCCAAAGGCGACCGAGAATAACACGCCGAAACAGGCATGATATGCGCCTAAGTCGTCGTCATGACCGGCCTTTCCTCGTCGTGTGTTCGAGCAACTACGCAACTCAAATGGATTTTTTTCTCCTCGGCCGTGAACTCGGCTCAGGGGAAATTACCCACAAGAGGGGGAGTTTGCGAAAGCCCCCACTTCGAGTCGCCCTAATTGCCGATGATCCACTGGGCTCCACCGCGTAGTCGATCCATACGCGATATCATCTTACCAGACGTCCGCGTCACACTGAAGTCTGGAGGAAGTAGTAAGTCATGTTGCTCTGATATAATCAGTGGCAGCCATGTCCGCTTCCCGAGTAAAGACCACCTGGGACTCGAGGAGGTATCAGAGCACTTAAGGAACACTAGAGATAGGTGTTGGACAATGGCAATTCTTATCTTGAAGTCGTGTACTATTGTAGGGATGAGGGAACCAATATATCATAATTGGTAGCGTTCATGGCGTTGGATGATATAATGCATTCCATCTTCCATGGCTAATGATTAATCAAATCGTATTCACCTATAACTAGCTCAAACTGCGTGATACTATTAATTTCTCTTGCACCATCATTCACGTAGACAACTACTTCCGTCGTTTCAGAAAGTATATCAGTCCCATACAGGCCCCCAATAATCATGCTCCCCCTGATACGCCTCGTCATACCTCTGCGGCCGGGGATGATGGTAATCCTCGCGTGATCCTTGTGGCCAGATCGGAATGGCACAGAATTCATCGTCGCGGTACCCACGACACTCCTTCCACACCGTCCAGTCCAGATACCCCATCAAGTCCCGAATAGTAGAGATCATTGCCCGGGACTCGGTCTCCTTCCTGACAGCCATCAGTGTCGAGCATATCCGGTGACTGACAGCGTACAATGCCCTGTGCGCCAGTGATGACTTCTCATTTGGAAGTGCAACGAACTGCGTAGAGCAGAGCTTGATAGCCTGCTCATCATCATCGCTTCGGACATCGATGAACGGCGCCATGAGGCGGTCAATCTGTGTGACTATAAACTCACAAATATCAGAATCGCTGTGATGATGTTTCCGCCGGAGCAAACCATGTATAAAACGACCGTATTTGTCAACAATCAGATCTGCGACGGCCTGCCAGTTTACCGACTGGTTACTGGGATCGTGAGTCAGCACCAAATGCGTCAAGTCATCACGGATGGGCTGTAATTCCTCGGGCGACAAGTGTGTCAAACGCGGCAATTTGCTACCTCCAGGGAACAAGTCGAGATCGTAGTTATAGGCCGTGGCAAAATGATCGTAGTTCACTCGAACCCGCTCACCCCCGATACCATGGAACCGAGACGTGACTGCTCTCAGCAGCTCACCGGGCTTACCCTTCGGCTGCCCTTTGCCATCCTTGTTTGGCCCCTTCGAGAAACCAGGCTGTCTGACCTGGGTCACCTGCACAGGTACCAGGTTTACCTCAGGGTTGCATAGAATGATCTCAAACCCCGCCGCCATGCGAATTACACCATCGACCCGTCCTTCCCACTCCGTCTGCGCAATACGACAGATGGCCTTCGCCCGCTGATCTTCCATCCGAACACCACCTTGCAGGGTATCGCTGAACAAGATACGGTCCTGGGAGTCCAGGGTCCCAATCTGCGATTTGCCTGCCGAGGTCCCATCGATATAAACAAGACGTAGCTCCTTGGAGGTTAGGAAGGTATGAAGGAACCCTGAATCATCCACAGGTGTATCCTCTGCCGCCATCGCATGCTGCAAATGCCGGTCCCCAAGTATGTCCGGAGACGGTCGCCGAGACGGACGAGCAAAGACCATCGCATGGTCAGGTTCAAAGGCCATCCACCCGATCTTCTCGATAGGGTCTGACCGGGCGTTTCCGTGGTAGAGCTGGATGCCCTCGGGGACGGTGGCTAGGAAGAATGACATGCCATTATGATGAAGCGACGAGCCCCACAGGCGCATTGAGGCGTGAATCGCGTTGAAGATATGATTTGCATTGTGCATGGCAGCACTGCCGGTCAGAAGGAGTGCTAGAGTTGAAAGTATTATGTTCGCATGCATGAGGATAATGTGTTTGGGATGGATGCTACGGGTCGTAAGTAGATGGTGCACCAGTGCCGTATATAAGCTGACACATAACACTATTATTCACTGAGAGTAGTCTAATCCACGCCTACACTTGCGCTTCTTCCTTTTTTTTTTTTTTTTTTTTTTTTTTGACCTTTTCTCTTTTCTATCTTGCCATTCTTTTTTTTTTTTTTTTTTTTTTTTTTTTTTTTTTTTTTTTTTTTTTTTTTTTTTTTTTTTTTTTTTTAAACCCTTAAGATCGCCTCTTGCCATGGTCGAACAGTGGAATTCCTTAACGCCGAGCTCGGCATCAGATTCGGATATAGAAAAAGACGCTAGTACTAGTATAGAAGTGAACTGTTCTTCTGCGAGTCTTATGTTGATTGGGAACAGTAATAATTGGCAGCAGATTGCACAAGGCCTACTATTCTCTAGAGAATTTTAGGACGGAAATGCTGTACAAATGATAGGGCTAAGTGGTCCAGAAATGAATGTGCATTTCATGCTCTACTCTCTAAGTTTTCCCCTCTCATGGCTATTAATAAAGAGCCGTGGTGTAATGAGATTTCCTGCTTACCCTTCACATGCTGTCTGCCATTCGGTTTCCTGGGCATTAAGCGGGAACACAGCCATTATGGCTATCTGACGTGTAGAGTGATCATGATGATCTAGGCCACGAAACTTGTGGCCGAGCAGAGGGGTAGAACTGATGGATATCTTCCAGTCCCCCTGCCTCGATGTATTAGGATTCTCTAAGCTTTAGTCTCGTACTGAATGGACCTACTAGCCACGCCTAAGCTCCTTCCATTGCATTTCCTTGCCTAATCGACAGGTGTTCTACCCTGATAAGTAGTCCCGTTACACGTGGGATGATGGTCTGAGTCATTCCTCTCTACGATATCTTCTCATTTATAAATTCTATGCCTGAGGCCCTGCCCAGTATAACCCTGACGTTTCTTCGAGGCCGATAGATTCTAGTTATTCTAGTTTTTCGAGCCTTGACGCAATACTAGGTCATTCACGGATCTGGCTTTTTGCTGCTCTGTATAGAGATATTGCGGATGGGATAGATAAGAATCCGAGTCGTTGACTTCTGGCTTAACAGGTTTATCCATGTTCTGAACATAGGTAGGCTTTACTACTTATTAAAATTAACTTCGAAGCTTGCAAAAAACAAATAATTATACACAGGGTAAAATTGACAGAAGTATCATTCTTCACCTAAGAGCGGGCTGAACGTGTTGATCTATTTGTCTTGTGCTTCTCCTTCCCCTTTACACAAACGTTTTCTTTCACTCTCCCACAGTATCTAAGGCCAAATGAATACCATCTGTCTTTCAGTTATAGACAAAGCTATCACCCAATCCGTCACGCGGACTGTCCCACAATCTATCTCCTCTCAGAAGGATCTCATCCGTTTCCACACATGAGACGCCTATAATCTCCTCCAAGAGCGTCAGTTGCTTTGTAGCCAATATCCCAAGACAAAAGGTCGAGATTCACAGGTATTCACCAGCTGACCAAAGCAAGAAAAGACAGACTGTTATAGAATGTTGTCCAAAGATTAGTTCTAACCTATTCTGATAACGAATCATAGGCAGCCGTACATACCTAGTCCTCTATTTACGTTTCAGGACAGCATAACTGTGCATGCCTTCGAGATCGCTGCAACTGTGGGGAGCACTGCCCGGAGTGTAATATTCTCCATCACAGTTTTTCCCTTTCCAAAAAACAATATTATATGGTTCACCGTGGGATTTAAACTCGGCAGACCACCAATTGTCCTCAAGCTTTTCGCAGCTACGTGGTCTGCCATTGTCTCCTGCTCCACCAGGTTGCCAGCCATGACATTTGTTGTGGCTAGAATAGAAAGCGACCGTCCAAGCTTTGGCAAGGGGGGCAGAGGCGAGAAAAATAATACTTAGAGAAGAAAGAAGCTTCATGGTGGTTTAACATGCAATGAACTTAGATCTGGATGTAGAAACGATGAATTTAGGGATAGAAGTAGAAGTCTCTCTGGGGAAGATTACGATCACTTTATATGTTGCGGCTGGACTGCATCTTCCAGCTCTGGTACTTTCATTGGATGGATAGAAAGTGTTGGATAAGCACCTCTGTATGGCAGTGTACCTGTAATTTTAGTGGGTCCTCCTTCATCATTGGCTGTATCGTCTAACCAGAGACTAATGACTAATAAGATTGATATCCAGTATAGACATATGTATATTAGTATTATTCAGATCCCAACACAGATCTTCCTCTAAGCATTGCTGTTATAAATTAAAACAGGACAAGTTCTTATCCCACACGAGGAAATGTTGACCCTAAGGCACCTGCAACCGGGGCCATTCCCACGCAAAACGGCCACCTGACAACATCAGGATCTATTGCTTCCTACGAACAGTCAGAGTCGCTAGTTAGAGTACCATAAATCTAGCCTAAGTGACCTAGCTAACTAGAATGACACGTGTTCCAACCCACCTCAAACCTGTTTGGGCTACAGAGTGTGGCAGTGTGATGCTACTCTACAACACTTTGTGAACACTTTTAGACTCCGATTGGTTTGAGGTCTGGACCCCTATACGGACAGTTACCTAGCAACTCTTTGTAGACGCTCAGAGCCGCTGGGTATCAATAAGAAAACTGGGTCACATATTTTCGGACCCCAACTGTAAGCTCTGATCAGGCCAGCAACGTTCCATCAGGGTTGCTGGGCGCTTCTGAGCGGAAAATATTATACTATTTCCCTAAAGAGCAATTTTTAGTGCTGCTTAGTGAGTCACTTATATCTGTTAGCGGGCAGCCTCATATTAACCAATGGTGGTGCTGGCGGAATGGAAGTTGAATTATGTTTAGCTTGTTGCTGTGCTATATGATTGAAAGACTGTAGTGTAATATTGAGTAAAGCAAATTTTCTATGTCATCTTGACTCTTTTGGTCTACGAAAGAGAAGAAGTACTTCGCTAGTTCTACGACGTAGGTGTGCCAATGTATGCAGTAATACTCGCACCATCCTTCTTTGCTAAGCGGTTAGGAAGCGATGACTTGATCAGATTGCTCAGATGTAATTTGGGGAAGTTAATCTTACGTGTTCGATTCAGTACAGTTAATGATAATTGGTGACTCAAGCTATCTAAAAACCTCTGTATCGATTAACGAAGTACCCCTAGGCATCGTAAGCAAGAATCTCATGATGACACCGTTCGGGCTCGTCATCTTCTGGGAAGGGGTATCCTGGTTCTGGAAGAAGGATTGGTGTGACGGCGATTTTCAAACGGCGGGCTCTGCACGTAATCACCAGCATGTACCTGGCTCAATTGTAAGACAATCTTTATCTCCACGGGTGTTCACTGAACTGACAATCATAGGCCTGTACAGCACGAATAAAGATATCTCAAGGATTTTGGGCTTCTGTGGATGGTGTTAGGGGCGGGCTGAAATTTCAGAAAGATTACTTCAACCTGGATGACACACGCTCCATGATAGAACTATCCGAGTTCTGAAGAATTAGAAAAAGAAAATAACAAGGCTTGAAAGAAGAGATATGTCGCAGCTCACCCTGGTAGCTTTACAGTATGGACGACGAGATGGGTGCAAACCCAGGTTATATCTTTAACTAAGGGCTTTGATTCGTACGGCCGCTGAAGATGTCTAAGTCCACAGTTCTAAAAGGCAATAACAATATATGTGTTGGTATTTCCGGTAGTAAATACAGAGCTAACATTGAAGCAAGCGCGAGGTTTCCCGTTGGCAGATTCGAGTATGCACCATAAAGCAGATCTGACCAGCCATTCCGTGGACAACTGGCCTCCTACTTAATAAACATTGACGCGTTCGCTTTTGCTCTTCAACGCCGATACCGCAATCTACTCCCTTCATTGTGACAAACCCATAACAGTGTCTTTATTACTTCCTGTTCTTACCAATTGATAGATGTTTGCAATTTCTATCTTGGTCGTTCGAAGGCGCACTTCCACGTTGCATGCCTGGATCTGAGTTGATAACTTTCGAAGACAAGGATATGAGGTCAGCAAGTCCATTAACTCATCCGCCTGAGATCAAACTAACTCCGCTTGGTTGGAGTGAGTCCCATGGGAGCTCCAGGAAGAGGCATGTGAGACTTTAGGGAAGGGCTCAACGGTATGCGGTGTGCAAGGTCCAACAATTTAAGTAATTAATGAGATGAAAATATCACGGTGATAGCTTTGAAGTAGGCAAAAATAGGCGCCTGGTCTACTATCATCCGAATTTTGCAAAATGAATCTAGTATATCACTGCGTCCAGTCTACTGACAACCCCAGGTAGCATGGGTGCAGTGAATACCATCTGTGATTAAACCAACTATCAATCAATGAGGAACACTCTCTGCCAACTCGCCTTTACCGGGTAGGTTCATACATACAGGGTAGGCCGAACTAAATCTGTCGTTTCCAACCTGGCTTTTCTAGAAATTCTAGTATACAGTAGTTGATGTAACCTAATGAATCAAAGTCAGGATGAAACGTCTCTGGGCAGAGACGAGCCTGAGCAATGAATTGAGTCTCTTGTTTTAAGTCCGTACCCCTAAAGACAGTAAAACAAATTAAGGGGATGGCCTCAGGATTGAGTATCCTACTACACACTGAAGAAAGCCAAACCATGATACGTTCTTCATCAGGGTGGCTCGGGTCTCCCATAAGTCTATTTGCTGGGGGCCTTCCTTTCAATGCTTAGGGATCGAGACATGTCGAACAGGCCTCGCCGCAGGCAATTTTGAGTGACTCTGAATATTGAAGGGGCCACAGTCAAAACCGCAGCTCTTCAGTAATAGATGTCCAGAATATCCCGTTGCCTCCGAGGCTTCGAGAGAAGCCAACATTCCCGGTGGTTATACGTCAATTGTTCGGGAGACCTAGGGAAGCGATTCTCGTCATCTTCTGTTTAATATCGCATAACAAAGGAGCCCAGGAAATGGAAATAGGACGTACATTACCTGCGGTTGTGCATGGAAGGGAAGAGGAGCTGGCAGCCCAAGAGGGGTGGTCTAAGAGGGGCGGCCGTAAGCTGACGATTGAAGGATCCCACACCTACAGCCCGGCTACCCTTCCGTTCAGAGTATTTTCGGAGAGATAGAGACACAATTTGTTCGTGTCACCGTCTACTTTGATCAGGTGGGATATTTCGCAGCCCGTGCCTAGTGTATGTGGCTGAACTCTTGGAATGAACAATTTGGTTGGTTCAAGAAACAAGAACGTGCTAATGATCTCATTCCATTTTCTTCCAATTGAAGTACTGTACCGGAAGTAGTAGGAAAACCACAGAGCGCGATTCTATGTACCCAATTCTGACCCTCCAATTCTATTGTGTCGTTTGCAAGTCATCTCATACATTGCGCAATATCTCGCATATTTAATCAAACAGTTTTTCATCCTCTTTTCTTCTTAATCTACCGTCCAGGAATATTTTAAATAGATATATAAAAAAGACTTATATCTTTTTCTAAGATATTAAATTATCAATTGCCTAAAAATATCTCTAGTCTAAAATAAATCATATCTAATATCTTTAAAGCTTTTTATAATATATAAATCTCGTTCGCTTTATAAATTCTATTCCTATCAAAGATTCTTTTTATTACAATATGTGTTAAGATTATCTACTAGTCAGGGTAGAAGACCTGTCGACTAGGTAAGGATACGTAGGCAAAACAATAGTAAATAGTCTATGGACAGAGACTGATTCTTGATTTTTCCTCTACTACTTCCGTAGCTCATTTATAGCTGGGAATCTTTAAGATTCCTTGTATAGAGTACTAAATCCTCAGAGAGGGACCACTGTTCGTTATTGAAAAGGTGACTGTTATAGACACCGAAGGCGCCGTCCGGCCTCCGAGATGTCTATGTATCTGGGGCAGGGTATATTATACAGTCACCTCGCATAATCGTTATGAATTCTGTGACAATTCTATACTTTTAATTAAATAATAGAGATAGACCTAGCTCTATAAATTTTAATTAGTCTTTATTCAAAGTATAGTTAGCTTAGCAGGCGGCTTAGTTAAATAATTATAGATTTACTCCAGAATTAATCCTAGATCACTCCAGCACTTTTACTAAGTACTCCAGGAACACTTAGTATACATATTCTTACCTTACTCCACGCTCCGAGATCAATCACTAAGCAAAAGCGGCCCTAAGCTAGATCCATTCCAGAAAAGGAAAGTCGAAAAGTTTCTGCAGAAAAACAGTTCGCTAGTGCATTTACAGTCAGAGATATATACTTCCATGAAGGATAACGAGTGTATTGCTGCGAGTTTAATTGCCGCTAATCACATATGCATATTCCTTTTCTTCACCTGGGAATATGCATTACTGGGACGTCCATAAATAAGACAGAGCCAAAATGATGGTAGCACTCACTGTTGCTGATAGCGGTTTCTAGTTTCAGTTCCCCAATGGCATCTTCGGATTTGAACGGGTAGACGGTAAGCTGCTTCGGTATGAGGGCGGCGACTCGAAACAAGGAAAAGCGGGAAAATGGGATACATATGTTGCAATGTACTTGTCGTTAATATACGTATAGTGTATACTTTTTCTTGCTTGTTGGTCAGCATAGATCCGGCTAATTGCCTCTCGCGAGCGAATAGTTGATACTGTGCGACGAGACTCAACATAGTCAATTGCTTCTGACAGAATGACTACAGAACCTATCTACATAACAAACGCGCATAAGGATATCAAAGACAAGTACCCGTTCTAATCTAGCATGATCACCACTAATCAAAAGCTTGCTCTTTCTCCATATAGCTATGCACCGTAGAAGCCACCCCATCTATTAAAATCCATCGCTCCATATTCGAACAGGTAACGTTTGGTAATATCACAGCCCTGGAAAGTACCGTACCCTGCGGGATGGTAGATTGTGCCGCAGTATATGGCAGTTGGATGATCGCCTCTCGCCGAGGGGTCAAAAACATATATCGCCCGGAATTTGTACGGCACCTGGCACCCCCCTTGAAAGACGCTATCCCGGAGAATAGGAAACTCTTGCCGGTGCTTTTGACTCTGCTTATTGCAGTCTGGATGTGAAAACTCAAAGTCCTCGTGATTACGGTAATTATGTGGATACGCCCGGTCCTCATCGGCCGCTACACTCCTGTCAGCGCCAGCTGCGGTTTGATTAGTTACATTCTGGGTGTATATCTTACACTTCACCGTGGCTCCTGCCATCTGCAAACTCACACCATAAGATACAGCTTTGTGGACATTAATTCCTTTCACCACGACGTTGCCTAGGTGCGGTTAGTGGATACTCAATGACCTGATTGATTGATTTACCGCAATTCATATCAAAGTCTGGATCAAAGTAAATAAGATTGACGGGAACCTCATTGGGGAGATCCGCAGCTGTTGCAAGTGGTACAATAGCCGTTGCGAGAGCGAGAGACGCGAGCCAGGGAAGTTTCATCTTGGATATTGAGACAGGTTGAATGTAGTTTAAAGATAAGGGTTTGCAATAGTTCTGGCCGTGTGTTCAACATAAGACTGCTTTATGGACTAGTGCTATGAGAAGTAAATGGAGACTTATATAGAACGTTGAAGAGGAAGAAAACTCTTGATGCCATGCTCTTTCCTCCCCTGGACCTTCTCAATTCACAGGCATGCAGTACTCTGAACATTTAGCATGTCCCACAAATTGACCCAACAGTCAACAGTCGAGAGGTTCACGAGAGAGCAAGCCCTGGACGAGTTAATGGGGTCTCGCCCTGGTGTTCATCCATGCTTTCTGATGTGGTGGTTGTAGTCATAAAAAGTGGTTAGAATTGCACTGCAGGATATCAACCCCTGCCACAGCGGTAACTTTGAACTTGGTCATCTTCTAGGGGCTTAATAGGGCGTTAACATAACAAGCAATTTGTCGTTATCGCTATGCAGTTTAAGTCAATTAGGATTATTATGTCTCTGTCTTAGGAGTATGTGGTGACACCATGGCCCTTTGTGACAAGAGAAAGAGAAAGGAGAAGGTGGTACAGAAACTTATAGAGCAACCAGGCGGTTGAATCCATTGTGGAATTATTCTGGTTGCGTAGTGATATTGAATCTAATGGCTTCCAACAAAGATCGAACAGCCACAAGCCAAGTGAAACATGGATTTGCATACAATAGCATCCCAAGCAAAATTTGCAGTTAGATATTTCTCTCCTACCACATTCATTGTAGTGCATACAACAAAGAGAATCGCCTTTCCTATCCGTCCTAGCGAGCTTTGTGAAAGCTGCTTTGGCCACTCTAAGTGTCACGTCCAAGTACAACAGTGGCTGAGTGGCTGAGGCTCATGTACCAAGAGGCACAATATTTTGTTACATAATCAAAATGATGAGGGTGATATCATTTCAGTTAGTATGCGTTCTTTGTGCAGGTAGATCCAGGATATCTAAGAGCCAACTAGCTCTTGGAGTCGTCGAGAATGTCTCGTACACATAAGCAATTATTCTTAGAGTCTGGTGAAGTAGTGGATAAAGATATACACCGTGCATCATTTACCATACAAAATAAGCTGTGAGACTTTTACCATGTCTCTATGCCTCGTGTCCGTAGCAGATTCAAGGCTTTCAGATGAAAATACAGCCTGGGTAGGATGATGGAAATATAGGATCATTCTCAAGAAAATAAAGACTCATTGAAACACAGAAGATACTTTTCTTACTCACCCAACTCAATACGACTGGACCTTGTCCATAGCAGAGCACCTACTTCTTTTAGACGGAGCGAAGGCTTCTAATCACACAATAATGGTATCAAGCTGACGAAGGTATGAGGGATATATGAAGGTGGCGTCCCCACTTCTAAAAGCACAATTTATGATCTGCCAATTTGAAAAAGAACATGGCTATTCCAGACTATTATTTCTTCCCAGAGGGAGATCCTGTTCCAGATGAATGGTTTTAAGCCCCACTTCACTTGTACCGCTGCCAAAATGAAGAGCACAAAAGGATGCTAGCCGAAGAACTCGCTATCCTCAAGGCATTTTATCATCATCTGATGACTGCCGAAAAAGCTGCGTACGCGATAACTCGGCCAATCTCAGACTCATCAGTGCCTTTCCTTAATACCTACGAGGATGACTCCATTGCTCTTTTTAGGCTATGGACATGGATTGTGAAAGCTTTGCAACAATGGCCTGCTTCTCGCATCCCTGACCTCGTCGCACTCCTAGATGCAATATCAAAGGTTCCCGATCTAATTCACCGTGGTGAAACCATTGATGACGAGTATAACCCCATGGGGTGGAATATTCTTCCTTACTTTGGCGCGATGTGGAGAGATGTTCATTGGAGGGTGCCAATGGATTATTCTTGAGGATTATCCGGACACGGCGACAAGACGTCACAAACGGGGACTGTATATCAGAGCTCAAGATGTCGAATCACGACTTGTTGCGACAGGGATCTGGGAGTTATGGAGAGCGATAAATTATGTGATATGGACGCTGGAGATGAAGCCCAATCACGATTACGCGGAAGAAGACAGGAATGGAGCCCACCATCATCCCCTAGCGTTTCAAACCCTCGAGCTTGATTTTCAGGTTCCGGCGGTTGCCTGCTGGATTCAGCATAATGGGCAGAGAATGTATGAAACCATCGCCAGAGATGGGCTGAAGGGTAATCCAAATATCCCGACGGTGAGTATGCGTTTTGACGAGCATGTCGGACGCTGGGCATTCTGGAAGAAGCGATTGCTGGAGATCGCGAACGGCCCTGATGATTTTGCAAGACGAGGGGCACAGGTAGCTTTGGGATACATGGATGAGACCACAACCTCTCTGACGGATCACTAGTTGTCAACTAAACAAATTGATGAGTTATGTAGAGTCTCAACAGCCCAATGGCCCACATTTGTCCAGGTACCCAGAAATTCACTCTACCAAAGCCGGTCCTCGACCACTCGCTCGAAATTGGTAGAAAAACAAGCCTCCCTTGCTTTTTTTTTAAAAAAAAAATTTATTGTGAAGTAGCCGTGCGAACGTCGTTTTGCTGCTAGCGGATGCTCCTCTGACGTGGATGACGGGGTGTGATTTGCTGAGACTGATCAACTCGTTCACTGTCTCCTGGCTTAAGACGATGGTTTCACTGTTGGCAATTATTACAGTTCAATATTATCACATATGGTATGAAGCTGTAGGGATATGATCATACATTTCCGCTGCATATTCTTGCTGGTGATAGGCCAGTTCTGTAACCGCTTTTCACTTTGGTCTGCATTCCATGCATTAGTTTCCAAGAAAGGTGGCTTTTCAATAAATCCTCTACAGCAATAGCCTTTTTCGTGTGCTTAGTACTTTCAAACTACGATCATAATATGAAAATAATGTTATGTCATAAGGTAGAGCTATAGGTAGCTAGCTGGATCGTTGTGCAGAGCTATTCCGGTAGAAAACCTCCAATTAAAGCATAGAAAAGGGCATACAGCGACCATTCTATGGTGGAGCGCATCTAGCGTCCACTACTCAGTTGTGCGCACCAGTTCACCGTCCGCCTGAGACTCAAGGGCCACTTCCTTTGATACGTCTCCTAACTTGATACCAGAGGAATCTAAAATCCGAATGCATCACTGGTGAAAGTCGGTGAAGAGACGAGTTGGTCTGAGGAAACGCAAGGGCATCTCTGCAAGGAGATAACACAGATGATGAGCCAATACGCGTTAATCAGACTCAACCCCCTCAAACCTGTCTTTCTAATCTCTGTTATCTTCTAGTAGAAGCATGGAAAACCGAAAGACTTCCTGGACCGGGTTAGAACCCAAGGAGACTATGACTGCCAGGCTGCAGGACAAGGAGACTCGAGGCCGCGCCCAGCATGAAAAGTATGCCCACTTGCTTAAAGGCCAGCTGCCCAAAGACATGTTGGGTGTGACCCATCCCTCAGTCATGGCCACTTCTTTGGATCTAACTGCAATTCGCGTGCTGGAGAGCTAGAGTCGTTCTTCCAACTAAAGCTTGCCGTCAGAACGATTTTCCAGTCCCATCTCAAAGGGAGATAGCCAGCGAACAGAGCTCTCGCTGCATCAATAATTGCAACTTTGGTGAGGTCGAGGATAGCAATAGTTCGATTGAGAATGTTGCGGAGTCGGTATTATGTGCTGATGAGTGGAGTGAGAGCAAGGAAGACAATGCAGATAGTGACTATGGGTACGACTGGAATGATGCTACCGGTAGCGACGATGATGATGACGAAGATTCCGATTTGGTGATAGACACTAGATGTGATTGACGATGATGAACGGTGGCAAATGTTTGAATTGATCCACAAGGGGATCGAATCCAACACTGTCCACCTTCGCTTTGAATGGTCGTCGCATTGCAGAGCACTTGTTTCTGGCTTTCTGGGGTTTATGGTTTGGTCTTGATTTTTACCGGCGAAACGCGGAAGTTCCTATCATAGGCGGGGTTCACAGATGCCTTTGCCTTATGATGCTTTCTTCAGCATCACTTATCTTATGCTCGAATATATTTCTTAAAAGAGAGAAATCGCCTGAGTCATTGAAAGTTGTTCTATCGCTGAAATTCTGGATGAACTGTATCTGATTTAACAAGTGATAGGTAGAGCCTTACTCGAAACTACTTCTCCGTAGGTTCAGCGCCATTCGTTTGGGCCTGCTGCACTATAGCGCCCGGGAAGCGAGTGCCCCTGTTCTTGACCTTCTTCTGTTTCTTTTCCACAACTGGAGGGGGGTAGGCCTTCAGAGTAATCTCTTGCCATTCTGGAGAGGCTTGGTACGCCGCTTGTATAGGTGCCATAAGGTCGACAAGGCCCGCTGCTACAGCAGGCTTGAGTAATTGTGGCGTTAACTATAGGGTGTTTATGTTAGTTTCTTTTGTTCGAAGCTCAGAGTGACACGGGAAGACCAAACATACAACATCGTTCGCATAATCTTCCTTAAGTTGCTTGATATCGGTGTAGATCAATGGCTCCTCCTCCCTTCGCTCGACTCGGAACTCCTTCTTGCCCTTCAGATCAGCGGCGGGTAGGAGAACATATTCCACTAGTGCGATAACTCCATTATCTTCGACAACCCGAGGAGCTGCTTCCGCTTTGCGAATTTTCTTTGAGATGCTCTCGGCTGGGTCTAGCAAATCGATCTTGCTGTCTGTTCATTTATTAGTACTCAGCGACCTTCTGCGAAATCGGATGGGCTAGAGGGAGAATCACCTTCAACGCTAGAACTCATCTTAGCGCCCTTCAACCCGCTGATCATGGGATTGATTAAATGTGCGCGCTAGATGCAAATTCATCAGTCTTTAGAAGGTTTCTCATCAAGATTAGCGGTAGTCATACCTTTCGATAACCAATCTTAGGCAGCCATTCCACGGCGGCGGTAAAGAGCTTCCTCTGGTCCATACCTCCTAGCTGAGCATCAACTTTGAGATGCTCTTCGTCGAGCACCTGAAGCACCGGGTACAGAAGGCCACTCAATGGAGCATTGTCGGTCTGTTTGACAACCTCTGCGCCAGCCTTCTTAGCATCTGCCTCGGAGATCAAACTTGACAGGCGATACACATCCATGACATATTCGGGGCTTTTTTGGTAGGAGCTGCCAAGAACGAACTCGAGCTTATCAGTAGGCACGCCTACCGACTCGAGGATCGCCGTGATGATCTTGCTATAGTATTTCGCACGGTTCTCCACAAGCTCAAGCGGCGCCTTCAAGTTGTCAAGGAAGGCGTGGACATCGGCGAGCAGGACAACGACGTCGCAATGTGCACGGAGCAATTGAGCGATTTTGAGCGCAGCGAGGAAGTACCCGACGTGTGGTCTTCCGGTGGTTGCCGTACCTAATATCAATCACAGGTTAACTAGAGCCTGATTGTGTATCTAGAATGACTTACCCCAATAGATTCTGGGGTTTCTCTTTTCAATCAAAATTTGTTCAATCAACTCCGGGTTCAAGACCTCCGCGAGGTTCTCGCGGATAAGGTCAAACCGTGCTTGTGCTTCCGAGTCCATCGCGACGAGTCAGAGCCAGAAAATGAGTCTTTTACAGAGGAGCGCAGGGAAAGATAAAGGCGGCGCTGGTGGGCTGGTGGGATGGTTTTCTGCGGCGGGGGGAAACCGTCGGATCAACAGTTGTTCCGTTGTCATTTTTTGAGTCAGAGCGACAGGCGGTCAGGGGTGGCAAATAATCCTCTTCAATTAAATCGGACAAAAGTCCGGTGCATTCAAGGTCCATGCGACATGGCTTTATGCATAGTCACTCTTCGTTGCAAAGCTTACCCATGCCACTACTCGATATCGTCAAGAGAGGGACCGGTACAAGGCACCTTTTGTTAGCAAAGTGCCAATATCACGCAAAACCGTCAATTTATGAGAAATTTGGACAAAACTGCGAGTCTACAACTCAGTACAAGTGGGGTATCATATCATAAAGTAGTCAGGCAGAGGCTCGACAATGCAGTAAATAGCCACATTCATCCATCCACGCAAAAACATGCTTAAGTAAAGTCCATCACGGCGACCGCGCCCACTCCAATTCCCTCGGTCTATTATCATTCACGGGACTCCCGAGATCCCGATAAGGTGCAATGGGTGACGCCTCAACGGTTGTCATGGTGTTCCGATCCCCAATATGAAACTTCTTTGTAGCGAGAATGTCCGTTCTACGCAGTATAAGTTTCTCGCACTGTACTAGAAGAGTCAAGGGAAACTTACACCATAACCAACGGAAACAAGCATTCCATCGTATACGCAAACCGGTCAAACTGACCCGCCACCGTCGTGGCTGTTTGCGATGTGACCTGCAACGAATACGTAACTGCGCGGGTGATCCCGATAATGCAGAGGCTAGCAACGCGCACCTCAGTTGTGCGGAGCACATGCCGGAAGATCATTCTTGTGAAGGACATTTTAGGAGAGACGCGGTATGCCTTGTGCAGAAGACGAATAAGAAAGAAAGAGGTGCACGTTTCGACCAATGCGATACTCGCGAAGTAGCCGACATGTAGGCAGTCGATTCGGTGTTGTAATGGGCCAGCGGAATGAGAGGACACGCCTTCTTCAGTGATTTCGAGGACTCTGCTGGCGAGTATAGTCATTCGGATGGCGCAAATTACAACCATGAAAAACCAGAACAGGGAAAGGAAGAGTATCCGGGTCCTGTCCCGGAGAGTGTGTAGTAGGATTTGGTAGCTGTAGAAGGAAAGGCCTGCTTCTTGGACCTTTGTCTGGTTAGTACGGTATTAGGTTGCTAGAGCTAACTGAGTGATTAACTCACCAGCCAGAGGATATCGGCAATGGCACTGGCAGCTGCTCGGTCTCCGGTAGGATGCGATGTGTAGAAGGAAAAGTAACAGAGTCCGTTGGCCACGGCACCAGCAGCGGAGACGACAATGGGGATGAAGCTCAAGGGGCTGGGCCGTGTGATGAGCATGGCCCAGATACTCAGGAGAGTTGTGAACAGTCCGATGCTGCTTAGAATCGACCAGCTCAACTCATAATAGCTGGCGACCTCCGGCGAGGTACCAGATGGAGGGTGGGTATCCATTGCTTCGCTTATAGTATATGTCAAACGAATGTTCTAACGGCAGATACTGCTGGAGCCCTCCCACCCCCTCGGCATTCCGTTGAAGCAGGATCACGGGAGTAACGAATTTACCCCGAGATAGAAGACAAGAAACAAGGGGGGTTCGCGTAATTATATTAATCGTGCTCTTCAGACTTAATCGCTAAAGATATTCTGCATTGTGACACCAAGAGCGTGGAGTTCATTCCCCGCATTGTCCACACCTCATGAATAGGGCGTCCGCGATAATCTGGGGAAAAACTGGGGTCGATCCACGCAGGACGGATGAAATGCCGCGTCCAAATATTAGCCCTACCCACGGATAATTTAATCCCAAGTGGATGGCTGCCGAGCTTTAATGGGTATTTCTTCCGTCAATCTCGTACGCTTCTCACCCATTACCCCGGTTAGTTGAAGTGGTGGGCTGTGCGTGTCATGTTCCTGCTTACGAATACGCTAACCCGGCTTAGAATGACTCGAATTATGATTCTTACTAGTGTGGATGTTAGCCTTAACTAGGCTGGCCCCGGGGATTCGGTAGATATCCCCGTCGTGGCTTGGGGACAGACTCCATAAAGCCGAGCATAAAATAGGCTAATAACATATGCCAAGGCTAAAGAGACATACGAAACACCCCACAAGAAAGGTTTAACATTCACATAAACTGTTTATCCCATTTCCTCCCGTGCCCAATCAGCTTAATTAGCAGCAAGCACACCCACCGACCAAGCCGGCAGCGTGAAAGTAAACTTGCCATTCGTTGCTTTCACATCCGACTCACTGGGTGTCACCAGGGTCTGGCTATCAGAGTTGAAGGCCTTCGGATCACTGTCCGCAAGAACCGTCAATTTTCCGCCCGTCTTCCCGGGGATGGACACGCTGATCTCCTGGGAATCAGCTCCATAGTTGGCCAACTTCACGTAATATTTGTCTCCGGCACTGGAGGCAACCCAGTAAACAGGTCCGAAAGCAGAATCAGACGTCACGTTATGGATAGTATCTCCACGGTTTACAGAGAACATCTGCTGCACGTAGTAGCTGGTAGTCTCGATGACCGTGCTAGGGTTCTGTGTGAAGGCAATGAGATTCGGCTATAGCCAAGTCAGCTTTCCAGCAAACCCTGGTATTTTGTGAGGGGCAATCCACGTACTGTCCACTGGGTAGAGTTCACCAGTTGCAAAAGGGGAGCATACGCTGCCATCTTGACGACATCGCTGTTCCTCTCAATGCCGATCATGTACACGGCCTCAGCAACAGATCCCTGCATGAAGGGCCAGGCATTGTCCTGCTGGCACGAATATTCCCCAATGAAGTACGGAACGGAACGATCCTTGTTATCGAATTGGCTGAACTGCTTCACAAGGTTATCGGCAGTATTGTAGTTATGATAGTCCACCCAAGCGCCTTCCGGCAGCTTACTAGGCAGACAGGATGATTGGTCGGTGCTGGCGATGATGGTGAGATCTGGGTAGGCAGTGTGGATGGCATCGTAAAAGGCAGCAAACCGCTCTACGTAGGATGCACAGCCGCCACCTAGCATATCCTCGTTACCGATCTCGACCATGGTAAGTTTCCAGGGCTCCTTGTGCCCGTACGACGCACGAAGGGAGCCGTATTTTGTGCTCGAATCGCCAAGTACGTACTATGATCCTGTCAGAGTCATTCCTGATAGCACTGGGGTACGGAACTTACCTCAAGCTCATTCAGCACGTCATCAATGTAAGGCTTCAGGGCATCGCCAGTGATCGGTGTGTTGCCACCGGACTCGAGAGCAAAGCCAGCCCATACACCTAGGACCGGGGTAAGTCCCATATCCTCACACCAGTAAAAGTATTCATCAAGGCCTGATTGGCTTGTTAGGCTTAGTCTATTAGCATAATTAAGGTACACTTACCCAGTCCGTCTGTGTTGTAGTATGACCAGTCGCCTTGGCGTCCGGGGCGGTTTTCCACGGGGCCGATTGTCTCATTCCACTTCCATCTCAAAGCTTCACTCGCGCCCTCGCTGTATCTGTTAGATCGTGTCCATCCAGGGTACCTGATACCAGAAGGTGAAGACTCACAGATTGTTACCTCCAGGAAATCGCAAGAAAGATCCCTTCATGTCTGCCAAAGGCTGAGCCACCTGAGGCTTCAGCCCATTAGACCTGCAAACGACATCAGTACGATGCATCACGGTGCAGAAAGAATCACACAAACCTTGACTTGTACGTCTGAGGGAAAAGCTCAAAGAGCCCAAAGTTCAGCGAGGAACCACCAACCGACGCTCCGTCAAGCGTGAGCTCATAGAGCACAGCGCCATCAGAGGCCTTCTTGGTAGGAATCTTTGCCGTGACCTGGGTAAAGTTGCCTGAGTTCGAAGATTGCGAGATCTTCGTCGAACCATACTCGGTACCTGTGTTGTTGCCCACCAGTCGAACCGTGATGTCACCGGAGAAATCACCCTTGATCCAAAAAGTATTTAGGAACTCGGTTCCATCTACTGGAACACCCCAATAGCCTTCGTTGGTGAATCCTACAGCACCAGTTGCATCCTGTTTGACGTCGAGTTTCAAACTATGCGGGATGGCTTCAGTCAAGGGATTCTGCGCGTCAACGGCGATAGTGGCATCGCCGACAGCAGCCCACGCAGTCAGATCAGGATCGCTTCCCTGCAGACCGTTATTGCGTAACAGCTGTCCATAAATGCCTCCATCGCCAGAGTGGTTAATATCCTGGTTTTTCTATTAGTCATGACGTCCGCTGTACGGGGTGTTGGGGTCGCCTACTTCGAACATGAAGCCATACAGAATGGGGCTGGAAGAGTTTCCTTTCTCTATGGAAACCTCTAGAGAGACACCATACACATTCCGAACCAAAGAAAATAGGAATGGAAGGGCACTGAGCCCCGAAATAGTCGAGAATGCCACCATTGCTTTATTCCTGATATGTTACCTGAGACAGGGAACATCATTTGAGGGTCATATTCCATGGTTTTATATTCGCCTTTGAATAGATAATTAACCGTTCTCGGGCCTTGAAAATTGGAGAACGAGGCAGGAAGCCGTACGGCAGTGATGAAGGCATTCAACCGAGAGTGGAGAGAATATGGAGAATGCGGAGTGCCCGATCATACTGTGATGTGAGATACCCACACAAAAACATGCAGTGCAACGTTTTACAATGACAGCCAAGGCTATAGCACGCTGAAGCCTAAGTCATAATACCTGTTTTTTAGTAACGCTTTCCACCGTTTAATTTTCAGCATAGCCCACCGTCATATCCGGAGTGTATCCGAGGTATATCAACAATTCCTGGGTAGACTATAGTGGATCGTACGACATGTCGATCTTTGTCCATTTGCAGTGAGACAGCGAGTTATTTGAAGTATCCAAAGATCCCAAAGCCAGGGACCTCTGTAAATCCTCGGAGAAATATAATCTACACCCGCTGCGGTACAAGAGACTCACGCCCACCACCACCCCGAATTCTTAGGGCAAAACAAGCTTTATGGCTGCCATTATACCACTGCCCAGCGATTTCTTGTGTTAAGGAGGCGTCCGGGTGGGCCGAGCAATGTAATCCAAGGGCGTCCAGAACAATGAAAAGCCAGGCACCAAGCCACCATCTGGATACTCCACCATCGCGGCCACAAACCGAAGAAAGCAAAGCGCTGTGGGCAATATCGCACCGGTAACCCCTGCGCACCTGCAGGATCTTGGCACAACTCACGGGCGATTGGCTCGGTCCCAGCTTAGGGCCGGAGAGTAGTATAATTTAGTTCCTGAGTCCATGCACGATGATGTCGGTTGTGCATTCCCCTCTTTCTTTGTCTCCGCATGGGTTCTGCAGGGCGACGCTCAGGGCAAAACCCCGGCGGGACGGGGTCCCTGTCGATCATCTGGCGGGACTACGAGTCGTGTGTCTTGGAAGTCTCACACGGCTATCAAAAAGCCTATGGTGTCTGGCGCTATGCATGAACTGGTTGTACGCTTGAAAGGGCCTAAATTGGTCAATCCATATTTCTCGTGGCTACAACTCACGGGTCGAGTCAGGGGTGAAGAGGAAGCGACAGACATCATAGCCGCAGTGCAGGCCTGCGACAAGTTGCAAACATACTAGTATCACTAGGAAGCGAACATCACGTGGCGTATCCCTGGGACTATTGGCATACTAACGGGCTTTTGGACTATGCTAGGTTGGGATGGCCCCTTGGTGGGTCCAGGATATATCATGGATGTGTTAACATGTACCAATTGTTGACGACATACAGTACAAGAATATATATTGTTCTGATGTGCAACACAGCAACAATAACTATTACTCCATAATAAAACATCAAATATTATCGCGATCAGCGGACACAGAATATTAATATTAGTGATACGATAGATTTGTAATGCATCACAAAAAGGTGTTAGACCATTGATCGAGGAAGACTGTGAAGTATTGATAAGGGAAATTCACATTCTTGAACATTTGTAATATTAATACAAATAAGAGGTCATTTTTTCAACAAATCCTCGATGGTCTAACGGTCATGATTTCCGCTTGTCATCTCATATGAGAACAAGCGCGGGAGACCTGGGTTCGACTCCCAGTCGGGGAGATTTCTTTTTGCAAGCATTTTTCTTTTCCCTCTTATTTTGGCTGATCGTATAAGGCGGCACAACTTCTTTTCCACTTCTATCTCTGCCTTCCCTCTAGAACGTATGGAATCCATGCACGCGTTGCTGCATTGTTCGGTACTTCTTTATCTAATGTTTGTCTTCTCCCGGCTTTTGCTGTAGTATCTCTTCCAATTACACATGAGATAACTACTAGTAGAAACACGCCCTGGTCGCTTGAACCCTTCATACACATATCTACGAGGATATTCGAGGATCATCCTTGACCGTGGAATAACAGCCACTGTTGGATCGGTAACCCGTTAGGTGGTTTTTAGAGTGGTTGGGGAGCCCCGAACCCGACCGAGTTGGACACAGGGAGGTCAAAACCCGCCCT